TGAAGGTGAGTGTATATCCCCTCAATGCTAATGTTATTGGGCTGACGTAACATAGGCTAGTCGTGTCAATCGCAAGCAACCTTTCCAGCACAAGGCAATCTTCCAGCTCATAGCGGCGCAATGGTTCTACGCCGGCCAACGTGACTCGGTGATCAAAGAATCACAAGGAAGGTTCGCAGAGGTACCGGATAACCTTCTGGCACTGGTCTGCAATGCGGTAAGTCCTACGACTCCGATACAAAGCGCATAGTGTATAGAACACTGATATCACTACACAATTACAGATTGAAATGGGGTTAGCAGACGTCGCCACGGGATCCCACCAGTTCACGAACAGAGTGTACGCGCCCAAGTGAGTGCAGTATGCTATAGACGAATCAGAACTACTGATTGGGGTTTCTGTAGGTGGGTGAACATCATCGGTGTCCTCGGGGAGATGAAGGACAAGGCGCCGAATGCGTATGTAGCATTGAAGCAGTTTGTCTGGGCTCACGTATTGTAAGTGACGGTAGTCTCCCTGCTCCGCCACGCTAACATCATCAACTCAGCGAACTTATTCGCAAGGAAGAAGAGGCTGGCAAGAGGGCAGCTTCTACATCAGGCATTGGTGATGAGGCTACAGCGGACGACGAGTTTGTAGCGTGGGATGACATTGAGGTCATTGATGTCAACGCTCAGCCATCTGGCGAGGCGTCTTCGTCGGGAACGCGAGGTATGTGGTATGGCTGTAGATTTGAATGGCATTCATGACCAACTATCAGGCATTGTTGACGGCGGAAACAGCGGCACAGTTGACGGTCCCGGCGAACGTGAGTTGCAACACTATGTATATTTTTTACCCCAGTAATAATGCCATTGCCAGCAAGCGTGACCGGAAAGTGAGCAAGGCAGCACATATACCTCCATTGCGCACAACGACCAAGGTAAGTCCTCAAGGCACCTCCCGTTATCAAACGGACTGATGTCCCACAGACTTACTCTATCGCAATCCTGACGCGTAACATCTGCCACAAGTTCGGTTTGCTACATGCGTATCTAGTCCTCCTATCTCTCGTTGTCGGATACCCTCGTGTCACATGTATTATATACCGTGCGATCATCATCTGTGTACGTGCCAAGAATGCTATGTGTGATTTGTAATCAAATGTACAATTTGCCAATTGTGCACGAATTGTTGGGAAAGCAATGTAACCCTTACACGTCTTGGCCAAGTCCTGATGCTACTATGATATGCCACAAGACGAGTCATGCTTGAATGGTCAGACAAGCTGTTTGGGGTCCTCAAGCACATGGGCAATGTAACATATTATAATGCTTAGCCAAGCTATGGAGGTTTAACCCAAGCAGCATTCCGCCGGGACTTGTCTTGCCAAGCAAACAGGGGTTCCCAAAACAATAATAGTCTTTTATGGCTTGACAAGCAAAGCCTGTTTTTCCTGATGTAGTCTCGATTATTTACAATGTCTGTACTGTCTTTGTATGAATCACTCGTCTCGCGCAGCTACCCGCCCATATACCCGTACCCGTGTCGACCCTCGAGATCCGCCAAAAACCTGTACCCGCCGAGAGGGTACATGACCCTTGCGGGTTCGGATACGGGTTGGCCCCTGGACACCCGGGGGTGTACCCCTGCAATTCACTAGCCACGAGCGGAGTTCAGAATTTATCTCATTTGTGAGACACTGGCTCACGCCATGAGCAAGTGGCTCATGTTTGATCAATCGTGAGATGGTGTCTCATAGCTGATCCAGCAGTCTCCTGCACCACCATCTGTGAGCGAGAACGAGGATTCAGGTTTCCTGATGAAGGAGAGGAGAATGGTGCGGTGAAGCCAAAAAGCGACCACAGGGCTTTCGAGCCGAAGGTATGTCCACCGTTGCACGTATGCGCGTTGCTACCTTGTCTGCACTGGGGACGTGCCATCAGCAAAACGGCGCACTGTCTGACGGCGCCTGAGGCCACTGAAGAGCCTGATCTGGAGCCTGAGATCACTGTTGCGGCTGACGCAATTGGGCGCTTATGTTCCGCGCGACCTTGGCTCGGTCTTGGCTCACTCAATCAGAGCTCGTCAGTTACTGTCAGTCGTGTCAGTCGCGTCAGTCACGTCAGACAGAGTGTCGTCGTAACAGTTTGGGGCTACGATACGGTAAGCTAGTAACATTGTATATTAAGTATTATCACCCGCCTCCGAGTCTGACGAATTGGCCAAGGAGTCTACTACATTAGTTTCCGACGAATCTCGGTGCACGTTAGTGCACCAAGATTTGCCCGGTGACCACTGACTCGGGATACTGTGTGTAGGTTTGTGTACTAAACGGGAGGGAAGGATGAGGCAGAGAACGAAGTGATTCGGCGCCTGCCCTAAACAGGCGCGCCACCGTCGCCACGTCACCGACTCATCGGTGGACCCCATCGTTCGCAGCTACCTCTCTTCTGTACATGTCAGTTGGCAAGTCGGAGAGCCCGCGCATAACGCAGCAGTCGATGCCCCGGACACCCCAGCCAAATCGACTGCAGTCACCGGACACGAAGGGCAAGGACTTGGAGAGCCCGAACGGGAGCGTCGCTGGGCGAGCGAGGCACCGAAGACAGAGCGCAAGCGATACGCACCTGCGAAGTGCGTGAAGGAGGAGCCAAGTAAGCAGGAGACATCGAGGTACTATGACACTGACTACAACAGACAGCTGAAAGACAGCCCGCACCCCCGCTCGACAGGCTCGGGGCGCGCAAGTCGCTTGGTGCAGCTACCACCGACGGGTAGCGTGCGGCCACTGCCTGTCGACCAAAATTATGACGAGGGCGTTGCGGAGGCTCTCATGGGTCTTCCGTCGGGTTTGAGCACGCTGTACTGTGGACCAGTTGACCGTGCAGCTTCGGTCCTCCTCCTGACGGATTGGACTAGGCAGTTCACATCCTCAGTGCCCCACAATCGCCAGCCGTCAACGTCGTCTCGCGCGTCACCTCCGACACCGGGTACGAAATGCCCGCTCAGCACCGGTCCCGACGATCGGAGCACCGACATGAAGCACAGCCGTGTTGGGAGCATCAGCAGTACGCCTGGACATGGAAATGTCAGGTGCGTCTCGCCTCAGTCCGGCTCTGGTGGACGTCCCTCTCCAGTGCCCTCACGTCTCTCGCCTATCCTTTTCCGTCACCAACCAACGCCTCGTTATCCCGAGGCCTGTCAGACTGGGGTGCGGAGGTACCAAGTTACCTCTGGCTCGCGGGTGCAGACGGCGAGGGCCTCTCAGACGTGCAGCCTGGTGGCGCCGAGCTCTCGCCGATCATGTCTGCGCGCTTGCTGCTGGTACGTACACGCAGCAAGACTAACACAGGGCGCTGCGGAGGCGTCCGATTGCGCGCCGCTGCTCCACTCGTGTCCGCCCGTTCACCATGCCTCGACCGTCTTCCCGTCGTTCGCCCTCTGTCGATGCGCTTCGGTCCCTTCAAGTTTCTGCGCCGACGCGTTGCGCCTTGATCAACGCGCTCTCTTGGAGGACGAAACGCTCTCGTGGATGCATCGTCGGCTGCTGCATGTATGCATTCCTCTCGCCTGCACCGACACCAGTATCCTCCACTGGCCGCGCCTTCTTGTCATCCTTGACAGCTGGCCCCTGCCCTCGTGCCCATCATGCTATGGACTGCTCTCGGTGTCGTCTCCTCCTCCCATGCCCATCGTCTGGTGTATACATCAGCTCGCCTGCGAACGTGCAACAGTCGCCGCCCTGCGAGAAAAAAACAGCAAGGACGATCCCCATCTCCGATGCAGTGTTCTTACTAGCAGCATACATCGCACGTTGCGACACGGGCATCCCTCCTGTGTTCCAGCTGTGTGCTGCAGCCAAACAAACGCGAGCTGTCCGTTATGAACTTCGGCATCAAGTACCGAGCCGTAAGGTTAAAGGTAGGCTTGGTTTCTGCGGATTCAATACGATTTTTGTATGTATACAAAGGTAGCTGCAATGATCTGTAATGACAATGTGTGCGAGTGTGTCAGGTCTGGTAAGCCCTCTGACGAGTCTGATCACTGGTCTGAGTCGGTCTGAAAGGTACACTGAGTTCAGACTCTCAGTCTGAACTCAGATGAATCTACTCTTTTCAGACTCGCGAGTCTGAGAGTCTGAAGAGTCTGATGTGACTGATATCAGACGTGTCAGGCACGTTCAGACGAAGTCGACGTTTTGCTGATAAGTTACCATTCGCGAGGCTAGCACGGGGCCACGAACATTGCCCGCAGAACCCGTGCTGCATAACACGACGGGCGCCGTGGACCATTTGGCAACATGCACACGTCTTCTCATTGTGATCGCACACCCGACGATCCGCGCATGGACAGCCCTCGACCTCGAACACACTCCCTGCAGCACCAAACCGCTGCACGACGCGTACGGCGACGGCGAGCACGTGGGGCCAATGCCCTGCGTGCAGACACGGCCGGCGAACGGGTGGCAGGGCGGACGATCGAGGGGACTACCGGGCAGGGGGCGGGCGCGGCGTTACCATGGAGGATGTGCAGCATGTAGGAGGGCACCTTGAAGCACGCGCTGCGCTCAAACTGCGACGACGCCGTGCGCTATTCGGGCGAGTTCCACCCGCGCACCGAGGGCGCTGGGACAAGTTCAGCGATGGCATGCGTGATGAGGACGTAGGGTGGAAGCTTGTCATGGGATTACCTTTACTGTGTAGTTTAGTCTCAATCACGTCAATGCAAACTGTTCCCCATTTGATCAGTATGCCAGTCGAGCCACACAAAAACATACATACATTACTTCGACATTATCAGGTTTAGTGTAGCATCCGAGTCAGAGACTCGAGTCTCGCCGCGGCGGCATTCCAAAGAATTCCTTGTAATGTTCACGGCATCGCTAGATACTCAGACATTAGCAATGTTCTGTGCATTCGTTCGATTGCTGGTCACTTCTCACGAATTCTCAAATGGGGGTTTTCCCAATGTCTCGGAGTGACGCTGTCGGACATGTTCTCGCCCACGAATTCACGACCAACCCGCCTTCCAAGTGTAGTTCTTGGTTTGCATGTGGAACCGACCCAGTACAAGTTGCTCGATTCGGCCAATCGAGCCACAGTTACGATCGCACACGGAGCTGATGTCGATTTTGACGATGGCATGTCAGATATCAGCGAGTACAGTGACGATGATCCCGAACCACCAACAGACGCTACGGAGCTGGAACGTTTATTGGAAGCAGAGGAACATGCCCCGCTGCGGACGACACACCTAGACGATCGGATGCTTACTAGTACTATGCTGCAATGCGCGGCCGTTTCAGTCACACTCGGCGAGCTAAACACAGTGTAAGGGTATTTGTCATTTCCTCGGGTACGAAGATGTACTGAATGTATCTGCACAGGCAAAACTTCGATCAGCCCAATCCCAGCGAACTCGAAGCCTTCGCAGGAGAGGATAGCTTACAAATTCACCGCTCGCTGTCCGACGCGGCCATAATGGTCGAGCTACCTCCACCCAACATCGCGCCAGAGCCAGTCCAACCAAACGAGCTATTCCTCGCACCTCATGGAAACCTCGATGCATCGCCGCTCGTAGACCTCCGTCGTGCACATGAGTCGGAGCGTGCTGCGAAAGGTGTGCGGACCAGCACGTACGCAAGACAGGGCTCAGCCGCAAGGGACAATGATCGTGATGCAAATACGGAGCAAGCCAGCACTCGACGCGCTATCATCCGAGAGATGTCAGCGATCATTCGGGAACAGCAGGACAATGTGGGCACGACAAGTGGGTTGAACCGTACCACACGTATACAGCAAGGGCCGGCACCCACTGGCAACTCTGCGAATGCCGCCCTCGCTGCTGGACAACGCGCGGCAGCGGTACGTGCACGAGACGCTATAGAGTGTCCTGAAACAATGGCGTACTTTGTACAGCTTGTCCAGCGTCGCGCCAAGGTCTTCCTAGGGTTGAAGATTCCCTATGCGAAGGATCTCGCCGACGCTCGCGTTGGTAAAACCACGTCCGCGAACCAGAACAACTCGCCGCTCATGCCTGGAGATTATAGTGTAGTAGTTGACGACAGCGGCCGTATTATGGTGGGCCGAGGTACGTAGACTCTGAATGCTGTGTATGTGAGATGACAGCCGAACTAATCATGGAACTGCTGCTCACAGTACTCGCAGTATTGTCCCGTACTGCCGGAGGTAAAGGCGTCGCGCACGCATGCCAGTGGCAGCCCCAGTGCACAACCATTGGCCATGTCTCGTATCCATCGGTACAAGTCTTCGAACGTCAATCGCGCTTTCAATTCCGTGCTCTTCTGGGGAGCATGGCTAGTGTCCAAACGTACAAGTTCGCGCACATCTCAGCATCCCACAACATCCTCCTCCGGCTTCCCACCGCGTCTTGTACTCTCGAGTGATTCGCGTCAGTTGATGCTTGAGCCCGGGGCGTACTAGGTCTTCGAGCAACTAGAGAACCGCCATTTGCAGATCCTGGAGGCAATCAAGCAGCTCAAGAGTCGTAAGAAACGTCAAGGTCAGGCGGGCACGAAGGACGACGCATCGGATACGGACGTCGACGAAGACGAGTGATTGGACAGGGTCACTTCGCACAGCCTGTGTGGCGCCTAGTACACCGCGGCGACGACAAGGATATCCTGAGGCACAAAGGCTGAAGGAATTGTCTACGTCTGCCTGGGGAGACTAGGCTGAGCCACTTGAGGATATACATGCAACACTTTGGCATTATCACATCTGATGTAGTATGTATGAACAATTCCCTGTAAATGTTCACGACCCCGCGAAATGCTCAGACATCAGCACGCTGTGCGCATCGCCGCTGCGGTATTACTACAAAAACCAGTCTGTAAATAGGAATGGCGCGGACAGAGGTGCGATGTGACGTCGGAGTCCTTTGGGGACTGGAAGTATCCGCCACATTCATCGTACAGGTAGGGGACCGTGCTGTCTGGAATCATTGGAGTGTCTACTATCACGGTGGACTGAGGAGAAGGGGACAGCTATGCTTGGAAAGCCATGAGTACAGGGTAACATCCAGCATGGGATTTCAGGGCTCACAGAGGGACCGCCCATAACCCAAGCTTCCGCACTCATATCAACGAAAGGCAAACCATCCACAGTCGGACCAAACTGCTCCATACGAGCTTGGATGCAGGTAGCAATGTGGATGTCCTCCTGGGTGATGACAAAGGCCGGCGGCGTAGATGTAATAGCCCAGACATAGCTGATGATTAGAGCTCGGACAGGACGAGAGAGCGACGGTGGATGCGCCTCGTCAACGCTTGCGTCATCATAGGGGTAGGGCAGAAGTGGAAGGAATTGCGAGATCTCCTCAGAGTGAAGAGTCGGTGAATGCGGGTAATCATATGCCGGCTCTCCTGTGTTCAATATCATGTCAGGGAGTGCCGAAACCTATCCATATGCCTTAGGCGTAATACCTTCCGATGTAACTTCACTCTGCTGGTGCGGGCCCTGGATGCTCTCGTTGAAGATGATAGGATGCATGAACTCGTAGTACTCTGTGCTACTCGCGGTCAGAACTGTGGTCGCGGAATCAACACGAACGTCTTACCCAGGGGACTGGGTGTGCAGACCGTCCATAATTCGGCCGCTTTGGGGTGTCGAGAAGGAGGGTTGTCCAGAGCAGGGGGGCGCGAAGGCATACTGCTAATTGAATATATGCACTGCATATCGAACGTGGCCGTGAGACCACCACTTTTCCGGTACCGCTTCTCACTGATCACACACTTACCTATAATTGTTAAACAAGGCCCTCGGCCGCGCGCATCTCAGTGTCACTGGCAGCCTCGTTGCCATGGTGGCGTTCCAATGTGGTAGCTAAATGATCTTATACACACAATTACTTCGCGGAGTGGAATCGACCCCGAACGCCGCCCCGGCTCGAAGTCGGACGAAGAGTCTCGGGGCACGGTAGCAATTGTACTCGTCGGCCGCCGCCGTGGCGCCAATGATTCGTTGCTGTGTCCGCAGCAAGGGTAAATCACTAATTGACCCACCGCACATTCTTTTTTTTTTTTTTTTTTTTTTTTTTTTTGGATGGCTTTGTGTGGACGGAGGCACGGAACAATTGGTTCCGCCCGCTCGTCCAGCCTGTTTGCGGGAATCCCGCTAAGCAATCCCGGAGAAAAAATGCATTTACGCACGGCCATTTAAGGCCAGTGTGGGGCTCAGCTCATCCTGGGTCGTGTTCATGCGCCCGTACAGGAGCAATACCCACTAAAAAACCGAAGCGTGTCCAGTCATCTGGGAGTGCGCCTTCATCGTCGACAGCTTTGTGCCAAGTCCGGAGGACGGTCTTGGCTTGCAGCGACCTGCCGTTCAAGTGGTGCCTTGTCGAGGCTATGTCTAAGTGAAGGCGGGTGTTTATGGCGGTGTGCCAGCGCTGTTGGACTTCCCGGTCGTTGTGCTGCCAGTCGGGTGTGTCGGCGTGTCCAATGACACGCTCACATCGCAGCTTCCAGACGAGGTAGGTGGATTCAGAGATGAGTATGCGCCAGAGTCGTGAGGCCCCGTCCCATTTGCGGCGTGATCCTGGGGTCGTCCACGACATCAGGCCTATCGTGAGGAGCGTGCCGAAGGACATGTCGGGCCAGGGAAGACCGGTTTTCAGCCATAGGGCTTTGGTTAGAGCCCAGACTTGTTGCTGACCGATTGCGGCGCACTGGAGGAGGATGTGGTCGCTCGACTCCTCGCGGTCGCATGTGGAGCACGTCGCTCGCTGTTCGTATTGGGGGATGTGGCTCCAGAAAGGGCCGACCCTGAGTGCTGCGTGGAGAGTTTTCCATAGGAAGTCGGATATCGGGAGTCGGATGTCCCTGTGCCGCAGGCTCGTCCAAAGTTCCGAGGCGTTGTGTTTCCTGTGGGGGGCGATCGCATCGAGGGCGACTGTGATGTTGCGGGTGGTCCCCTGTCGGGCTTGCGGGCGTCGGTTGGAAAGGATGCCTCGGTAGGCTGTCGCCTGCGTGAGCGACGCCAGGCGGGCTCCGCTGAGGTGGAAGGCTGGGTCGATGGACGGGCGCACAAGGGTGGGGGGGTAGGCTAGCAGTGGGGGGAGTGCGCGGTCCCTGATCCAGTCTATTGTCTTCCACTCCCACAGCGAGGTGGCGTGGCGTGCTGTCGTTACGGCGCAGCGCTGTCGCAGGCGGCTCGCTAGGGCGGCGAGGTAGCTGGCGTTGGGTACTTCTATCCAGCCGTCGTCTTCCCACTTTTCTAGTCTAGTGGTGATCGCTTTTGTGAGGAAAGAGGAGGTGCTCACGAGATGGAGTGGTGCGTCTCGGGGGGTCCTTAGAACCGCGTACAGGGCTGCCACGATCTCCCCCAGGGTGTCTCGGTGGGCGTTCGCCGGGGTGTCTGTTGTCAGGGCTGCGTTTCTTGGGTCGTCATGTCCAAAGTAGGACATGCCTAGGATGTCTAGGTGGTCGTCGTTGTCATCACGCTGTGCGAAGGCGTGTTTCCTGGACAGTATGTAGACTGTTGTTTCTTCTTCGGGGACCACTCGCCCACGGCGTTTCCGAATTGCTGGTGGGGCGTCATGTACCGCGGGGTGGACGAAGGCCCTGAAGGCTTCGGATAGGTTGCCCCGCTCGGTAACCGTTGGGTTGAAAGTGACTCTCCCGTCCGTTGCAAGGGCCTCTGCGTTGCGGTCTAGGCGGCGCCTGGTTAATGTCAGGCCGTCGTTCATCGGGGAGAAATCCGGGTGCCACTTAGGGCGTACCAGTTGTAGGAGCCTTCGTGCGGCGTGTTTGCAGGCGACGGGTTGGCGGCAACCTCGGCCTCTGTCTTGTTGGCAGTCGGGGCAGACGCAGTCGTCGACTCCCCGTTCCAGGGCTGCCTCGTGGTTGCGCAGTACTTTTTGTGCGTCGGCTAGTGTGCTGACGCCGTGGTTGTCTCGTAGACAGTCGCTGGTTGGGATGTTATTGAGTCGGCGTAGTTTGGCGTCCGCACCTAGGTGATACCAGATGGGCAGTTGGGTTTTTAGCGGTCGGTCGATCTTTATCGCGGCAAAGCTTACGTTATATTTCCTAGCGACCACGAGCATTCTCTTGAGCCAGTGGGGTAGTTTGGACCTACTATCGAGGGCCGGGCTCCAGTTCTGAAGGAAGGTGTTGATCTGGGCGGCTGGACGTATTGCCCCTGCGTCGTTGGATACGAAGGCGTTTAGGATTGCGTCGCATACAAAAGCCCACGCAGGGCGACTCTGTGTGAGATCGAGGTATCGCCGCACCCAGGTTAGTTCTATTGCCTCATTCCTGGCTCTGATGTCCAGGAGTCCTAGCCCGCCTTCACTGGGTGGTTGGTGCAGGATACTCATACTGATCATGGGCCTGGAACCACTCCACACGAAGGCACGTATGACGGCCTCGATCTCCTGCTCGACTGGGCCGGGCATTCCTTGCACTTTGGTGAGGTATTGGGTGATTCCACCCGGTCCCATCTGCACGATGTTCTTCTTCCCCCGTAGGGTGGGGTGGCAGCGGCTCCATCGTTCTAGGAAAAGGCGTACTTTCTGTAGTGTCGGGGCCCATATTGCCACTCCGTCAGTGGAGTTTCCTATCCAAGCACCGAGGATCCTTACCGCTTCGCCATCAGGGGCAAGGTGGACGCCGGCCGGGATGCGGTCGTCCGGGTGGTCAGGATTGAGGACGCGCGTTGCAATGAGTGCGGCTCTGTACTCGGGTGAGCCTATGGGAATGACTTCGGTCTTCCCGTTATTGAACTTCGCCTTGGAAGCTCTGCACCAGGAGCGTAGGATTGTCCAGAGGTCCTCCCATCGGTCGTGTCTGGAGAGGTAGGTCGAGGTGTCGTCCGCGAAGAGGGACGTGATCAGTCGATCGGCGACACCTGGGATGGCGAAGCCGCGTAGGGTAGAGCGTCGAAGCGTGCACGCCAAGGGCTCGATAGCCAGGTCGAAGAGTAGGCACGAGAGGGGGTCCCCCTGCCTTACTCCTCTGATGACTAGATATGGGCGGCTCGATTCCCCGTTAATGATGACAATTGTCGTGGCGTGGCTGTAGAGGTTTTTGATCCTGTCAATCCATTTCGCGGGTATGCCGAAGGCGCTCAATACTCGCCAGAGGTAGTCATGGGCGATTCGGTCGTAGGCTTTCTCCTGGTCCAGCGCTATGATCGCGCCGTCTTCTTCTAGGGCCTCTGCGTAGTCTACCATCGATCGGCACAGCTGTGTTTGATCCTCGATGTGTCTGCCTGGTAGGAAGCCCGCCTGGTCTTTGTGCACGAGGTGGGAGGCGAGATGTGCTAGGCGGGAGGCTTGGATTCGCGTGTAGATCTTATAGTCTGAGTTGAGGAGGGTGATGGGCCGATAGTTGGTGATTTCGCGTCGATCCCCTTTCTTGTAGATGGGGCACATCCAGCCTTCAGTGAAGCGAGATCCTGTAGCTGGTCCATATGTGTCGAGGTCGTCATAGGCGAGCCGTAGTAGAGTGGTACTGTCGAATCCTTGATAGCCTTTCGTTGCGAGAGGGTTGTCCAATCTCGCCATCACAGCCCAGAACTCGTAGGGTAGCCCGTCGAGGCCTGCAGCACGGCCGCTGCCTGCGGATTTGATCGCCTGTTGGATCTCGTCGTCGGTGATGGCCTGGGTGAGGGTGTGGGCGTTCTCTGCGGGTAGCCTGGAGTGTATCGAGTCCAGCGCCGCCTTGACGTGTTCCTCCCGTTCATCGGGGTCATCGTCTGCGTCCAGGTTTTGCAGGCCTTCATGGTAGTCGCATGCAAGCGTTGCCATTTGGTCGGAGCGCCTGACTGTCTGTGGGGGGTTCGTCTGGGGTTTGTGCAGGGAGTAGAAGATGTCGCGGGGCTTCCGGTCTTTGTTGATTGCGGACCAGTACTTACTGGGCCTCTCAGCGTTCAGAGCGTACTGGGCCGTCGTGGCTTCTTTTATGGAGTCGTGTCGTTTCCGTTCCAGCTCGAGAAGTCGGTCCTGTAGAATGCCAACCTCCATGCGTAGTTCTGGGTTGGTGGAGAAGCCGTCGGTGTCCTGGAGCTCTTTTATTGCAGCGGCGGTAGTAGCAATCGCGGCGACGAGTTTGGGGATCTTCTTTTTGAGGCGACGTTGGGCGGCGGTTTTAACGGCGACTTTGAAGTCTTGTAGGATTGTCTGGGGGTTGTCGCCGTCAGATCGGGGTCGTGCTTCTTGGTAGCTATCCGCCTGTTCCAGGGCCTTCCGGCCTAGGGCAGCGGCTTCCTCCAGGAAGGGTGGGTCGCGCAGAAGGAGGTGGGGTAGGGCCCATCGCCCTTGTCCTATATAGGGGGCTTGTAGGCAGCTTAGGGCTGCGGACACAAGTCGGTGATCCGTTGGGACGCCGGTGGTTCGTATTTGCCAGTCGTTCGACGATCGGAGGAGGTCTATTGAGACGTATATCCGGTCTAGACGGGAACGCGAGGGTGAGCCCCTCTGGGGGAATGAGTAGTCCTTCGAGTTTGGTTCAGAGGAGCGCCAGCCATCATACAGTTTGAGTTGTCTCAGTAGGTGGCGGAGCGCCTGGACTGCGTTCGGTGGGTCTTCTCGCATTGGTATCCTGTCTATTGACTCCTCTACCACGTTAAAGTCGCCTAGTAGGATGTCAGGGCGGCGGCGTCTTTGCTCAGCGAGTATGGTCGAGGTCTCAGTCCAGAAAGCTGCATTTGCTTGGGGGTCGTTCGGTGCGTACACGTTCAGTATCGTGAGGTGGCGGTCGCCGTGCCATCTCGTGCACATGAGTAGGGCCCGGCCGGGGATCAGTTCCTCGGTTTCAATGTGTGCCGTGTCCATGATCTCGCGGTTGACGGCGAAGGCGACTCCTTGCGCGGCGGAGGCCCTGTCTGCCGCAGAATGTATCAGGTGGATTCGTCGGCCATAGAGGCGTAGAATGTCTTCAGCGTACTCATCATTGAGGTGCGTTTCCTGCAGTGCCAGGATACCGATCTTGGATTCTCGTAGGAGTTGGTTGATCGTGTTCCATTTGTTTCCGGGGGATGCATTTAGTTGGCCTCGCCCGTTCATGTTTAGTGACGCAACATTAACAGACGCTTTAGTGCGCCTACCTTTGAGTCTCGCTTCAGTTGGTGCGTCGTCGTTATGGCCTGCTGGATGGTTTGCTGCGTGAGCAGGTGGTGCCCGGTCGCCGCCCTGTACTTGGTATCGTTGGTTGTGCTGTGGGTGGGCGGCGATCGCCCTACCTCCGTGTCCCTCGATCCCGTCTTCGACGAAAGCGTGGATAGGGGGCGCGTCTTCGTCTCGTGGACGGAGGGGATGTTCGCCGTTGCCTGTATGACCTGACCGTGGGTGTGTTGGGTTGATTGTGTGATGGTTGACCATTGTTATCATTCCTAGCGGTACAATGATGGCGCTAGGAGGAGATTTCTCCTGTTCTCGCAGGGGGACATGCTCTGCCGGTGTGCGCCCCGGCTTCGCTTGAGTCAAGAGACTGGGCAAGTCTAGAAGTGCCCGTGCTATAGAATCGAACGTACGTGGCCTCGTGCTTTCCTGTCCCGCGCACTGTCAGTAAATTTGGGCACGCGGTGTCACGTGTTCGGGAGTAAGGGTTCAGTCAGTGTGTATCGGTTCGAGAGTTGCGTGAAAGGGTGCGTGTATTCATTCGTGCGGTACGAGGAGATGGTGTATATACAGATATGAGCTACGGCTCGACCAAGAAGGGTGCAGTATTCGTACAAGAAAGCGGTGCGGTCATACAGGAGGGGCCAGAGTCAAGAGGGGGGTGCAGAGTTCGCTCGTACCGTTCTACTTCCAGGTTGTGTACGGCTTGTCAGCCGCGTGCTGGCTTGCCTGTCCTCCCCCACGTCCCCGTCCGCCGCGCGTGAAGCCTCCGTATCCACCGTAAGTGTTACCGCCGTTTCCGCCGTATCCTCCACCGCGTCCGTTGCCGCGTCCTCGTCCGTTACCACGTCCGCGAGACGTTCCGGCGCCGCGGTTAGATGGTCCTGCTTGCGGCTGCGTCTGTGGGCGGGTCTGCGTTTGCGACTTCAGCTGTTCTTCTGCGAGAGCGAAGCGTCGGGCTTCCTCCTCGTTTGCGGCGACGTCCTCGGCTGTGGGTCCGTTCCATCCTTGGACCTTTGGCAGGTCACAGAGGCCGATGGTGTGATCTGCAGAGTGGCACAGCTTGCAGTGCATTTCTTCGCGGAAGGCTACGGGTTGGGGGTTGTGGGGGCCGCCGAAGCTGTAGTTGCGGAAGAGTTCACAGAAGACGAACCAGTCGCCCGCGTTGGCGCTTGGTGACTCACAGTAGAACTGGGCGATCGGGCGTTCGGTGCGATTCGCGCCATGGGTCTGAAGGATTCGGACCTCGGAGCTGTTGAAGATGTACTCGAAAGCGCCTTCGACGCTGAAGGCCTTCCATCGGCTGACAGTACTGGTGATGTCCTTCGCGATGATACGGTAGGTTTCCTTCATGATGTTGGCGGATCGGAGGGCGCTACGGCATTCGCTGAGGACGCCGTCTTCAGTCGGCCACGGGAATCGTTCGATGAAGATCCATGCAGCAACGTAGCGGGGCGGTTCGACTTTGAGGTTGCCACAGTGGAGCGCGATATAGGAGGTGGGGAGCCAGATCAGCTCGAGGAGGGTAGCCTTATCTTCGTCCGAAATGTCGGTCAGGATGTAGTCGTGAGGCGCTTCGTTATGGCCGGGGGTGGTGATGAAGTTGGGGATGTGTATGACCGCCTTGCGTGTGTTGATGACTTCACCGAGGGCCCTACGAATGTGGCATAGGCGTGTCCACCCGCCGAAGTCGTGGACGCCCGAGCCCGCGACGCTGATCGCGACAGCGTTCTTCCCGTGGCGGTAGAGGTCGTTGACTTGGTGCGGATCTGCGTTCTCGATCCGGGCGAGGAAGGAGCGCTTCTCAATGCGGCGCCACCCGTTCGTCGGGGGCGGCGTTATGAAGGCGGGTGCATTCGGGAGGATGTCCGGGAAGTCGATAGCCTCAGGAGCTGGAGCGACGGGTGGTGCGATTGGACCGGGCTCATTGCCGCGAGCTTGCTGTGGAGGTGGAGGCGGGGTCAGGCGGGGCTGTGCGTCTTCCATCTCGACGTCCTGTATCGCTACGGTCCGGGGCCTGGTGGGAGGTCGAGATGCGACGGGCGTGTTCGCGGGGCGCCCGTACGGCTCGGGTGATGCGATGTAAGGCCTCCTTGGCGAGGGTTCGACGATTGGCCGGGGTTGAGCTGCATAGGGCATACCAGGCGGCGCCGCGAAAGCGGGCTGTACGGACGGCGGCCGTACGGAGCGTGGCGGTGCGAAGGGCTGTGGTGCGAGGGAGGGCGGCGCGAAGTACGGCTGCGCAGGTGGCTGCCTTGGCTGTCTAGGTAGCTGCGGTGTGTACATAAGGTCTACGCTACCGTTCCTCGAGCGTGCTGGCGCGTATGTAGGTGTTTGCCAACGTAGCGGGGGGCCGGTCACTATCCTGTTGATGTGCGGCGGGGGCGGCGGCGGGATGTTAGCGTCGAAGTGATGGTTCGTGACTGGAGTCTGCCACAGCAGGTGGGGAGGGACGTCGCGTATGTAGGCGGTTATGTTTCGATTGGGAGCGAGGAGGGGGGCGTCGGGGAGACGTGACGAGGCAGGACGCGCCCACGAGTGCATCGTGGATGGTCCGGGGGTGGCCTGCCGGTAAGGCGCAAAGGCGGGGTTGGACGCGTTTGCCGTCTGCGTGGGCTCGAGATCGAGGGCCGTGTACGACGCTCCCTCAGCAGGTTCCTGGCGGCGTTCACGCTGCTGGTGCTCATTGTGTTCGTCACTGGGAGCAGTAGGCGGTCCTGGGTCTGCTAGAGAGTTCTGGGGTGGGTTGTGGGCCTCCGGGATGGCTTGGTGGCTCCCGCCTCCGACGTCAGACGCGGTTCGGCGCCGCTTCCGGATGTCGCTGGCGCGGCGCTCGTTGGTCACTGGGGTTGGAGGATCAGAGCGGGGCGGGAAGGCGGGGAGCTCGGGCGTGAAAGCGGGGGGCTCGGACTGGTAGGCAGGGAGCCCGGACGGGTGAGTCGCGGGCTCAGACAGGGGCAGTGGGAGCTCAGACGGGAAAGCGGGGAGCTCGGCCGGGTAGGCGGGGAGCGCGGACGGGAGCCCTCTGCCGAGGTCTGCCTGCTGGGTCTCCTGCGTTGCCTTTTTCTTCCCCTTGGCTTTGGGTTTTTTGGCCTTCTTGGCTACCGTAGTCCAGCCCGCTTCAGGCGGTGGGTCCGTCTGCTGTGACATCGGTTCCATGGGTCCCGCCTGCGTCTCGAGCATCGACGGCCCTATGTCCAGAGGCGGGATCTCCTCGTTGGTCTCTCCCGGCCGTATGGTGGGCGTAGGGGGGAGAGGCTGAGCCGTCGTTGTGGTGAGTTCAGCCCGGGCGACGTCGCGATGCACCGAGCGCGGAGGTTCGGCCCTCCGGCGCTGGCGAGGCGTTGGTGGGCGTACTGCGACCTCAGCGAAGCCTGTAGCTTCGTTAGTACTTTTTGTTTGTTCGGTGGGCTCGGTGGGCTTACTCGGGCTGTTCCGGCCTTCTGCGTACAGGTTATAGAGCCAAGGGGCCTGGGCCTGCTGCGTCGAGTTCCGAGGGGTAGGGGAGCTGTTGTGCGACATGGCGGTTATCGAGAGTGTTTTGACGTGGAGGTTCGGGGCTGGAGCTCGACGAGAAGTGTTTGGTCCGGTGAAGGATGAGGGGGGTTGTCGCGGCGGCGTCCTATTTATGCTAGTGCGAGGCGGATGCGAAGCGCGAGTGGTGCCTGGCGATTGCCTGGCGACTGTGTCATGTCGGGGTATATTGGTGCTTTCAAGTTCTGGGACGTACGTATATAGAGGCGCGGCCTTGCCGTTCCTTGTCTTCGCGATGGTTTCGTGTTTCGCAGACGCGGTCGTTGTGCTCACTCTTATTGGTGTAGGGAGTGTTCTTGCAGCCTGCTCTTGCGGTTCTCTTTACGCTGTGTGTTCCGTCTAGGTGTATTATTTTGTGTTTTCCCTGTGTTGGAATGCTTGGGAGTGTGCGTTGAGCTATATCTCAGCGCTTCGTGTGCGGCCGCGCCGGCATTACGCCCAGCGTCTCCTACTTGGGTGGGCGTTAGTGTCTATCAGGCTTTTGGCATTGGATCGCTGCTAGTGGCCAGTCTCGAGCTGTCAGAGGTCGTGTTTGGGGGGCGCGTGTCCCGATTTGGGGGCGTACGCACGTTCTTCTGTCGCGTCTAGGCACCGCCTCGTACCGATACATTGGCAATCCGTGGGCCTCGCACCTCGTTTTACGTGTGTTAGTTCTGTCTGTTCTTCGTGGGGTCGAGTACATACGGGTTTGCTCCTTTCGATGGAGTGTGGGTGTTCTCTGGTATGTCTCGTTTCTCGCTTCGTCCCGGTTTCCTTGTGGTGTGACCTTTGGGTGTGGTAAGTTTACTGGGTACGGCGGGTTCGGCGTTCTGCCCAGCGCCTGTGGCGGTGGGTCCATCACGATTTTGTCCGTGGATTGCGGCGGGCGGCCTTGCGGTGCTTCTTGGGGGCTATATCGGTCGTCGTCGTGATCATGATTCCAGGTCAGGGTTTTTGTCTGAAGCCCTGCCAGTTCGTCCTGGCGACGTGGTGTTACGTCGGACGGTATGTCCCGCGTGCTATGTCTCTAGGTCGGGAGGTCAGGGACTCAGGGCCCTCATTGCTGTGCGGTCAAATATTGTTTTGAATTGGGAAAATAGGTGGGTACTGGCTCAGGTCGCACTCTCGCGGTCACTTCTCTCCTTCCCATTCCGTCCCTTCATCCATTTCGTCCGTGATGGTGCTTTGACGTGGGGCGTTCGTGTCATCTTCGGTGTCGTTGTTCGGCTCGGGTGTTGTTGCCGTTTTTTCGGTGCGAGGTCTGCGTTTTCTCGCCGCGTTGGTGATCTGCGTGAGGCTGGCTTCCGCGCCAGGTTGTTCATCGTCCCATGTATCGAATTCGTACGGACTTTCGAGGTCGTTTAGGAAGGGTGGTAGGGAGCGGAAGGCGAGGTGTGGTCGCGGGGTGGAAGGGAGATTCGGGTAGTGTTTGGTATGCGCGTGGCTCTCGAGAGCGCTAAGGCGTGTCCATGGGATTGGGACACGTAGGCTGCACGTGACCTGACTGCCCGTTATGGAGAACGTTGCCCAATGTTTTCTCAGGGTGACGATCTGGGCCAGGCGCCCTACTCCTGACAGCTGGGTGCTTGTGCGTAGTTTGACCAGCGTCGAGCAGGCGAGCTGGTGGCGTGGGCGGTTGTCGACGACCCAGGTGAGTCCTATTCGTTCTTCCATCGTGGGGATGGGCAGCACGTCGATTTCGAGGACTGGGCCTGACAGTGGTGTCGTTTGTAGCCGCGGGAGTGGGATGATGGGGGGTGCCGTCTTGGCTTTGCGTTTATGGCTCCGTTTGGGTACGCTCGACTGTTCGAATCTCCCATTCTTCATCTCACGTAGCGGTGGAGGTTGCTGTGGTGGGCGTTGTATTCCCTGGGCTTGTCCCAGCGGCGTTATATGGGTGTATGGTGAGCGTCTCTAGGGGATTACGTCTTGCAGGGCGCTCATTTTTTGATTTTCTTGGACAGCAAGTTAGCGTCTGTGTTGGTCATGGGCTGATGAGTTTTTGACAAGTTATGGTGGTTTTATGGCATATGGCATGTTATGGGTCAGGGAGGTTCGGCGTGTGCGGCATTTGGTGTATATGCGCCCGGTCACTGCACGTGTCTGGTGCGTCTCGTGATGTGGTGCGATGTGGCGCAGTCTGTTTGTGTTTCTTTTCAATTCACGTGTTCTATGTTCGCATGCACGTGGCTCGGGCGTGAGGGATGGCCGGTTTTTCCGGTGTGGCTGGGCGGGAGGTACTATGCAGTTGTGCCTGCGTGGCTGATAACTTTATTTCGATGTATACGCGGTTTGTGGGTGGGGAGCGGGGAAGAGTAAGGAAAAGGGATCAAGGCGCCCGTTCTAATTTGTTGAGTACTGTGCTCCGTGAAGAGGTTTGGCAGCTTGCGCTGTTAGTCTTTCGACTGCTCGACGGCCACTTGTCTGAAAGTGTAGCTCGCGAGATCCCCGTGAGGGGATTGGGGTGACCCATGGCTGAGCCAACCTGAGGTTGGTTTCTGCCAGTCTTAGGGCAGTGATGCCCTAGACGTGTTTTGAGCGCAAGTTAGCTTCGTCCCGAAGGACTACTAACCCCCCGGACCACGAGAAGGTCTGCGCAGGACTCGTTGTCTTTGTCGACGACGAGCCCTCCCGGGGGACCCACCGCACATTCGATAGACACATGCAGGCCACTGGATTTTCTATAGCCTGAACATCCGGGGCATAATCATTGGTAGGATATGTACATAGCAGTCCCAAGTCAGGCGAAAGACCCGCGTCACGATCACCGTAGAAACAGATCGGCAGCCCCAATCACTACAAATGGATCACGAAATGATACCAGCCGAACTTCGACATGCCTCACGGCGAGGGACACTGCCTATGTATGTGACAGTGGTCCCATCTTTGCGGTATACGATTTCCCTCAAATAGGCCTGAATACCCTCTCCGAGCCACGTTTTGGTGTGCCTAGTACTGCCGTTTCTGGTAGCTGTGTCTAGTGCTGGGGTCTACTGCTTCTCGCATCCCGGCGGCGGCTTCGTCGCGTCTGGCAGCTGGTCCGAGAGCATCGCTCCCTTGAGAGTCGGAGATTCGTCACCGAAGACTGAGAAAACCTAAACAGAAGCCCCGAGTGAGTAACTCCCGCCCCGATATTGTGGTCGGTGCCTGAGATTGCGCTGCACCTAGACGGCTTCGCTGGGTTCTGGCACACGGGCGCCCCACTGACCTCCCAATGCTCGGGAGGTTTAGGTGAATCCTCCTCCTTTTGGAGATTGGGGGCGCCAGAAGTCGGGCCACGCGTCAACTGCACCCTGTCGCGAGCAGCATTCCTGGGTCCGACCGGAGTCAGACCAGGGTCCGGATCTGGTCGGTCCATAAGCTATTACGAAAGTGGCACACTGCCTAAGACGAATGTGCCTCTTCGCAGAACTTCTGCTCCGCCAGCGCGATGGTCCAGATGAATATAATACATGATTTTCTACTATTTTTGCTACTGAACGCGCTCACGCTCCTGCAGGTCGTCTTCCTCGAGCCGTGCACCTTCCGGCTGCACACTGAACACTGTTCGGCCCGGCGCGCCTTCGAGACAGCCAATCACGTCTGCTGCGCTGACTCACCTCGGGCCAAACAGTGAAACCGGTTCATCCACTGCGTGCTGTACGACCCGATAGACGATACCTAGTAGAACGTGACATGAATGAGATTGGGTTACGGCATTTCTACAGAGGAATGCATAGAAGTACCTGGAATTGGAGTGTTATTTCCTTTCTTTTGGCTGCGTTCAAACCGAGGTCTCGAAGGGCTTTCAAGTTCATCGGTGATAGATGATTTGGGAGGATGACCTGTGCACGAATGATTAGAGTGCGTTCTACAGCGAGGAGTAGAGTAAATTTGCACCTCCGGCCAGCCCTCGTGCTTACCCGCAATAGACGGGATCAACTTGACTCTGACCTTCGACAAGTACCAAAGGCGCCGATCAGCAAAGCCTCGATTTATCTGAGGCGCCCTAAGGCATCGGCATTGTATGAACAGCTCCTCGGCAGCCGCTAGCGACAGTGGGGCAGGAGAGTTCGGCGAAGGTTTATGGCCGTGCGGCGACTTCTGGCACTCCCACATGCTGGGTTTCTGGACGGCACTCGGGGCACGAAACGATCGGCGGGAAGGACGGCGGGTCCGTGGGCGTGGGCTGGGCAGCCCAGTTAGAGAGTGCCGCGCAACAGAGCGGCAGCATACACGCACCTGCACGGATGCTCATGTAGTTACTCGGGCCGAGGATCTCCTGCCAGTCCGGAAGGCTCGCGGGGCTGGGCGTCGCGCTGCTGCCGTTAAGGGAGCTGACGGAGCTGACGAGGTGGATGAAGCCGGCGGCGCGCACGTTGGGGCCGAGGATCCTATGGCGCCCTCGCGGTGGCGGGCGAGCTGGCTCGCGGAGAGGGCTGCCGGGGCGCGGTGGCTGCGGACGGTGCCCCTGTCGAGGCGGATGCGGTGGGCGACCTGGAGCGGTGCCTGGCGGGCGGGGGCGGGGGCGTGCTGATGGCGTGGGTGCTGGAGCTGGCGGACGAGAGCGCGAAGGGCGGGGAAAGGGGCGTGTGCTTTGTGCGGGAGGAGGTCAAGACGAGGGACGTGGATCCGCCGCCGGGATGGTGGTTGAGGACGCCGGGCGGTAGACGAGGGACACGGGGAGGGGCTTGGGCTTGCAGTCGTCGAGGTTGACGTTGAGCGGGGGCGGGGTGGGCTCTTGCGCTGGGGCGATCGGGGTGGTGGAGTAGCGACGAACGCTGCTGAGCTTGGCTCGGCGGCGAAGGAGCTCATCGTGGGCTGTGGCTCTTCAGACGAGCGTTGCCGGTCGCGCGGTGGTAGTGCCCGTGACGGATGGCTGCTCCTTAACGTGGGCATGAGCATGGAGCTACCACGTTACGCGTAGTGCCCGGTGACAACCGGTGTTGGATGGCGTCGAGAGGTGAGACCGCGACCGTACGCAACTCGTGCTGGGCACGGAGTTCGCGGGCTTACAGCGGTGTCTGAGTGTCCGGAAGTATAGCGCATCGAAGGGATCGGAGGAATAACGCACGGTCAGGCAGCGGACGATTGTATGGACAAGCGTGCGAGTAAGCGTTGAGCAAGCGGATGTGTGGGCCAGCAAGCAAGGGGTAGGTGAACAGCAGGTGGGAAGACGGGGAGTGCACGATGAGTCGGCGAGAAAGCCAGTGAATGGGCGAACGGGCGGACATTTAGATGAACGAGTGGTTGATTGGCTAGGCGAGCACTAGTAAGTTGGGTAACATGGACATCCCGCAAGAACACGCCGTGACCTTCGACTTCCGAACCTTCGTAGTCGCTTTTGTCCCTCCTCCTTCTCGGTCGCATTGCTTGCCTTTCATGACCGCTATGCTTTGGGCGGCCTTGTCGCTCAGGAGTGAAGACTGAGTGCTAGAATTGCACACACATTGCGCCAGTCGGTCCAGATTGCGGTGTCGCCCAAGCCATGAGAGGTTGAAGAGGTACGACGGACTGGAGCTTGCGTGTCAGTTGGACGACCTGACTATCTTGCTGGGGAGTTCACTCTCCTGGCCGCCAGTCTTCGAGAAGTAGCACACGACGAAGGGACAGGCAGGAAACCGAGTGTGAGCAGCTGGACAGTCGAAGGCTCGAAGCCATTGTCGCGTTATCGCCGCATCGAGAGCAATGTCGGGCGGTAAGTAGCGCTGCGACCGCGCGGACTCTTGACTTGTAACACTTGACGCCCTTGTGTCGAGCGCGTCCTCGAGCGGTATCTTGAGGCCACTTCTGACACTTCGAGGCGTGAGTCTGTGTGTCCGATTTACTGCCGGGTACCACTGCCTGATGGGTGCTCGATCGAGGGCCTTGCCTGTTTGTGTGAACACCGCGGGGTGGTGCGGTTACCAGGTCGGCGTAGCCGGAGGGCCGCGGGGTGTGAACGTTTGACAGGAACGTCTGAACCCTGAGGCCTGAGGCCTGAGGCCTGAGCGGAGTCGCACGCACCTTGCTAACATGGCAATAGTATACTTATTTCGGACCGGTCCCCAGAAGCCGGCGAGCTCCCTTACATACTTACCAAGTAGGAGGTTGCCGGATTGGGTTACCGAAAAGCGCTCGTCTCGCCACAATTTCCAGCCTTTCCAGGCAGGTGCCGACTTCTGGGGGCCGACTGACCGGTCCGACATAGTATCTGCCAACGCGCCGGCGATCTATCGGGGAAGTGACGAAGATCCTAGAACGCGGGAGGCCAGTGGAGAGTCTCTGACGAGCCCTCCTGCAGCACGGTTGGACGGCAGGGCGGCGAGATGGGCGACGTAGCGACGCCGCTGGAAGACGCACACACAGTGGATCCTCCACAAGAAGACTGCCTTATATGGCAAGGTAAGGAGGAAGGTGTGATAGTTGTTGGCTGGTGAGCCCGGCAGGCCTTCGCGCGGACCTGCCCATTGCGGCGGAAGATCGCGAGCCTCGGGGCACAGTCTCCGCAAGAAATGGCCTGGACACGTAGGGTTGACATTGGGTTATGCCTTCCGAAGCGCACGCAGGAGGGAGCTGCTCCTCCCGCCTTCGCTTGTTCCTCGCCTCCCTCATATGCACCCATCCAGCTTGGTTTGGATCCCCGCAGGTCCCCAGCCTATCTGGACCCCACACACGCACAAGCGAGCTTACCGGTTTCCCCGCCCATCTATCCATTCCGCCTCCGATCGCTCGCTGCTGTTCCCATCCACGCTCCCCGCCCGATGTCCTTCTCCCACCACGCACACCACACCAATCGCGCCGGCTCAATGGCCGCCGCCGCCTATTCCGCCTACCACGACAGCGACACGATCTACAGCATGCACCAGTACTATCCTACGGGCACATGTGCGAGCCCCGTTGAGCACGATTATTCAGCTGGTGAGGCTTCCTACATGCTAGACACATCCAGGGCGCACTGGCCGGCCCAGCCGTCCTCGTCCGTGTTCTACCCTGCCTCCACGTCTGCCTCCGACTATGCTTCGCCCGCATCCCAGCAGGTATCCTATCCCTCCCCGTACACCGCGTCCTCCTTGCACACCACCCTGCAGGATCCTTACGCCGCCTCCACCACACCCCTCCCCAGGTTGCATCGCGTCTCCTGTCCCGCGGGTAACGCCCCCGCCAACGCGCCCTACACGGAGGTCAAAACAAAGGAGGAGGAACTTGAGTCCGGCTTCGTCTTCGAGCTCATGTCCCACACGAGGCTCTCGCGCTCCACGAACCCGCTCCTTGACAGCATACCCGAGCTGCCCCTGCGCGCGACGCAGGCGAGCAAGGAGATGCGCGTGCTCATGGGCGCATTCCGCCTCGACCCCTTCGCGATGCACAATGGCGTCAATAGCGCCGCGAGCCAGAGCGTCCCCGTTGGCATCGAGATCGGCCCGCTCCGCGTGCCCCCCGTCATGTTTGAGTGGCAGGCCGAGCTCGTCCGCCCGCTAGTCCCCCAGAGTGCGCGTTGGTTCCCCGAGGAGCAGCCGATGCACGCGTTCGACGACGAGAAGTTGGCGCACGCGGGCGCGATGGAGGTGTACGGTGAGGTGAGCGATGGACGGGACGACATGGACGCGGACGTTGCGTTGCAGCCAGTGATGACCCCCGAGCAGGCGGCCAACTGCGGCACCAGTTTCGCGGACCAGCAGGGGATGGTCTCGGCATCTTCGTCCTCACCGGAGGGATACCCGGTGCAGCCGCTCTCAGGCAGTAAGTGCCCGCCGTTAATCGGTGCCGTTTGGTCGACAAAATCTGACGGATATCTATCCATTTAGTCCTCAATCGGTCTGGGCACTCGTCCTCGTCCCAAGCATCAATAGGATCCCGTTCCCTCCCGTCTCTCCCCAAGCCCCGATCGTCCTTGTTCTACCGTCAAACGCAGAACTATGCTCTGTGGTCGCCCACAGCCACGCTCCCGTCTCCAAGCGCTCTACATCTCCCATCGCTCTCCCAGTCGCCCATTGCCTCATCTGCGATGCGCACTGGCATATTCTCTGTCTCAACATCACTCCCAAGTCTCTCGCGCCGATGCCAGCTTGACTTTTCTCAGATGCACAGCAGCTCCGTCGCGCAGCCACAGCCGCAATACGCGAGCCCGAGCCCTCCCGCGTTCTTGAGCAACAGCAACGATGGGGGGGGCGGGGTGGCGTCGAGGCCTGGCTGTTACAGCGACGGCACGCAGCGATGGTACGGCCGCTCTGCGTTCGCGCTCGAGGCGTACACTGCGTCGGCGTGCACATGACCCGCTGTGCCCGCGGAGGCGGAGGCGGCTGTCGCGCTGGCGGTGCGGCTCCGTCTTCGTCAAGATCGTGACGGGGGGCGTGGCGTGGTGGACACGGTGACACTGACAGGTGGCAGGTGGCAGGTAGCCGGTGGACGGGAGGGCGTGGATGACATGACGGTGTCGACGCGCGCGGCGTGTGGGCGTGCGTTCCGAGTCCGAGTCGGAGGGTAGCCTGCGTTCAGGCTTCTGAGGCAGCAGCGGGCGCGACCGCGGTGCGAGTAGACGTCGCGCCCGCCCACCTGCTGCCGTGATAATGTATATATTTCTGGTGGACTTGTCCTGTCATCCCATCCTGTTTCATGATACGAGCCCTCGGTATACCCCTCTCTCCTCGTCGACCTGGGGTGCGGTGGACGATCCGATAGTTAGCATCGCCGGCAGCAAGTGTTGTCTTGGGGGTTCATCGCGTAGTTCTCGGGCTGAGTGTATAGTGACTGTATCTCTATGACGAATCGTTGACGAATCGACACGGCCCGTAGAAAATATACTTCTTGTATTTTGTACATCGCGCGACCGATTATACACGCTCAACACTTCGAGTGCCAAGTTGGATCCGCTCATTTTGTCTGTGCTCTGCGCGCGTGTTCTTTATTGAACGTCAAGTGAACGGACGACAGCTCTAACTCAGTGCGGGAGAGTCCAGCAGCCGACTCCTGCTCGGAGACCACTGGCAACCCGAAGTTATGAAACTCGGCTCAGCACGATCGCAAAGTCGCGGCTCTGGTTTAGAGTCGCAGACTTAGTGGAGGCAAGAGTACATAGTCTTGAATTCGGCACAATCGAGTAGCGGCGAGATAAGCCTGAGCAAGTTCCGAAGTCCACGAGCTCAGGTATCATTTGTCAATGGTAAAGTACACTGGTAGTATACATTTCGAGTGTGTCAACAGAACATACAAGATCACACGAACACTGACTCCCGCTATGAATGTTATCATCTTGTGCGGAGACAGACTCGCGCGCCTGAGACACGATCGCGCGGCTGCTGTCGTGACACTACATAAGCGACGTTTGGCGGCAAATGCGCGAGATTATCAGAGAATATGGGCGCGGGACGCGATGCACGGAAACTGCTGCGACTTCCAGGAGGACAGGATCCAGGCTGGAGCTTCAGATCTCAGATCTCAGAGCTCCAGCAATTTGAACATACCTAATGAAAAGAAAGAGGCACCATCCTGCGATTGTGTTCAATCATCTCAATGGATCATGCACACATCACTGCGACAGGTATGTTTTATTGATGCACGACCAACGTCACAATACAGTACCACTGCAGGACAGCGAGCGGAAGCCACAAGAATAGTGCGATACATAATCAGTTTTTGGCAGGCTTGAAGCGAGATTTACGTCCACAGACTGGGCCTGGTTGCACCTTAACATCACCAACTTGAAGGCTCTCTGCGCGTCTCACTGCAGCCTGCACATCGTCATATTGTTCCCAATGGACTGGCGCGGGAACAATGTTCTCGTATCTTGCTGCCTCTGCCCTAGACGACGCAATCAGATGGGTGAGATAGGGCGTTCACACGAGCTTACCGGTCGCTGAACACACCAACTTTCGTACCAACAACCACTACATACCACTTGCCCTTTCGCGGCAAGTCTTCATCGATGACACGGTTTTGATTGTTCGCCCGGGGTGGCAAAGATGCAGTTGCACGAAGAGGAGCATCCGGAAGCGGATAATCAGCAGGCAGTGGCGGGATGAAAGACGGACGAGTCGCAGTGGTAACACGGTTAACACCCACAAATTTTCGACGGGCGAACACCGTAGTCGGTGCAGGGGCGTTCGTAGGTCGGTGATGGGCTGCCGGAAGGGTAGGTGAAGAGACCGGAAGGGCCGGAAGGGCGGCGCGGAGGTCGTCGAGGTTATTGAGAGGTGTAGTGGACGCACGCAGGCCCTCAACAATTAAGGCATGGCGCCTGGACCGCGCTGAGGCTTCGATTAGATATATAAGCCAGGGAGCATGATTCAGAACATACCCTCAGGAGAAGCGAACGCTGACGGTTTGCGCTGAGGCGCAGGGCTTGCAGGTGCCGCCGGTATTATGGATGATGCACCTGTGGGCATGGGGCCCGTTGTCGTCGTTGTCGTGGGGGAGGGCGGGATATACATCGAGTGAGGCACACATCTGCTATTGGATCCCGCCGCCGCTCAGCGCGCTGTACGCAGTCTTTATCACCTCACGCGCGCCTTCGGGCGCTCTCTTGAACCTAACGTTCATGTGGCGCGACGGCCAGTCCCCCTCCCCGTTGCGATTTTCACTTCTTCTCTTGCCACCGCTCGCTGTTCGCCTGCCACCACGCCGCAATGTATCGGTCGCATGACAGATAAGGATTGCGGGGATACTTCGTTGCTCGACACGGATGGTCCCTGTCAATGCCAGCGCCAGCGCCAACTTCACGCAAGACTTTCTGCTCACCACCCGAATTTCATACATGGGACGTCCTCCCTTCCCACTGGCGTACCTTCTTCCGTCACCCAGTACGTACATTCGGTGTAGTGCGGGGCGCCGTCATTGACCAATGTTCACGGAGACACACATGCCGCCCAAGTCGTGGACGACGCTCGAGCAAGCAGAGTTTTGGTCAAGACAAACAAATATTCCTGCGCGTCAACCGTCAAAACAGTATCAAGACCCTGTGTAGTGCCCAGGCCGCAAGGCAAGGGACCGCTAGTCACCGTCACGCGAAGGGGAGATGCATTAGACTCATGGAGCACGAGACCGTTACTCTGGTTGCTCGGCAACCGGGGAACCCTATTTCTGGCATCAGCATTTCACAATGACCAAACAGTCAGACACTCACGTATGTGATGTAGTCAGGACTTTCGCAAGCCTTGTACTCCTCCAGAAGCTCTTCCGCAGTAACCCTATAACGCCCGTTTAACTCGCGTGAGCTTCGAAAGCAAGACGATTGCGTACTTGGCATCGTCGAACTCTTCCAATCCGTTTTCGAATATCTTCTCCTTCTTGTACTGTTCTACAAACGCGTTCCTCTTGCGCAAACGGTCGAACTGATCGATCATGCGCCTGAAGAGCTGCAGCGCGGCGACGACACGTAAAAGTTACGGTGCAGTGGACGACACGCAAGGTACGCACGGAAACGATGCTCGTGTGGTTCGCAAGCATGAGCCCGCTTACACGGTGTGCCGTGCTTATGTACGGTGACTTGCGCGTGAGAGCCACCTGGATGGAGGCCGGGCCCCAAGGGATGAAGTTGGCCAGTTGGCGCTCGCGGATACGGAGTAGCGATTGGTGGACCTGTGATCTCAGTGAATACACCACACCCGTGTGGGTCCGAGAGCACGTACGTCAGGGGGATCAACGTTACCCTGGATGATGTTAAGGATGGAGATGTAACAGGCGGTCTTGCCTGGCGTTGTCGAGACCATGCGGTTCTTGGGATGGAGAAGGCGGCGCATCACGTCGAGAACGGTCGTCCGCTGGATGGGTTTTGCCTGCGGCTAGATATTAGCCAGGGGACGGAGTCGGTCAGGTTGAATAGCCTACCTTGTCGATCTGGTCGCTCGTGAACGGGGTGTATGAAGTCATGAGGAAGTGGCACCGTGGTGTCGGAATGAGAGAGGCGATGATGCTGACGAGGTCATTATTCATGTATCCGGGGTATCGAAGTGTTTGGGTGCTGGCAGCCATAACAGTGGACATCTGTTACGCGTAGTTATCGCAGACGCCGGAGTCCCATTATGCAGCTCTTACCAGTTGATTTGCTTGGTCGAACATCGGTGTCTGGACGTGTAACCTGTCCGCTGATATCCGCGCGAGGGCGCCATTGTCTAGAACGACAACAGAATCGGCGTTGTTTGTCAGTCGCTTCAGGGTCAGCAGAGCGTTGTAGGGCTGCACTACGACATCGCCCTCCTGTGCGTTTGGAAAGACGGAGTATGTTTGAATGAGCTTCTTCGGGAACTTGTCGTTCAGCCGTTCAAGAAGGAAAGAGCCTAGCCCGGAGCCTGTCCCGCCTGCTATTGAGTGCATGAGCATGAAGCCCTGCGACGTCTTCGATTCCCTGCGTAGAGGTAAGGAGCGAATCGCGCACCTCGAGCGAGTCGCTGCCTTCCGCTTCTCGGTCAATCATCTCCATGATTTCTTCGTGGACTCGTTCGCCTACCGAGTATCCTTGGGCCCAGTTGTTACCAGCGCCGCCGCCGTCACGGGAAACAAAGATGCTTTCCCGATTGTACAGATTGGCATATGGTGATGCGAGGATGCCATGGATGACCTAAGCACAAGAAATGTCTCAGTCGCATAAGTCAGCCAACAAAACGCGGTGACATACACGAGGCTCTAAGTCCACAAGGATCGCGCGGGGGATGTAATGTTCGTCGTCCCCCTGGTAGAAGAAGACATCCTTCCTGTCGCCGCACTCGGTCGCCCACTCCTCCAGCATCCCCTCCTTGTTGATACCATGCTCAACACAGAGCCGTTGCCAGTATACGGAACCCACTTGCGACGAGCCTCGGTCAGATCTCGATCAAAGCAGACACAACTGCGGAAGGCGCACTTTGGTTGCCGCACTGGCCAAGCTGCACTGTCACAATCTCGCGCGGCATTCCAATGGGACTGCTCAATTACAACCGGTTCAAATCCCAAGACAGCCCAAGACAGACGGAGACTCAGAGGTCTGGGAGAGGAGGAAGACGGCGACAGGCCCATCAGAAAAAAGGAAATTCGGCCATAGCCGCCGCACTGGATACATCGCCAAAATAGGCTTCATAGGTGCGGTAGCTACAGGCGGCTGATACTACACGATCGCACATAGCGTACCCCGGACTATTAGCGGGCAACCGTATGCGGTAGCGCCTTACTCGCGCATGAGGGAATGTAGAGCCAGGGTCCCGATGAGAAATGTGTACACATTTAAGAGGCTGCAAGGGGTGTCATGGCAGCGAGGAAATTGCGATTGGACGAGACGCGTACAGCCTGAGGTGCGGGGCAGATGATGGGAGAACAAGCCGTCCGCTGGGGTGGACTGTCCACGGTGGACTCCCGTGGACTCCACGAAGCACGTGACGAGTCCAAACAAAGGCGATAAGATTACAGCCTTTTACGGCGCAAGGTAGCCTCAAGACCCGGGACCGCGCCGTACACAAATGCAACGAGCTCTAACAACGTGCCAGGGGCATCGGTGGAGGCTCGCAAAGAATGGTCGTGCAGGGAGGGAAGGTGGTTGTAGTCAGCAGGGTCAACAAACCAGGTGAGTTCCCTGCTTGTCACCTCGACCCGGTAGCTGACCCTGACAAGCGATTAATGCCCACCAAGGACGACCGGACGGAGACGAACGCGACGGAGACGGCCCCAGCGCCGCTCGCGCGCATGCCCAATGCGCATGAGCGCGGTGAAGACGACTCCGATGCGCGCGTGCGCAAGCGACACAAGCCCGCCAGCGCAAACTCACCAGGTATGCGCCTCACGACTCAACGAGCCTCAACATGCCGCGCGCGGACCCGCTAGCAAGAGCCGGTTGCTTGTGGATGGGATATATCACGCGCAGACGCATTCGGGTACGGCGAGGGCCAGCTCGCTGCATACCGACACGGCATGCCCAAGACCCAACTCAGCGAACAGGACCGCGATGAACGTCTGCCAGGCACGCTGGTACGTGCACTCGCGCAGCACATACATAAGGGCTTACCGAGCAATCGCAGCCATCTACATCGACCCCGCTCACTCGTATGCTCGGGCACTTGGGCACCCACCTGCTTTCGCTCACCCGCTCACCCGCCCACTCATCCACTCGGCCACTTGCCAGCCCACGCGACCACCTGCCAGCCCACGCGACCGTGACAAACCGGCGAGGTCAATGAACCCCTCGCGTCATGCGTGCGCTGGCGGATGTCCATCCGCCTCCGCCATACAGGCGCTCGCCATGTGCCCGCCGTGCGCAAACACGCCCACAAGCCTGGTCTGTCGCGCCAACAACTGCTCTCGACGCGTACGAGGACACGAGCGCATCACCGGCAGCCTGCCACATGGTCGTTTGTGGTGCCCACACACGACGAGCAGCAACCGCTGCTGCCCATCATGGCCCATTACTGCCCTGCCTGTCTGCGTGCTCGCCCATGCACTTGCCGGTCTGCACACGCTCGCCCATCCGCTCGCTCATGCACCTGCCCGCTCGCACAGCACCTGCACCCCTGTCCGGCACACCCGCCCCCTCGCCTGCTCGCCCGCCGTGAGCCTACCGCCTGCCCTCACTGTTAGCAATTTCGCGGATCATCCGAGTCATACTCACGCCATAGCATGCTGATTTGGGACCAACATCACTAGAATACATTAGGCTACTTCATTACGGTATCTACTTGTACCCGTCGACGCGAAAATGTGTACACGGCTTAATGCGCTTCGCTGCATATCACGAAACAGTTGGTCAGACTACTAGTAAGAAACATTGTGATCAGTGACAATAGGGCAGTAATAACGGTTTACAATCAGTCAGTAGACTATATAATGCGAATCTAATCAGCTCGTTATCGGCGTCATTGTTTGGTCAGTCCAGCTCCGCGGAGTCCACGTGGACAAGTCCACCCCAGCGGGTCCATTACTTTGGATGATGGGCTGCTCTAGCCGGGATGTCCACAGAGCACGGTAGATAATATTAGGGGTTGTGATATCATCTATTTATATCTCTACAAGAGGCGTGAACGTGAGAACCGGAGACAAACGTCGCTAAGACAAACATGGGAGACATTCTTATTGGCTGAGAGACAAACTTGGAGACATTCTCATTGGCTGAGTACGGTTGCCCGATAGTCCGGGGCCGGGCATTTTTGCACGACGCGCCTTTGACGCGCCTCAGCCATATCGCGTCCGCCTGCTCCATGTCTTCTAGGACTGGGAATACTCACGTTACGGTCGTAGAAACATGACTGCTACACGTAAAGCACTGGGAACATCAAAAGAGAGGGATTAGCAAGCTCATCGGCCCTCAAAATTCACGCGAAAGCTCGACGACCTCGGAAAATGGTAAGCGCCCGGCGCGTTACCGCGACTCGCTCGCTCGGACTCGAAGGCGCAAGTTCTACACCACCTTTATGGCCGCGGCAGACCAAGCACAGTATATATGGTGAGTTATTCATACGTGCTGTGGTTTTACTTCTCGTACTACGGGCATAGTTCGAATTGTACAGCCCATGTTCTCAGCTCGGACACTGCTGCAAATGAAGTAGCTGGTACTATGCAAAGTCAACTGGGATACTGAGCAGAACGAAGTGCTGAGGGTAGGAGAAGCTCAGAAGTGCTTTTACGTCTATCTATCTATGGCTATGACAGGTGCAAAATAATAGTGGTCTTGCCTCGGAGTCGTACTTACTGCGTTGCGGGCCTTCGTGTACATCGACAAAACCAAAATATATATCATGTGTCTCGAACCGTACATCTGAATCACCTCATCACCCCCGGACAAAGCATGCACATCAAAACCCTACACCGAGAGCTTCAGGAAGTTTCATGAAGCTTCACTGGGCCTGCCGGACTCCGCTCAGCACTGCAGTATCAGTAGTACCGAGTGTCATACCATCCTGCTTATGCTAATCTGCATCCCTGTTCGACATCTCACAAGTTCCTGAAAACCAGCCACGCACCAGCATACAACATGGCCCATAGTTGTATCCTCCAGACTTGCGCCTTCGAGTCCGAGCGAGCGAGTCGCGGTAACGCGCCGGGCGCTTACCATTTTCCGAGGTCGTCGAGCTTTCGCGTGAATTTTGAGGGCCGATGAGCTTGCTAATCCCTCTCTTTTGATGTTCCCAGTGCTTTACGTGTAGCAGTCATGTTTCTACGACCGTAACGTGAGTATTCCCAGTCCTAGAAGACATGGAGCAGGCGGACGCGATATGGCTGAGGCGCGTCAAAGGCGCGTCGTGCAAAAATGCCCGGCCCCGGACTATCGGGCAACCGTAGCTGAGACACGACGCCCGAACACCTCGTTTAAACGTTCAACGTTCAACGTGCAACACTGAATCTCTATGTACCACTCTTCACCACTAGACTCACGCGCGACACTCGAGTTCAACTCTCGCTCTGACATGGGAGGGCGGGGACCAGGAGGTCAGCGGTAAGGCGCAAACAACAACGAGTGACAGGAGTGTACCGAGCGCAGCGATGGAGACCGCAACCAGTGGCCGCAATACCTTCTACTTATAGCATAACCGGTTACCTGGCACCCTTCCTCATTACTCAGACGCGCGCGCGGCACTTACGTCGACTTCTCGCTCTGGCATGGGAGGGCGCGGACCAGGAAGACAGCGGTAAGTCACAGAAATCAACGAGCAACAGGCAATCTGGAGAAAAGGACGAGAATAACACGGACAAGCAAAGGGACGAGAACGAGGGCCCGTGCCTTCACGAGTGACAGGAGTGTACCGACCGCAGCGATGCAGACGTATACCGTGAGTGCAGACACACGCGAGTGGGCTCGCTAACTACAGGAACAGGGCGCGGCGACGTGCAGCATGACGCACGACGCCCATGAGTACGCAGGGCCAATGCCCTGCATACAGACATGGCCGACGAATGGACCACGGATGCATGAGCGAAGGAGTCGGAGGGATGGGGAATGAGTAGGCGCAGTTGCCGTCGCGACGTGAAGCGCAACGCGCATGCCGACCGCGAGCGCGCCGGGCAAATGCCCAGTGGGCAGATGCAGCCGACGAACGCGCGCAGAACAGGTGGGCGAGCCTGCGGACAGGTGTGCAGGCGTGGAGGGGCAATCGGATGGGTAAGCAAACGACTGGATGGGCGGGGGAGCGGGCGGGCGAACAAGCGAGCGAGTAATAGGTGACAGCGCATACGTCGACCGCGATCGCGCTGTGCCAACGCCAACTGCACGCAGACACGGCCGACGGCCAGGCACGCACGCGGGCGAGCGAGCACACAAGCAGGCCATGACACGCATAGCGAAGGCGGGGCGAATTCTCGGCGAGCATGCAAGGAAAAGCTTTCGAGTGAAGCGCAGCCGACGAGCGGAGGGTCAGAAGCCAGCGGGCGTGGACGGGGGCGAGTGGGCAGGGAAGGGCGAATGGCTGGCAGAGACGGGTGATGACGGGGGGATGAGATGAGTGAGGACGAGTAAGGACGGGCGAATTAACGTCAGATATGATGCGCGGCAACACCGAGGGCGCAGGCACAACGCGCACGAGTAGGAGTCGGAGAGTGGCTACTCGGAGGCCATGGGCATAGGTGTGCTGCTTGTCTGAATAACTTCCAGGTTCTGCTGTTGATGAGCGGGTTATAGGGACACCATGATTCCCCAGACTACGAACATCGTTCACTGGCTGTCATGAACAGCATGCCCAAATCACTGGATGCCGCATTCGTTCACGCGACGCAGGATTGTATTCGAAATGGTATGTGCGCCGTCCCCCGAACTCCAGTCTGACCATCTCTCCACTACGGCCTTGCGCTCTGCCTCGCGCGTCGCACGTCAAACATTCGGAATGATGACAGAAGCGACTTTGAAAGTCGCGGCGACAGTCAACCATCTCACGCGCGAGATCGAGCCCAACGCGGGTCGTGGCGGCGCGAAGAACATCCGAATCGGCACGCAATACACGAGCATGTACCCGAAGACGGTGCCTTCGACCCGGCGATGTTCTCGGATCCTGCAGTATGTCCAGCCTCGCGATGGAACAAGCGGCGGCAGCGAATGGACTTCATTCGGAATGGTGATGTGTTCTCGCCGAGGAGCGTCGTGCTGCTGAATGAGTATGCTGCTGAGGAGGGAGTAGGTACTGGGATATACGGGGGACATTGAGAAGGAGTTCGATGACTTTGATGCAGAGGATGACCCGGACGAGGTTGGGCGCATCGCGGTAATGAGACGCCGTCGAGCGGCAATGAATCATTATTGTGCATGAACCGGGCTACATAGCTGCCACGCAAGGCCCTATGAGCACTAGGTAAGTACATTTATACAGAGCAATCCATGAATCTGGCCACTCAGCCGCCTCCCTCCGGGAGTCGGCTTCTTGACCTTCTGACTCACTGGCAGCAAGCAACTCGAGTTGCAGTCCCGTCTCTCTGAGGACTCATACGGTATGTATGTAGAGTACAGTTGTATTTGCGAGCGCACACCGCTACCGTAGCGTAGCACGGGCTTCGGCTAGTTCATATACGTATATAGTAGTCAAGGTACTACAACGCGCCGCAGAGCAGGAAATAAGCAAGGACGGATTGAGGACTCGGACGGATGACCACAAGGCCCGCCGCCCCCTTTTCTTCGTAGCGACGGATCTCCGGGCGTCAAGATGATGGGGCTAGTAGTACAGACAGCGGGACGGCGGCCCGCAACCATGGACGAAATGAAAGTTATGCAAAATGAATGACTAGCGATGCAGACGGAGTGGGAGTGGGACAGTGGCAAAGGGTATGATGGCGGAAGGAAGATGCGCCACGGCGTATCCACCTGTCCACGAGCAGTAGAGTCGACCTGCGAGATAAATAAAAGGCACAAGGCTCAGTACTCCGGCCGCTTGTACTCGTCCCTGGCGATCGTCGGGCTGTCCGGCCGCCCGCACCCGTCACCGGCAACCGTCGGGCTTTCCCCATGGTAGCAGCTCTCCAGGTCTGCTTTGATGGCGTCCGTCGTTTCGCACTGGATGAAGCTCAGGTCCGACGGCACATTGCCTGCTGAGGTCTTCGCAAATGTTTGCATCTGTCCCTGCGTCAGCATACAGTGCATATGTTCAATGCCAGACGAGCTGACCTGGATGTGGGTGCCGCCGCCGACCGTCTTCTTGTTGGGGATGTTCACCGTCGCGTTCACCGTCCGACTGCGCTTCACGCGACTGAGCGCGGGCGTCGTGTGAGCGGGCGAGCACTGGCTGAGGCGGCACGGATGACGTACCTGTACACTTCGGCGGTGGAAGACGTGTGTGTGTGATTTGCGAGCCGGCGCACGACGCGGCATGCCACGATCTTTGCAGGTCGTCAGGAGCGTGGAATGGTAGAAGGAGCGTAGGTAACACTGACGGAAGACGCGATCGCCGCAGGAACGTTCGCGATGATCGACATGACCGCGTTCAAGTTTAACAGCATGAAGATCTGGGAGTAGTCAGCATGGGCGTCGAGTTGCATATGCGCATGCACCTACCGTCGCGAGCAGGTTCGCCACGAAACTGCACGGATAACGTCAGCAACCAATTTGCATTGCACTTCCAATGGATACCCACGCAACAATGAAGTAGATCAACCCGTCACCGAAGATCAGTTGAACAATCTTGCTCCGCTTTTCGCCGCTGGATTTGTTGAAGGTAAGCTTCCAGGCGGTCAGCATAAGCACGGTGAAGTCGAAGGCCATCGAGTAGATGAACGTTGCGGCGAGGAGTGTATTGTCCGTGTCGGTGATCGCGCAGCCCTGGCCCGGAATCCATGCCGCCTTGATCAGAATTCCTGCAGAGCATGATCAAATCGGAGAGACATTGCACGAACAGGAAGCGAACACTTACCATGCAGCAGGAGTGACCAATGTCCCAAAATGACCGCAACGAGGGGGATGACGATGTACCAGACCTGCGACCATACAGCCATTCTGTACAAGTAGGGTTAGTATGGGGTGGGCGAGTGGTCAGTCGTCGGGAGCGTACGTGCGCAGGGAAAGGTTGATGCTTGCAAGCCCAATGGATGCATTCCCGAATACCTGTGCGATTTCAGCCCCCCAGTTTGGTCTAGGCCATTGGATACTACTAGGTCCTTATGCGTACCTGGTTGTAGGTATACAGCGCCTGGCAGTTAATCGCCCTGGAAGTGACATCAGAGAAAGCTAAGCCGGTATGCAGTAGGCGGCGTACGTGGTCGCATCCAACGCGATCGCTCTGCAAGAAGGCATCCGTCAGCGAGCGCACCTCAGGCTTGTGATGTGAGCGGACCGACTTACATGCCAATGAGTGCGAACAGCATGCAGTATCTATTGAAGAAAAAAAAGATCTACACATCGTAAATTATGAGCATGCTGGTTCTCGGGATTCACATGACGTCATGCTTGCTAGACATCAGTGGAAGAAATTCACAGTGACAGATATCGAAACTTGTCCCCGTCAGAAGTCATAAGGAGCGAACGTTCGCCTCCGTCGTCCTGCAGCGCAAGCGGCTGAACATACAATGACCGCAATAACGGATGATCCGTATCAATTGGGGAGAGGCCTAACCCAGTCCGGACAAAACCTGGCCGTTTGAGGGGTGGTGGGCCTGATGTAAGCGGGAAAAAATCGAGGTTCATGAGGGCGGAGGCCTGTGTCAGTGTCCAGACATGATTCCTGGAACCCCGCAAGGCTTGATCCTGTCCGGACACCTCAACCGCCCGTGTAGTATCGTAACACAGGCTAAATCAGACCTACACGTCCTCTGCATACACAAGGTCGGCGTAGTCGATGTCACGAATCACGACTTCTATGACATCGGATGGCGAGCAGCCATAGCATGCTGTGCGTGACGAGGACAGCACTGCTGGCATGATTGTTAAGCAATAGCCACCCCATCTGCTCACCGTTGGTGCTCACTTGCCCAACATCTACCATGAGTTGCATGGCTGACGAGGCATGACCCTGAATTCCGGACAGCAGCGGACAATTCTCCCTGAGGCCTGATTTAATCCGGACAAGAATAATCAAGTCTCGGGCAGCAAAATCAGCCCCCCCCTCCACCAATGAAAGGGGGTCCTGGCGGAGCATGATGGCCAGAGACTCGACAAAGTATAATCCTGATGAATAGACTCGGAGACTGAAGTACTGAAGACTTACCATGGGCCATCTGAACTTGCGTCTGCCTGAAATGTACTCCCAGTCGAATGGGACGGAGGTGAAGAACTCCCAGCTGTAGTATTCATTCAATGAGTTGCAGCGACTCCTCCTGTAAGACTGAGACGTACAGGTACAGGCCGAGAAGCGCATGCATGAACCTGCTAAAGGCGACTGCATAATAAACACGTTAGGAAACAGTCTTGTACGCGATTTTGAGTTTGAATTTGATCTGGAGACAGGGCAAAGGTCCGCGTGTTTGCTTCGGCGAGCCTTTGTCCTCCCACCAGGTCCCACAAAATCGCAAGAGGGGTGTATCCAACCTGAGTCAGCCTCAATCGCGTCTTGGGATTGCCATTCGACCATTGCTGCGGGACCGACGAACGCTAAGACGAGGGGAGTAGGCACGCCGAACGAGGGCGGGAGGACTCGAGCGGCGAAAAGAGGCGCAGGCGGTGCTGCTATATAAGTCGACGCATGTTGTGCGGAGAAGCATGGGACGAGGCGTGGAGAGCAGGGCGGATTTCTCTGCGAACATCTCCAGCGCTCCCTCTCCAACTAAGCAGCCGCCCACAAATCCAGAAGAAAATCGTCTTTTTTGGTCTGCGCGGAGGCCTCCATCCGACTTTGAAGCCAGGCAGTCCAGAGATGGCCATACACGAGGCCCTCGGGCGAAGGCATGCATCACGTAAGAACTCTCCAAATCGCTGGAAGCCGATGAAATATCCGTGAGCTTTCCGCTTGTTGGGGCCTCTTGCTTTCCGTCCTCGTACGCTCGAGAGGGCGGAAGCGAGCGAGCGGACGGAGAGGATCGCGATACGCTACGGTGAGCGCTGCGCTGAAGCGCTGAACATTGTGTGAGCTCGGCACGCAGACGTGAGGACTAGATGGAATCCCCTCCTCCTCCTCCTCGCAATCCCGACTACCGTTACCCGCTAGTCCGTGGATGAAGGTCCCGCGCCACACGTACGGTTGCCCGATAGTCCGAGGCCGGGCATTTTGCACGACGCGCCTCAGCCACATCGCGTTGCTCGACCTCCGCCTCCTCCATATCCTCCGGAACTCCCGCAGTACTCACCTTACAGTCGCAAAAGCATTTTCACTGGACCGAAAGCACTGAGAACATCAAAAGAAAGAGGTACTGGTAAGTTCATACTGGCCTGAAAACTCTCGAGGCTCGACGACCCGGGAAGTGGTAAGCGCCCGACGGTGCTGCGACTCGCTCGAACTTGGAATGCACAAGTCTGGAGGGTTCAACTATACGATGCATGGCTGCTTTGATACAAGTTTGGGAGATGTCGGACAGGTGAGCATTTTATCATTTCTAGGATGATACAACACTCGGTACGGATACCGCGGTCCTGAGCATCCGTCAGGCCCAGTGAAATACTGTAGGCCTTCCAAGACTTTCAATGTCTGGCCAAATCTGCAGTGAAGCGAGGATGTAGGGTGGTGGCGTACAAATAGGCAGATGTACGGTACAGGACAAAGGATATATATTTGTGGTTTCGTCGATGTACACGAACGTCCGCAGCACGGTACAAGACAAGGGCATACTATCACTCACCTGTCACGTCCATGCATAGCCATGAAGGCACCATTGAGCTTCTCCTACTCTCGGCACCTCATCGTGCTTAGTATGGCGGTGGACTTCGTAGACCAGTTACTTGTCTTGCCGAGTCGTCCGAATGGGCTGCCATTCCAATTTGAGCAGCCTTGAAGTACATATACAGTGTGTTACTCACTCACCATACAATACATCCTCTGCCCATGCAAGCACCTCTCTTATCATGCCCTTAGTATATCTGGAAAGGGATGTGAGTATTGACCTCCAGACTTGTGCAATTCAAGTTCGAGCGAGTCGCGGCACCGTCGGGCGCTTACCACTTCCCGGGTCGTCGAGCCTCGAGAGTTTTCAGGCCAGTATGAACTTACCAGTACCTCTTTCTTTTGATGTTCTCAGTGCTTTCGGTCCAGTGAAAATGCTTTTGCGACTGTAAGGTGAGTACTGCGGGAGTTCCGGAGGATATGGAGGAGGCGGAGGTCGAGCAACGCGATGTGGCTGAGGCGCGTCGTGCAAAATGCCCGGCCTCGGACTATCGGGCAACCGTATACACGCCTCCGAGTCAGCCACCTCGCGTCTCGCGGCCGTCGCGTCGCCTTCACGCAACGCTTATACCTCGCTCAAAACTCATCATACGGCCTTGGCGACCTCATTTTCGGAATCTACGCGTCAAATTCAACTCAGACACGGTGTCAGAAAGGCTCAATTGTCAGGCAGCTGCGCGCAAGACCTCACGCTCATATATGAGCGTTGCGTGAAGGCGACGGCCGCGTCGCCGCGAGGCGCGAGGTGGCTGAGGCGTGTGGCGCGGGACCTTCATCCACGGACTAGCGGGTAACGGTACTCGCGACCTCTAAGTATGTTGTGAAAGGACATAGTGCTGGTCTTTCCCTTTCTGCACTATGAGTGACGTTTTCGTGGAAAAATACTTACCGGCAAGTCTTACTTTCCCGACTTAGAATTTAGTGTGATTGGCGCCCGTCCAGCGCCGATGCGGTACTTGCCTAATCGGGATGAACATCGCGCCTGCCAGGGCCGCTGCGCCAGGCGTTTTCCCCTTATTCTCTTATACTGCACGGATCAGCGGGATGCACTTTTGCTGATGCGATATCCTATTTTGTCTCAGTAGGTGTACAGCTGACTGTCATGGTGGAGCCGGTGGCGACGGAGGCGAAGGCGGTTGGCAGCGAAGAGCCATCGAAGGAGACTCCGCATCGGAACGTTCAATCTTCCTCGGGCACTTGGACGCTGAACCGAACACCGTCAACAATATATGAACATCCTTTGAGAAACTGCTGTCGTCAGCGGAGCATCTCCCCTCTCTCCTACCCTCCGTCATCCTATTCGCCGTCCTGTTGTCCCCATGAGGATGTCTCACATCGCCATCCACAAAGAGAATGGTGGCACCGACCGTAAGATCACCAACTTGAACTCCTACGATATTGATGTGGCGGCACAGCTGGCTGCTGGGATCGACGTTCCTCTAGATCCTGCGAAGGCAAACCGAGTCAAGTGAGTACTAGTGTCTTGTCTTCCATGTCGGTCCATGCATTTGACACCCCACGCAGGCGGAAGATCGATCTCCACATCCTCCCGCTCATGTGCCGTGAGTATTCCTCGTAGACACATATTACTCAGAAGTGCTAATACTCTCCAGTAATTTACTTGTACGTGCTATGCAGCCCAGGAATACTGCGTGCATCTGACGCACCACACCAGAATACAGTTTGCAGACAAAATCACCCTCGGACAGTCTGCGGTCTTAGGTATCCTGTACGTCCACCGCCTCCTCTCCATCTTCTCTATGTGTTCTGGATATACTTTGTTGAACGAATCAAAACAATTGCTGTCCCTAACACGCGCAACTTTTGGTGTACCCGTGCTACGAAGAAGCACGAAGCCAGGAAGTTGTATCCCAGCCCATTGGTGTAGCACCCGGTACCGCGCGCGAAACTCGCCCTACCGTGTATGAGAGGGTTGCGCTACGTGTTGCAGGTGTCCCCGTCTCGCGTTCGGAGAGAACATTGGGTGTACTCAGTGACGATACCAATGTCCGCAGAGCCTTCGTGGCGAAAGTTTGCTTCGCATGCTACTCTTCGAATCGACGCTGGATGGAAGTCGTACACTCCGGTGTTTGTCTTCCCCATGATGTGTATACACGGAAGGCTTAGTACATCGCCAGTTGGTCTGTGGACGGCCGTTGGCTGTCGCCCAGCGCTGTTTCCCGTAGATCAACTGCTCGTGCCAGTGTGTCCTTGTCCAATACCAAAGTGCGACCAATGACAGCACATACATCTCCGGAACATAGCGTCAGGAGAACAGGATCCCCCCCTCCCACACAACGCCACATACAGCCAACTAATCTCCCGCCCCCGCAGGAAAGACGCGCACCTTGAACAAAACCAATTTGACTGGCTCAGCACCGTCTTCTACCTCTCGTTCCTCGCCTTTCAGCTCCCGCAAAGCTACGCGCTCCAGCGGTTCCCTGTCGGCAAGTGGGTCAGCGTGAACATCCTCGTCTGGTCCATCGCGCTCCTCTGCCACGCCGCCGCGAAGAGCTTCCGTACCCTCCTTGTGTGCCGCTTCTTTTTGGGCATCGCGGAGGGCGCGATCACGCCAGGCTTCATGATCGTCACGTCGATGTTCTATACGCGCGCGGAGCAGATGAGGCGGGTGGGGTATTGGTGTGAGTGTTATTTGGCTTTGAATGGTGGTTGGATGCTGATGTGAGCTGGACAGTCTTGATGAACGGCACGGCGATCATCTTGCTTGGCCTTGTCGCGTACGGGACGCTGCACATCTCGCACGGCGCACTTGATCCCTGGCAATGGTCAGTCCCCTCGTCCCTACTCTCTTCCCTCATCGCCAGGCCTATGCTAACACACTCCCCCCCACCCCCGCAGGCTGATGATAATCACGGGGCTGATCACGTTCGTCGCCGCGATCCTCTTCTGGTTCTTCTTCCCCGACTCGCCCGCGACGGCGCGCTTCCTGACGCAACCGGAGAAGACTGTCGCCATCGAGCGCATCAAGGCGAATCAGGCAGGCGTCGAGAACAAGCACTTCAAGCGCGAGCAGGTCGTCGAGGTGTTCAAGGACCCGAAGACGTACCTCTTCTTCTTCTTCGCGGCCATCTCGAATGTCACGAACTCGGTGCGCGGGTGGTGTCTCTTATCGGTGCATGGGTGATGTTACTGATGGCTGTTTGTGTGGCAGCTGAGCAACCAGCGCCAGATCATCGTCGCGGAGTTCGGGTTCTCCGCGATCGACACGACGCTGCTTGGGTGTGTGGACGGCCTCTTTGAGAGTACGTGCATCGTCGATCTCTCCCCGTCTGTCTGGCGACGCTCACCACGCCCGTGCACAGTCATTTGGATCTTCGTCGGCACGATGGGCGCGTCGTACTGGCCGCACGGGCGCGCGTACATGTGTGCGCTGCACTACCTCGTCGCGATTTTCGGCGCGATCCTTGTCACGACTCTGCCGTGGTCGGACAAGGTGGGCTTGTTGTTCTCGTATTGGATTGCAAGTGAGTGTTTGGTTTTTGCTGTCTGGTGTTCGCTCGTCCCCTCTCGAGGGTGGTATCTCTGTGATTTCGTGGTGTGTTTCATCTGCGAATCTGTTTCATTTGTTACCCCTTCTCCATTCCATCCGTCAGACCTGCCCTTCGTCCCGCCACCTTCCATCGCTCGTCCTCGCTCAGTCATACTGACCACCTCTTCTAGTCAGCTACATCGCGCCCTTCGTGATCTTCCTATCCTGGGTCGGCAACGTCACTGCGGGGCACACCAAGCGCGTGACAACGAATGCGATCGTCATGGTTGGGTACGCCATAGGGAACACCGTCGGGCCGCAGTACTGGCAGCTGCGGTACGACCCGCGCAACCGTGTCCCATGGGCAATCCTCGCAGCATGCTGGGCTGCGTCCATGCTCATCCTCCTCGCGGCGCGCTTCTACCTCGCGCGCGAGAACTGGAGGCGAGAGCGCGAGCTGAGGGACACGGCGTATGATGAGGCGTACGTTGTGGACGAGAAGGGCGAGGAGAAGAGGGTGGACAGAGTGCGTTTTCTTCTTGTTCAAGGCTTATCCCTGTTGGCTGTGGGAGCTGACTCGGATTGTATGATGCGAATGCGATGTAGGCATTCTTGGATCTTACCGACATACAAAACCGGGAATTCAGATACACGCTGTAGGGGCCGCGAGATGGGTGCATATGCAGGGAGGATCTTGATGCCAACTCGGTAGGCATGTATCGTATTTGCTTGAGAGACGATCGTGCATTGGAAGCGTCCATGTGATGACTACTTATTGAATGAGCTTGGGGCTGAATAATCCAGGATACTCATGTAGAATGGAATGTATAGTGTGCATTGGTCTTGGAATTTACCCATGGACTATGTGCGGGGCCTGTTCCACTATCATGCAGAAATGAATGCCATTCGTCCTGACTGTGCATTATTATTATTTGTCTTGCTGTAGTATGCCCCAGGTCGAGGAGAGGCTCAGGCTTAATCAGACAACCAGTGCTGATTCTTTGTTGCGATTCCTCATGGAGGTGCGGACCTAATAGTAGTATGTGATGGGAGGAACAGCTTTATACAGGTACTCTTGCTGGACTTAAATTCGTCCTCAGCTCATTTTTGTCCCTTGTAGGGACAATTCGCACTCTGGAGTCTGGCTACGGCCACCCCGAGGTCGGGCGTTTCACACCATGGGACATGCCTTTACCACTTGTTGCTTCATGTCTCGCCGATATGTCTCCTCGTTCCCCGCCTAGCTCGCTCTACAAGCTCACCATATAAGCTCAGCAACTCTAGAGTCTACACACCACAATTTTACTCACTAGTTCGGGGTTGATGTTTTCGCATTTCCGCGCCACCTTGCACAGCGCATCTTTCGTTTTCTTGTACCCTGGCTAGCTTGTGAAATCATCATATTCTTCGCTCGGCCACCACAATTCTCGACTGGCACTGTACGTGTCAATATCGACCTGCTAGTAGTAGAGGCCGGCTCAGGGTGTAGGCGCCCAATCCTATGTAAACTGCGTCTACTTCAGCTCGTCCGAATAAAGGCTCGGACAAGTTCAATGATGTTCATTGCATCGAGCCTATGGAGAATCAAGAAAGACACTGCGTCTGAATCGCCAATGCAGCCAGGATTTGCTTCCGAACGGGCTGCAGCCTGTGAGCACCACCGGAGCGGCGCTTGTTCAATCGACAGGTCGGGGACCGCGTGAACTCAGACCACATCAACCTTACTGTTACTCTACATCGCTGTCGACGCGACTACCCTCTTGTCGCATGACGCACGACAGGGCGGTCTGAATGTGTGTACTACACTCACTACTTCGTCCTTTACTCTACTCACAACTGGCGGCGTCTCGCCGGACAGCTGCACGCTGTGCATGTACACTACCTCCCGCCGTGCAAGTTCCATACTCCCACGACGGCGCCCACTGCATCTCAAGGAGCACCGTATGGAGCGCGCAGAGATTCGCAACCGGCTCGCGGATGACCACGCGGTGGCCACGCGTTGGCCGTTGGACGTCTCTCTCTACAGTCACTCGCCTATCTCCGTCACTCCGCTCTCTACCTTCACCTCCGCATGCCCGTCCGCGTCGTCCAGCGAATGTTCCGAATGTTCGCGCCCCCGAGCCAAGACGGCAGCAGACAAGGCAAGATTTGCATCGCCTATGGTCAGCACTGCCACCGCACACCCACCCTACCTCTTCATCGCGCACCGGACGCGCGATGAGCCTGTCGTCTGCAAGTGATATGCCGGTCAGTACCTCGCTATTTCACAGCTATGCAGAATTGCAAATCACTGATGCTCGCCCAGCCCACATACAGGCGTGCTGATTGAGGAACTGCAAGGAACACGTTGGTCAGTACTTACTTCTCCTTAGTCAGGAAGCAAACGATTCACTACTGACCGATGCTCGTGAACAGTCCAGAGCTAAGCATGATACCTCGATCACGTATGGGGGGCTCGCGAATGACCGCGGCGACGTCGCAATCTTACGCCCCGCTCCTGCATCGAGGCCGCATCCCCGCATCCCCGGCGGCCCGTTGGCGCCACTGGGTCACGATGGGATCGTTCCTGCACACCCGGCTCGAATGCGTGCCTGGCCAGGTCGTCCCTCACCGTCACGCACAGCGTCCTCAGGCTCAATCCCAACGCCCACCCGGAAGCATGGACTACGACCGGCGATCTGCTGAGTCCTCCTTCTACAGCCTTCTACAGCGCGCCAGTCGACCGATGCGCTTCATGCGTCGCCCTTCGCCCGACCCTCCCCCTCCGCCGCGGAACCCGATTCACGTGTTGAGGGCGGGACCCTCCCGTGCAAGTCTGTGACTGTTTATTCTGGCAGATGAGGCACTGTCAGGCGATCCTCCTCGCGCGGGGGCGCGGACGTGCCCAGGCCTTCCGAGAAAGATGACGAAGACGAAGACGACATCGTCCCTGTGCTTCAGCGCAATCTGCGGCCATTAGCCTCGAGGACCAAGTTCCAGCACTACGGTCGGCCGGATCATGTCCTCGTCAACAGGACAAGCAGATCGTCGAGTTCATGACCGTGACAACTTTCCGCGGTCTAACTTAGTGTGCGCGGTCGACACCAATGGTGCCATTGTCGGCTTCAGGTGTTCTCTTCGCTCAGCAACTCGAGTGCAACTGTGCACGTGTCGTGAGGATCTACATTGCCTTCCTGCCTACATCGAGTTATCTTCTGTGTCCTAGCTTGGGCACATCTCCCTGCAGCCCTCATCTCACATCTCGCGCGGCTGGCCAATTGTAGGGCTTCCAGTTGTGGGGCTTCGACGAGAAGAGCGGCATCGTGCCGACGTCCCACCGCGACGACAGCCAGCTCCCAGGATATCCCTCCTCTCCGATATACAACGCCTCCTCTCAATCAGACCATATTACTACCTCACTCTTACTCACAGAACCCCGCACGACATGGACTGCGGTGGCGATCTGCAATCCCCTCCTACGGCGCGCGCAAGTCGGCGATGCGTCTACCTCGCATACAGCCCGAACCGCATGTAACATTTCGTTCTTCTCAGCGGGGACGGAGGCGACTGTTTTTGGACAGGACACTGGGTAAGCCCGTGTGATTGAAGACAGTTGAAGAGACGTGCCTGGGCTGATGGAAACTGTGTCGCAGCTAAGGACCCCCGAGACGACCCGAAAATCCTTGTCCGGACAGGTGGCACCGATATGCCCGGAAATCAACCTACCCTCCCCGCCCAAAAGAGGCTGATCCTGTCCAGACCGCTGGGACTTGCACGTATGCTCATGACTCTAAACTCACATGTCTGGGCAGCCGACTGGCCTCGCTATACCTGGCTGTGCCATGTCCGGACGCTGTGACTAGCATTTTCTATGCTGCAGCCTCGTTTGTCCGGTTTCTGACGAATCCTAAACGGCCGAAGAGGGTGTCTCGTGTCCGGATTCCGACCTAGCCTCCTGAGGGTAAACCCGGGGTCCTCGCAGCTATGCAGCTATCGCCGAGTGCCTTCGCCGGTGCCGCACGTGTCGGAGGACGAGCCATTCATGCCGAAAGATGTGGGGCTAGTGACAGGCCCAGCCCGTTCAGAAACGAAGAAACCTGAGATGCAGGACATGAGGTCGTCGGCCAGAGATTCGCGTCGTTTGAGAACTGCTTCGGTGCGTGGGCTGCGGGCCATGATCGTGTTAGCGCTATGCATAGCGTAAGTCGCCAACTCCTCCTGAGCGGATTCTACTTGACTGGAGTTCAGTGTCCTCGCCTTTAGACAGCGAGTATTCGATGCAGCACCGCTCGGGGGCTTGCGGTCCTTCCTTGTTAGAAGTTCGGGCGAGGAGACGGACGTGTCGTAGACGCGTCCTACAGTTGAAGACTACGGTCACAAACAGACCCTAGGAGAGGATGAGGATCTGGCCCCTCCTGCTCCTACGATCACCCTCGTTCGGCGGAACGCAACATCCCAATCACGCCTATGCTCCCGCCATGCATCCGTAGAACACGCTTGACGTCCCCTGTGGGACGAGTCACTATGGTCATCAAGTCCTTGAGAGGAACATTGGTCCCTACCGAATGAAGGCCGCCGTACACCTTAGCCCCATCCCCCCTCACACCGCGACCTCAACCACCCCGAGAGCACTCACCATGCTTCTGCGCCTCAGCGCACACCTCCGCCTCGCGCATATCCCCGCTGCCCACGCCCAAGTTCACCACGCGCGCAGGGGACACGCTTGGGACACGCTCTTACTTCCCGCGGCTCCGGTCCTTTGTGAGCGCGCGAGGCCGCGACCGTCGGCTGCACGCACCAAAGCTCCATCTATTCCACGGAGCCGAGTGGGAGCACGGCCGTGTCGGGCGCCTCTCGAGACGAGGCGCCCGTGGGCGCGGTGAGGCCGGGCTTGCTGCCGTCATTCAGCACGGCCGGCTATTTCACGAGGGAGTGCCCCAGGCCGCGATGGGTCAAGAGAAGAGGGCGAGGGCTTCGGCTTTCGCAGCGTCGGACCGTGCCAAAGTGATGCTTGTTTCTTTTCGTTGGCACGCTGCTGGTGTACGGCCTGGCTGGGCTGATCTGCGCCGTCCTGATTTGGTCCAGAAGTGAGTGGGCTTCGCGAGGCCTAGCAGGTGAAATAATCTGACAATGGGTGACGTTATAGCGCACGATCGGCTGGTGCCCGCCGCTCAGGCGGTTCATCCTCTAGGACTCCCTATATGAAGGCTCGCGCTCAGCTGTCATCTCATGTGTCGAAGTAGGCTACAGGTAGTCATTTTTATGTATGACGGCCCCATCGCATCTGCCGTTTAATGTATGAAGGTGGCGCCCTGCTGTCTAACGTATGCTCTGCCGTCTAATGTATAAGTTAGGACTCTGCCATCTAACCCGACAAACACTCGCAAGCCGCAGATGGGCGCCTTACCCTCCTCTCCTCCGCCCGTCTGCCACTCCTCTATCTTCGCCGCCGGGAGGCCCCTCGCCGTTGCCTTCACTACCGTGTCCGATTCGCCATAGCCGTCCCCGCTCCAAGGGTTGGCGCAGCTCACAGATCTAGCAGACAAACGTCTTGCGTTCCGGCCCACGCAGCTCCGTAGCCAGTATTATCATGCACCAGTACTGACCCGCCGTGACTGCGCTTGCAGTGTCACCGAACCTCGCTCCCTCTTGCCTTTCTTCCACCTCCCGATCAGTGCGCGCCCTCGCCCCCACCATCACCCAACATTGTGGTCGACCACGGCTCGTCATCCGCGATGGAGGCCGATGCTGATGACTATTCGTGCCGTCTCAAGATCATAGCTGCCTCCTCTCCCCGTCCTGCATCACGACACCAGGCGGGACAATCCGCCGGCAGCCCAAGCAAGCTCTACCTACAACGCCAATGCTGCCAGCCCGCGGCGAACCATTATCACCGCTGAGCAAGAAGCCATGTCGGGCACTGCGTCGAGCTCGTATATCCGCGGGCCCCGCGCCAGGCTGTTCCCCAGTCGAGAGCAGCACCCGAGTTCACATAGACAACTCTTCGATCATCGTAAGGACGACCTCGTTCATTTCTCTGTCCTCGCTCGATCACAGGCATCCCCCAACGTTACCGCCAATCGTCCACATGCCCACCGCCCCACGCCCACGCCGAAGTCCTCCGGGGACTACGTCTCTGCCTCATCTACCCCCTTTCGCTTCTTGCGTACACTCCACCCTCCATTCGAACTTCGCTCTCTCATCAGCCACCATCGATTCATCTGCCCCCTCAAGTTTGTTTGAAAACCTCAATGCACGGCGCTCAGAGGATAGCTCGTCGAGTGCAAATGCATTCTCGACGCAGCGGCAAAACTCTACCGGGCCATCACTGCACTCGAGCAGAAGATTCTGGGTGAGCAGCGCGATACGAACGGGGATGACGAGGGCGATCGGAATCCGCAAACAGCTGGTATTTTCGTCAAGGGACGCCTTAGCGGGAGGCTCGACAGGTAATGCAGCGGTGAGAGGAGGCGAAGGGAAAACGGAGAAGTGGAACCGTCTCTTGATCAATCATAAAGGGTGCACACGATTGATTTCAAGTTCCTTGCTCGCGTGCACGCTAACCGGTTTATCGACTCGCAACACCGATACACGGGATTCATATAGCGGTCAGGAATGAACAGTAATAGTATGTAGTAGATCAATTGATATTATGATTTGCCACTGGCACTGGTCCGTTCGGTATTGAAAATCATATTGACCTAGTCTATTCTCTACACTTGGGCACAGCTATTACAGTATAGTGTAATGGTAGTACGTATGCGTGGCCAACGAGCTACGGGTTTCACTCATTCTGTTCCCTTACATGTCCAGTACAGAACGTGTTCTGCATGGGTGAAGGTAGGCAAGAGGGAGCGTGGGGTAGAGGGAGCGCGAGCGTGTGAGCAGGCAAGCAGGCAAATCAGTAGACAGAGAAGCGGGGTGACGGCGAGAGTGAGAACCGGCGAAAGAGCGACAACGAGCAAGAAAGCGACAACGAGCAAGAAAGCGACGACGAGCAAGAAAGCGACGGCGGGCAAGGGACGGCAAGCAGGCAGGGGATGGCAAGCGGACAAGAACGGGCGAGCAGCCGAGCGGGTAGGCAAGAGCGAGCGGGCGGGCAAGCAGCCGGTCGAGACTCGAGAAGCCAACAGCAGGTGGGTGAGAAGCCAGCTTGAACGTTCAAACGTTCAGGCCTGGCGGGAAGGATGTGATGGAGGTGGCTGATCTTGGACTCGCTGAGGAGGACGAGGGGGTCAGGCCTCAGGTCTCACCTCGTCCACAGGTGGCCCGCTGACCCACATGGTTGTATCCTCGACGTCTGACTTCTGCTGTTGGTGGTTGATGTCGCGGTTTTCTCGATGCGCTGGCCTAGTGCATACAGAACACCTATCCAGAGCGTCAGTACATGCCAAGCGAGACAAATCTCGCCACGCAGCACACGTCGCAAGTGAAAACAGACATTGTACATACATATAGGAGCGCGTGCTCAGGCCTCGGCCTCAGGGCCAAGGATCACATTTCCGAGAGTTGACGGAGGCTTTTGGCAAAGAGCGAGTAATACGAAGAGTTTGGATCACCGTCGCTGGCGACCCGTCGCGTCGGCGACGTGGCGATGTGACCTGCACGTGACGAAGTTCAGGGCAGACAACTTTTGGCCTTTGTCCGGCCGCTGTCCGACTCGGCTGTTCCAAGTTCGCGCCATCACCGGTCACCTCCCTGTGCTTGCTTGCGCCGCGCCGACCTCCTTGCTTGCTCGTCTGTTTGCTCACACGTCTGCTCGCACTCGCCCACCCAACCTCTCGCTCATCCGCTCGTCCTTCACTCCCTCACCTACCCGCTCTCCTATTCACTCATTCGTCCCACTGGTCCGTTGGGACGTTATGACTACACTGCGGCTAATCCAAGGTATCCCCCAAGAGCAAGTCTACGCATGACAAGGCGATGGCTGCGAATGTTGACCAGTTTGTTGCCATAATGGGTGCCCCATGAGTCCTTCATTTCCGCGATTCGTTTGGATGTTGCGCGAGAGTGGACCGTGCAACCCGGTTTGTCGTGGACTCATGAACACATATCCCTTTCGCTAGGAACCGCGGCGCGAAACACCTCGAGAAGTACAAGCGGCTCGACGTCGCCATCCACACATTTCACGGCGATCCCAATGCACTAGCGAGCGCGCAATGGAGCACCGTCTCCACCACCGAAATCAACCAGCTCTTTGATCAGTATACAGGTGCGCCTCCGCTCGCACGTCCCCTTCGGATGCCAATGTGGGATCATGACTGATACTTGACCGCGCACAGATGATAGATCTGGACTGCAATGACATGATTGCGGTTGACGGTACATCAGGCTGCGTGGGGATCTGGGCTCGGATCCGGCGGATGTGGTCTGGCTGGCTGTGGTGTACGACCTGGTCACAAGTCGCCAAGCATGGGCGAGTGCTTGCGGAAGAACTGGGTGGACGGCTCGAAGCGGCTCAAGTGTGTGGTCCGTGCACTGGCGATGGCGAAGGACGGCAAAACTGATGGCCCGTGCTCCCGCAGCTGCAACAGCATTTCGGGGACGCAGAATCTGCCGGCGCAGCTTCGGCAGACGCTCTCGTCTGAGGACCTGGAGTACTTCACGTAGGCGTACAATCATACGTTCAAGTTCTCGGGGCCATAGTGATAGCGGAGTCTAGGTACGTTTGTAGCTAGTCTAGCGGTGTATGGGCACGGACTTAGTAGTTCAGCATGTACATCATCACTTGGAGCAATAGTATTGTGCGATGGGTGCTACCACTGCTACATGACGAGTGATCACGGTGGCCAATGCCGTACTTGATGTATCTTACTACACCAATTATCTCGTCGATGACAGGAATCGTAAATTACTATGGCTGTGTGACACTCATGATCAGGTGCTGGATTCCGAGGAACACTTCAGAATTCTAACGACAAGACGGTCGGTTTCAGAATGTCACGTCATTTCAACGATGCTCTGCTTGTTAGCGATTTTCGCGGCACACTACCGCGATTCCGGCGGAGTTTTCCTGATGGAACACGACGCGGAGAAGCTCGTGCACTGGCCGTCCGCGCAGACACCCGGGTCGTCGCAATACTACTTCGTCAACCACCCGGGGAACCCGACACCCCTCAATCCACGTAACATACTAATAACACTATAGGGGTGCATGTAAGTACACCACCGTATACGAGAGGGACAAGAGTGCATGTGGGGAGGCCCAAGTTCGGGGAGGGTCCAAGCAGCAGGCAGGCCACATTAATATTATATATGTACAACAAGAAGCGCACACAATAGGGACAGACCACCTCAGAAAGTAGAGAAGATGACAGGACCGCCTGGCGACCCGGGTCCAGGCTCGTGAGGAACCCGGAGCTTGAAGTCTAACGGAAAACAAAACAGTAAGTTCTCCGCCGGTGCTGTCACCGCCCGAACAGAACAGCTAAGTTACCTCCATCCTCGTAAACTGGGTTTGCCCTCTGCCGTCTCCGCTCTGCCTCCTCACGCTCCAGCTCGATCAGGTACTGCGGCTTCTGGCCGGGCAGGTGGTCTCCGATCAGGTTAATATACTGCTTCGGGGTCCAGCGCCCGCCGCCCGTAGCCTTGCATATCCGGCTAGCGTGCCGGAGGGGGTATGCCTCCAGCTCGCCGAAATTCTCCACGGGCTTGTCCAGGGTAGGACGTACAATCGGAGAGAGGACTTCGTGAGGAGTGTGAATGGCACTAGATGAGGAGACGGCGGGCACCAGGGAGTGGGCGTTGGGTGAATCATAGAGGACCTGTGGCGGGGTGCTCCGGGAGGCGGGTAGGCGTGGTGTCACAACACCATGAATTTGATCCCAGCAGTGATCGCAGACACGTTCTTGCACTACCGGAGAAGCAGGAGAAGCATAGACGGAGATGGAGATGTCCCGTGGGGGGTTGATGAAGTCAAGGTTTGAAGTGTCCAGGAGCAGTGTGCGCCGGGTGGAACAGCTGCCGCAGACGATATCGCCGCACTTTCTGCAATGCTGTGGTGCCGGACAGATGAGGGTTGAGGAAGGATGATGATGAGATAGCGATCAACACACATGTTTGCGCTCGAAGATGGAGAACTGCTTGCGGCAGAGGAAGATGCTACAGCGAGACGCTTGGTAGTCAGGCTGTGTGACAGATGCCGGTCAATCACATAGATATATAGCAGACAAACATCAACCTTCCACAGGTGCCTACGGAGGAGGACCGCGAGGTGCTCGTTCCGCCGTATGACAGACGGAGCAGAGGACGGGTCCGAGAAGGAAGATGCAGGGGTCTCGCGACTACTCAGTGAACAGCTCTCGAATGAGGAGGGGCTCGTCCCTGGAAGTGAACAAGAAATGTCAGTACGATGCGCACGCGACACGCGACAGCGACGGATCGCGCACCCCGTGAGGACGGGTCCGAGAAGGAAGACGCAGGGGTCTCGAGACTACCCAGTGAAAAGCTCTCGAATGCGGAGGGGCCCGTCTCTGGAAGTGAACAAGAAATGTCAGTATGATACGCACGCGACACGTGACAGCGACGGATCGCGCACCCTGTGAGGATGCGGTGCTGGCCCGGCTGTCCTTGCCGAGGCTTTGAAGGGACGAAGAGCGGGGACAGAGAGAGGAAGCAAGCGCGATGGCATAGTTCATCCTCAGTGGTGGCGGGGAGGTGTTCGGGAGGGACTCCGCAAACCGCCAGCGCGAGGATGCAGGAGGGCTGCAGATTTCAATATTTCAATACTTACATACTGTATGCTTCTGTCCGGAGGCCACGCGGTCGCGCCGCGATTTGATACCATTAAGCTACAGGCATTGGCGGAGGACCCCAGACAACACACTGATATGTCTAATCCGAATCCCCTTTTGCAAGTGACATCTGTCCACGAGACATGAGCGGCAACAAGGGCGGCGATTTTCAAGCGAAGACGCACTGCAACTCCTTGATTGCAAGACCGGCGATCATCAGCACGCTCATCAACACATCACCAGGCAGTAAGGTGAGCTCTCCGGCCTCTATGGTGGCCAAATCTTCCCCAGCAAGATTCATGCGAAGCCTGGGCGGGCGGGCGGACGTGCAGGAGAGCATTGTTACTGGCGGGCGGGCATTTGAGCAGGCGAGTGGACGCGCGGGCAGGCAGACAGACGGATTTGCGGGTTGACGGCCGATAGCAAGAACAGAGGCCAGTACTGAGTAGGTCCAGTAGGGCATACTTCGACTTCGGAGCTTAGAATTGGCTGAACTTACCCCTTCGCCGTCCATTCTTCCTTGGCAATTCCTCCGTCGGCTTCATCCCATGCACATCACAGCCATGTTCATCTTGTCGCTATCACAGTCATGTTCATCTTGTCGCTCTACACTGTGATGGCCGATTTTGCGCGGCCGGGCAGCGTGTCGCTAGAGCCGCACAGCGGCGGGAGGTACCACCTTCTGTCGGTCAAGCGACAGATCTCGGGATATGTTAGCTGACAGGTGTATCAGAGGGCAGACGCATACCGAAGCAGGCGAGAATCCGAACATGTATGTAAGGGTGCATGTCGAGTGGGTGCAGGCGAGAAAGTGCGGATGGGAAGGACCAGAGGTTCGGGGGACAGGTTGATAACAACACCCCAAATACGCCGTCCCATTTTCGTCGCTACATGCCAAACTCGCCTGATGCGCTATCCAGACTGCAAAGAGTATGGGTATTAAGTCATAAACGGGCTGCGAGGGATAGACCTTCGAATCATTACCGTTTGTCGCGATCAAGGGGTGAACGTTCAAACGTTCAAACCCTTAGCTTGAGGGCGTCTTCACGCGTCAAGATACGGTAGATAGCAGTGTAAGTCGCTGTCGTCGGGCTGGGGAGGAGGGATGCAAAAGACGGCAACCAGATATGTAGTGCCCAACTAGAGCAATATGATTGCTGCTTCCGCCGCAGACTCCCGCCACAGGCTCCCGGTCGATTAATGTTTAACACGCGACACGCACACCCAGATACATACAAACCCCCTACCGCAACGAATGCGCCCCAAAACCCGCTATCTACTACATACAAACGATACCCATAGCCTTACGAACACACACACCCGACAGGACTACCGGATCGTCAGTGGCGCATTGTAATGCCCACTACTGTACGCACCGGCAGTCGCCGCGTCTTAGCACGGCGTTTGTTTGCCTGTGGCGGTTAATAAATGCAGACTTCATCATCATATCATCATCACCCACCACAGGCCCAGCCACGCACTTGCTCCTCCACCTGCGATCCACAGCGCACATTCAGGATGCGATGGAAAATACTGGCCGGAGCGCGTCGAAAAGTGGGGCGAACTGCCTGTTCTTGTCGACTACATCCTGCCCCCGGGCTTCCCGGGCAGCTGGGACTTGCCGCATACGGTCTCTATCTCGCCACGTCCATCATTGCTCTCGTCGCTAACTTACCTGCATCGGGACGGCGTTCTTCTTGGACAAGGTCGGTGCCGTCTTCGAGAACGGCGTGATCCAGGCTACGGACCACCACAACGACCGCTGCCGCCACTTGATTGTCTACCCCCAGGCTGCCATCATCCCGGAGGCACGTACATATGCCTGCATCCATTCCTCTCCCTTCCTCTCCACGGAGCACCCGTCGGTCGCACTGTCCGTCGTGTTGTGCAACGTGCAGCTCATTTCGTCGGTCATCGACGTGTAGGTTTTGCGCTCCCCATCATGCCAGACATAGCTGTGGAGCCGATCGTTCCCCGTCTGTGAATTAACGACGGCTGCGCGTGAGGTAAACCTACACTACTGTCTGTGTCATGGATGTTGGCCCGCAGCCCCTGCCCGGATACGATGGCCGGGGAAATGTGGCTAAAGCAGGGGCCCGTCAACATCGCCGCAGCGAATCCCTACTTCCCTATCATCCTGCAGTGGACGGGCGGCCATGCGAGATATCGCCATGCGTGCGAGGACTTCCATCAGCCGATTCTGTTGGCGTACCGTTCGATACGGCAGCACGGCAGCATCGTCCCCGTCGCTGGCTTTGGCACCGATGGTGCGGACGGTGTCTACCCATATTTTGCTGACGAGTGGCCTGTCGAGAAGCCCGGGGTGCAGCCCATGCCGTTCGACGGTTTCCTTTTCACGGCGCCGTGTCACGGCCGCCGAGGAGGTGCTCACGGGCTCCCCGTTTCTCTATGCCGCAGGAGAAGCGTGTGGCGTGGTTGGCCGAGCGGCGTGCTGCGATCATCGCGAGGCTGAGAAAGGGCCCCGCAAAGCCCTGGTGCGGGCGGAAGGACGGCGGTGCTGTCGAGAACATCAGCGACATGTCCTACGAGGGGGCTGTCCTCTGCACTGTCCGGCTTATGCGGTCGAGCACGGGGGGCGCTGGGTCGACCTGTCCTCCAGGAACCTGGCAGAGCAACATCGTTGCCCGCATTGGAGGTCCTCGAAGGCACTGCTGCCGAGGTTACAAAGCCGCAGACCGTCTACGGCGTCACCGGCCAGGGTTACGGCCCCGGGCATGGATCTCTACAACAGCCCGCCCTCAGCGTGCAGCCGCCCCGCGGGCTTGCTCTGCGCTACACAGTCCGCTCAGACTGCGTCCGTCGTCTCTGGGTGCGCGGCATTCGAGGGCATGCGTTCCAGGGACTGGGTACAGAACGGCGGTGCCTTCGCCGGGCACTCTTCGGCAGGTACCCTGCTGTTCTGGCCATCGTCGACACCGTCTATCGTGGCACCACCGCGCAGCGCGCAGCTGCAGCTGCAGTCGCCAGCGTCGAGGATGTGCCTTTTCAGGGCTACCGGGGTATCGGGCGTCATCGCTGCCCAGAAACTCAGGAAGCGGGCTGACGGGGTGCCGCTGAAGTCCACCAGAAATTGTCTGGTGGAAGGTCCCCTCTGCATCACGGGATTCTCGGTGGGCTTCTGCTCCCCTTGGATCGGAGGAGCGTGGCCCGGCGCTAGATGTCAGAGCTGTCGCTGTCCTCCGAGATTGGTCGCGAGACTGACGGTCTCGACGGCAAGCCCGAGCCCGTCATGCTAGCCAGCGGGTTGCGGCTGCCCGAAACTGTAAGGGCCAAGGGCCAAGATCCAGACCCACGCCCAACACGGGGCGCTGTGCGCCGGTGTGAGTTTATTCAACCGCTGGTCCCCCGAAGAGCTGGGGAGAATACCTTCCCCGCAGGTCCCGTGATCGGGATGAGTCCAAATACACCGGCCTTCGTACCTGGCTGTTTCGCAGGCGGGCTCTTTGGCACCCGTCATGTGGACAGTACGGGCGCCGCTGCGCACGGGCCCGAACGCCATGCTGTCTGTACATTCTCTGCGAAGGAGCTGGCGTTCAACACCCTTGGTCTAATGATTCAGCAGTGCTGACGTTCAACCGGTGTGGGCGGAACCCGATGGCATCGACTGGCTTACGGACCTTCCTGAAACCACCATGCGGATCAGGTTGAGCCACAACAGCAGCGGCCTACGTGCTCGCGGCAACGCCGCGGGCTGTCAGGGTGCACTATAACGGGGTCGGAGCGGAACGGGTCCTGCAGGCGGCCAGCGTGACGCCACTCGCAAACTTCAAGTTCAAGTTCCCCCGCATTGTGTCTCTCCGATCTTTTCCCGACGTGCCGGAGCTGCGCGGCATGTTAGACCTCGATGGCAGAGAGCCGTTGTGACTGGCTTCACTGGGGCTGGCGTGTGGGGTGGTTCTTAGACGCGCTGTGACATGAAAGCCTGCGAAGAATTCACCACGGAAGGCTGCGTCGAGATGGCCTGGATGATGGGCTACATCAAGTAGCCGCATTTCGACGGCACCCTCTACGTCTGATCGGTTTGTACCTGCGTTCCGCGGCTCCAGACAGCGCTGATTTGCTTCCACAGGCTGAGCAGTTCCGTGGCTACGCTTTCAAGAAGTCTTTCAACCAGGGAATGCAACTGTCCCATGATCGTAAGCCCTTCCAGGCCAGACAGGTTGGGGCGGGGTATGTCATGTACCAGTACGGCAGCAGCTGCGACTATTCGAGGGCGCATGGCGGTCCGTCACGCTTGGCTCGGACGGCAGATATAACCGTCGGCGCGTGGTAAGTGCTAGCGCACGCTTGGGCTGCTATGGCACTAATGAATGTCTAGTGCAATCGCGCCATAATGTTTGAGATCGCATGCGGTATGCTGCTGACCAACAAGACCAAGGTTATACTCGCGAGAGGTTATGATGGACCCAGCGAGGAGAACCTGTACGGGTGCGCTATAGGCCGTGAGCCGACTGGGATGTCGAGGCAGGCTATAACAGCCCGCGCAGGAGTTAGCTGCCATCGAGTGTTAGTGGTTCCAATGTCTAATGCGGTGCTTCACAGATGATGGAGGTACAGGGGTTCAAAGTGCATATCCTCACGAGTGCGAAGACAGCGCTGGAGCCCGGCTGCCCCATTCGCGGGATTGTCGCCTTCATGCCCGCCTCGACGCAGGCTGTTTGGTCTCGAAACCCGCACTATAGTGACAGGGCCGGACAACCTGTTCCTGCACCGGATCGCGGTACGCTAGACATCGGTCGCGAGATCCCATACATTCACCCCGCGCCGGTTCTCAACGTTGCGTACCGCTCTTGCCAGCGCGCTTTCCGCCGCAGGTAAATAGCGCAAGAGCTTGAGAAAAGTGCCAGTTGCTGCAGAGCGAGGTCGAGTTTCGCAGCCGTTAGCTTGGGCGAAGCGTCTGTAGAGCTGTGCGGCTGGCGTACTGCGCAAAAGGCACATCTCGTGCATGCGCACGGAAGGCGCAGGGCTGCTCCAGCGGGTCACACTTAGGGAACACATTCCGGAACTCTGGATGCTACTTCGGTGATAGTAAGCACGTCCGTGCTCACGCGAACCGACAGTGCCGCCGTTTGACATTCTCGCAGCAGGGACGGTGCGCATTCCCGCAGCTTCTGCCTGCTCTCCTGTAGCGGGAAGGACCGTAGCCACATCCAGACGCCGTCGGCTTTGACCCCGCCGCGGTGACGGTCACCGCTACCGAAGTCGCCGCAGCAGTCAGTACGTTCTCAAGCTGTTCTGCAGCACGCAATCCACTGGTGCTATTCTCCGTATTCTAGGCTACCGCGGCTTCGGGTGCAGCGGCAGCTGCCTCCGCTTCTTCCACGCTTGCCGCGTCACAGATCGGTGAGGTGATAGAGACAGCGAGAGACGTACGAGAATAAGGTACCAAGAGAAAAGGATGTGGCGGGGCTGACGAGGCTGCCAGAAGGCCACAAAGGGTGGCAGCGCAGGTACCGAAAGAACGCAAGGGGGCGTAGACGATGACAGCGTGGTGGAGAGGTATACCTTGGGTATACCAATCAGAGCTTCCTCGACAGCGGCGTGGCTGCCCGAAGCTGCTCTGAACACATTCCAAACCCCGGTCCATGCCCAGGTGAGTGGCGATCCATGCGCGACCCGCTTCGCTGCTGTATGCTCACCACAACAGGCTTCGATCTATACGCTGTGAGTGCATATCATACGATGACAGGAACAGGCAGTATATGGACACTGACATCATTGATGCCCCCTTGTAGTACTCGATCTCACTAGGCTCCTCGTGTCTGCTGCCGTTTACCTCTATTCGCTCGTCTCGCGCCCTTACTTGCATATCACCGCCACTGGTAGCAACACCTACGGTACCAGCCAGCACACCTGCCTGGGTAACCCAATCTATCGACGCGGATGATGTACTTGCGCCACCGGTGGCTGCCGGGGCCCACGTCGCTGTCCTCCAGTGTCGCGATCCGGGTATTGAGTCCACGAGGGATGTCTTACCATCAAGCGGTGATCTCAGCATTTAATCCCCATGTTCCCGCCGTTGATCACCGCTGTGGGCGCCTTATATGGCCGCCACGTGCATGTGCAGGCTGATAAAACGTTACCTGCCGACTGAAATGGGTGCTTATTGATAGTGCTGTACAGTGCATTGCCGTTGAAGATCGCGAGGTCTTGCTGCGTGAGTCGGCTCGATGTTGAGCCTTACCAGCGGACTGGCTGATGCAAGCCTGCTTGATTTAGGCTGGTTCCTCTTGCTGTACCACCCTTCCGCCGCGCATCCTGCCGTTGCGTTCATGTCCGCCGTCCCCGCCGCCATCAACGGCAGCTGCAAACCTCATGGCACCACCCCTTGCGGGCTGCGCAGTTCGTGGAGAGGATTACCCAAACAGGTAGTATGTCAATCTGGTTGTTGAGACCTTGAGGATGGTCTTTGAATGCCGGCATAGAAAGCCGCGGCGTGGGCAGAGCGGGTCGCAAAACTCATGGAGAACTTGGAGTGCAAGCTGGGCGTCTTCACTGAGTCCGAGACTGCTCGAACGACGGGCAGGTCATTGAGATTTATCGGATGATATGCCAGCTTAAGGCAGAGTAGCTACTTCGTCTCTGCGTGGTAACTAGTGCTGACCGGATCGCAGGGATCTCAAACCTGAGTCCTGTGGCACCGAGCCGCTCCAAGCGGTAGGGTTTGTCTACGTCTCGAAGTCGAAGCAATACCTCGCCTCGAATCAGACCTTCCTTGGCGTCGGCGGGTGGCTGCACCACGTGCAGGGCAAGTACCACGCCTTCAGCGAAACGTGCGTGTCCCATACTGTTCCCCTCCTTGCCTTCTATGGAGAAAAGGTTCGCTCGTGCAGGACGTCGACGCTACGTGCGGCGATGGACTCGAAGAATGTGTTCGAGTAGGTCCCAGGCTTCAGAGAAGGGCAATCTCTCGCCGGAGGAGCGGCAGCGGCTGAGGAGCAGGCGGCGGAGACTCTGTTCAAGTTCGTGGTCCGTCAGACAGCTTACTCGCTGAATAGCTCAGAGACACTACGCAAACCGTAGGAAACAGGATCACCGGAGAGAAACAGGCGCGCGTGTTCTCGCAGTGCTTCAATGGCAGTAGGCTTGCATCGAACTCAATATTCGCAGTGACAACATAAGCTTGAGATAAATGCGAGAGCACGGTGGATTGCGACCCGTTGGGTTGTCGGAAGACAGATATATCCTAGTATAGTAGATATTAGCACCTTGATATATATCTTCGCCATCTGTTTTATCGACTGGCACCTGAATCGTAACAATGGTTCAAGTAAGTCTCATTGTCCAGCTGCTTCACGGCCTCGCTGCCTAACTGCCTCGTAGCTGCCGCCGAGGGTGCAAGTGTATAGCCACTGCCAATAATCACCGCAACAGCATCCCAATCCAAAACTATTGCATCGTCTCGCCGCGCAGGAGCACATTTATCGGCGCTGGCGGGCTCGAAAGTGACTCGCTCAGAAGGGTGTCCCAAGATCCAAGATCTCGATATATCAAGATCTGTCCCGATTCGTTGCGCGGGCACGTATACGTACTCGAGTGCGTGCTAGAGCACTCACCAGGCGCTCACCTGCAGCTTAAGAAGGGGGCTCATCCTCAACATGCCCACCACGTACGTCCGCTATGCACGGCAAGACTCTCCCTCCCTCTACCGTCAACCCCGCTGGACTTCAGTCCATGAAGGACTTCCTCGACCACGGTGGCATGAGCGCCAGTGTCGTTCGGCCTGTCCGACTCTCTGAGGAGTTAGACCGCCTGCGTGATGAGAACGCGAGGCTCCGCTCAGCCGTATCGACGCGAGAAGCCGAGCTCACCGCCCTGCGAGCGGCCGAACAGAAACGCAACGAACAATGTATGTCGCATGCTTTAATGGATTACATTCAGTGAACGTAATTTCCCAATAGTTCGCTTCGAATTCAGGCCATCGTCAGCTCGCAAGCTAATTTCCGCCGTCGCTACCCCTTCCGGGGCACTCCAGTCCCCTTTCGTCTCGCCGCTGAAGTCCGTCACTCTCGGGGACTGCTCCCCGCTTGCGCCAAAGACGACGTCAGGCCCGGGGGTGCCTGGGTGTGCGAGGGCTGATGCGCAGATGCCCACGACTGGTGACACGTCCACCGCGCTTGCGTCTAGGGTCCCTTTGCTTAAAAAGGCTCGCATCGCTACGACAGCGGAAGCAATGCCCATCCAGGGTACCGCGAGTGCTCCGCGGGTCGAGGCGCCACTGGGCGTACTGACAGCTCCACCCCCTCGTGCGTTGATGAACGTGTCAGCGACGAAAATTCCCTTCGGCTTGCCGGTCACAGGTATCCCTAAACTCACGCGCACTGCACCGATGCGTCCCAACTCGCCGATCTCCGTCTCCTCGGGATCATCGGAGGCCCCGTCTTCGCGCGCGACATCTCCTGGCTCATCCGTACATGCGCCGCCGCCGTTCGAGCGTCTGCTGGTTGTCCCTGGCTTCGGCCCCCGGTCTGCACGTTACCTTGTCAAAATTGGCCAAACGAAGTTTGCCAATAATGCTGTGGAACTTGTATCAAGGCAGTATGCCTTGGTCCTCTGGCCGGCCGAGCTGCGGCGTTTGCTTGACATCACCGAAGAGCAGGCTAGGGAGCTGGTGATTGCGATGAGGGCTGACATTCTGGAACGAGGCTTGGTGCAGTGAAAATTGTCGTGTGTGTTATGTTCTGCTGATTGTCGTAATGTCGCAATTTGAATACCATTGCATCATGCAAGGCAGTAATTTCATACGAGTTTCCGTGTCCCTCGGGCGTGTTTATGAATGGCTGGCTGCATGAGCGGCAAATCCCTATGTCTAACTTTTGGTAAAGGCCCTTCAATGCGACTCCGCGTGTGCGATCTAACATAGGTTCCTGTTAGATCTGTCCACTCCAATGCAGAAGCAATGGCGTATGTTCTCCGCGGTCAGCATGCGGCATGAAGATGAAATTGCCAATGGCTGGCTGCGCGAACAGCCAGCCCACCTTCCATTTCGGTAAAGGCCGTTCACTGTGACCTCGCAAGTGCGATCTGATTTACGTTCCTGCCAGATCTATTCGCTCCAATGCTCACCAAAATGGTACACATTCTCCGCGGATTGCACTCAAGGTACGGCATATGTGAAAAATATCTGAATCTAACTCACACCCTGTTTCATCTGCTGCACTAGCTGAGGCGCCGATTGCGCGAAATCGCAGTCGAACAAGAAATGCCGCCATGCATCGACAGAGGGCGGTGCCTACCAGCCGGCCAAGTCGGACGACTTGATTCCCAGAGACGTTCATCCCATGATGGCCGCGAGGCCTAGAGCTGTTCGTCAAAGCCCCGTGTCTGTCCTTCTCCCCAGTCGAACTCTGCTTCTTCCACATGGCACAGAAAGTCAACTCCGCCGTCACTATCGCACCGGCTGAAGTGAACCAATCCGCGTGTCGATTGCCTAAAATTGCCCGTCTTCGCAGCGGGACTCTGCCGCTGCACGCAGCACATCGCATTGAGAAGCAATGGAAGATCGAGGCCGACCCCGAGGCATGATACAATCACTCTACCCCGGTGGCCGCGAAGATGGAGGAGGGTTATGGCCAACCGCAATCCCATTCCTCAGCCCGATGTTCCAGGCCGGCGCGAAGGTTACCGAATCCCGCAAGCCCAACGCGTTTGTTCAAATCATCGTATGAATAAGGTGCACGTGAATGAAGGTGAGCAAACTTAAGTATCACACGAGGCTACGTTCACGATTCGTGCCTCAGATCTTCCCATAGTAGGCAACCGCAAAAACCTTGGCGGAGTTCAGATCGAGGTTCGTGAAGAGTACCATGATCTCACCGACGCGCAGAAAGAGTACATGGAGGAGCTTCTGAATGACCGCGAGTCATCTCTCCATGGAGCGACTCTGGCTTCTCGCGGACGACTGAAGATCCTCTATTCGACTGTCACCAAGATCGACAAGCGACGTTCCACTTCGATCCTATCTGGTTCTTCACCGACAAGACAATCCCTTGCTTCTTGACGCACAATGTACGCGTGGCAAGTGGTGGAGCGAGAAGATCGGTGCACTTCGTGTTGACGAAGTGCGGTCTTCGGAGTGAGTATTGTGTACTCTTTCTTGTGCACATTATTGACTTGGTGCTCAGGAATGGCGAAAACCTCGAAGCTCAAGAGAAGGCAACTGAAGATTCAGATCCAAGACAGGATACGTGAACTCCTCGGTAACTATGCAATGTACTCGTCTTCCGCCACGCTCATCGTAATCGACACCAGTTGCCATCACCAAGGATTCGAAGCTCAGATGCAATACAATCATTTCGAGCGCGACATTATTATGTACGCCTCCCAAGCGACATCGGCGGACGGTAATGTCAATTGCCAAGTTGATTTACACCGCCTTACCCTTGGTCTGCGCACGCCAGCATGTCCTCATGACGGCGGCGCGTTCCTATGCTTACAGACGACGCGGGAAAGTGATATTTGTGAGTCGATGGAGAACCAGAACAGGCGTGGGATCGCTTAGAAAGGGAGATGTCCTGGAGCACTGTGCAGCAGAAATAGAGAATAATCATTAGGCTATCTTACAACTATATATCGACTTTATGTCCAGTACTTCTTGCGTTCAGAGATCCTGTTTTCTATCTATGCCAACTAAGCAGGCCGTAATGGAGACTGTATCAGAACAGCCAGAAGATGAGAGGAGCAGCGTACAACAAACGAGTCCGATGAGAAACTATACGGCATATGATTCATATACAGAACGATTTGCATATTATATACGAGGTCCGAGTCGTTGGGCAAAGATCCGTGGTCATGTGGGGAGTGTGTACGAAGATGCGATCATACCTCGACGAGTTCGCAGAACACACCGAGTCCGTTTAGTCAGGGCATGTGCGTGCACAGGCTATGGCAGGGAAGAGCAGTGCACCAGTGAATACTGATACTTCGACAGTGGCGCCGCGAACAGGGACCGCTGCCACTGTCACTCAGACACCGCTCATGCGGCGGACTGCAGGCGCGCCGTGTCTTTGCGACGAGGCGAGAGTCGGGAGCCCAATCCGTGGGTCGCGTGGAGACGACTGCTTATGTGCGCGTGCGTGTTGGGGCTTCGCGCGGCTGTGCTGGGAAAGGTGTTGGTAAGGAGCAGGCGAAGGAGCATGGTACGGCGCGTGCGCGTACGCATTGGGCCAATGTGCAGGGAATGCAGAGACAGAGGCAGGGGACATGAATCCAGGGCTCGGCAGGCTAGACGAGCCGGGCCAGCAACGCGAGCGCGCTGGCGACTCCACCGGCAGCTCAGGCGTGCCCGTTGTAATGAGCTCCATCAGACGCGGGTACTTGCGCGCCTCGGTCATAAACAGCTGCGACGCGACGAGCTCCGACCGAGGCCCTATGTGGATGCGCTCGAGCGAGGGATTCTGGGAGATCTATCGAGACGTCAGATAAGCGAGCTCAGCACACTTGTACGAGAAGCACACACCTCGAGCAGCGCGGTGTTCCAGACAGTGGGCAGGAGCGCGCTGACCGTCCGGAGTCTCGGAGCGGAGGCAAGCGACGCGGCAAATGACGCCGACGCGGGCGAGGGCGAGAAGCGGAAAGCGATTTGTACGCATTCCTGCGATGGTGAGAACCGTGTCAGTTTGAACAACAAACGATCGCAGTCGAGAATGCAACTAGTCCTCTTCTGGGCTGCATCGAGTCGCCGATCACCCGAAACGGCAAGGCGAAGACATAATTCCCATGCATACCATATCGTAGCGGCATTGGCATAGACAAATCCGAGACAAATTCGAGGACACGGTGGGGACCAACCAGACAAGCGGAACAAAAGTATCAGGACTCACAAGATACTTCCAGCGCCGGATAGCCTTGCCGAGCTCCTCAAAGATGTGCGTCGGACCAGGCAGGGTCAAGTACGCGTTCTTGCGGATGACGAGGTTCCGTAGCCGATGCATGCATGAGAGGCTGGTGCAGAAGCGTACGACCGCCGCGTCAACGGTTGGCGGTCGCTGCGAGCTCACTATTGGCGCAGGCGGGCCAGAGGGACCGCTGTCGACGGTCATGTCGAACTCCTCGAGAGCAGGGCAAAATCGGACAACATCCGGGAGAATCTGATAAGTGCCCTCAACGCGGATGCTGCGTACCCAACGGCCGAGCTCTGGATTCGTGCATAGGCTGTAGGCGAGCGTCGCAGTCTGTCTGTCGGAGCGGAGGACGATGTGGCGGTAGAATGCAGGTGTCGCGATCCGGAGCCACTTCCGCGATACCAGGAGGGACGTGGCATGAGGTGCAATGCCCGACTTCGTAGCATTGGGAGTCGCCACATGCCAGGACGGACGATGGGGCGCGGATGGCGAGGAAGGGGTAACGGCAAAGGCGAGGATGCGCTCCAGGAGCTCCTCGGGCATGGTCGACAGTGTGAGACGCATATTGATGGTAGATTAGAGGCTCTAGGTGGGATAGGGGGTCATGGAGTGCCGCAGGTTATATGGGATAGCAAAATCTTGAACCGAGTATGACGCGAAACAGGAAGGCCAATGACACTGTATGATTTAGCGCCTGAGGGAGGTTGCCCTAACGCCGCGCCTATACAACTGATTGCAGGCGCTGTATAGGCCCCGCTAGCCCGCCACTCGTCCTCCATTCATGACCGTAGCGCGGGCCTAGTGGGAGCAACGCCATGGGTGCACAACCCGTGGCGTCAAGTAGCCCATCCTCGTTGTGTAGTCGGTCGTGAGCTGAGCCTGATCATACCGGGCAATACGGCATCTCGCCGTCAGTCAAATGCCCTGATACAACGAGCTCAAAATGACGGATGACAGCGCAGTCAAGCATTGTCTGTTCTCCAGCGGGACGGCGGGTTGTACAGCGGTGACAACGCAAATGCAGGGTGGACAGCGGTGACTACGCGAATGCGGGATGTACTCACCAGTTCAATGTCTAGTGGGGGATTGACTGTCGACCAGCGAGCCTGTGTCTAGATTGCACGGGCTGGATAGGGAGCCATCCGTGCGCCGGTCCTGCTGCTTGCGGGTGTTCGCTGACTCGTCTAGACTGTCGAGTCTCGTGACTCTGCGCTCTTGCGACTGTCGATACGGCTTTCCTGAGACCTTCCCTACGGTGATTTTTATGCGTAGATCCCGATAACGAGGTCGGCATGGCCATAGAACAAGTCCTGAGCGAGGCATCGAGTGTTGTGTGAAGGCGACGGTCGCGAGACGCGAGGTGGCTGAGGCGTGTGGCGCGAGACCTTCATCCACGGACTAGCGGGTAACAGTACTTAGTAGGTGCGGCGGCGATGTGTATGACAAGGATCGACGACGCAAACTTGCCCGTTGCCTTCAAGTCTTTTGTATTATTCCACTACGTCCCTCCTGGTATCGCGGAAGTGGCTCCGGATCGCGACACCTGCATTCTACGAAAAACCACGCGAGGAGGCGGCTTGTTCTGAACCTACATTGTAAGTGCCTTCTCGCCCTTGCCTTCCCGTCTGCTTTCTCGCCCTGGACAAGTGATACCGTATTAGACGAATGCACGATGTGCTACCTTAATCAATACAAGGATCACAGTTTCTATAATCTGTGCTAGCATCCCTACGATACACGGTCTTCTATGCAATGCAACCCAATTCTCTGGGTTGTCGCCAATCTCGTCAGAATAAACGAACATGCGAGGCATCGGCAGCTGGTCCTGGCCTCGCCAGTGTCCCGCTTCTCCGGCGAAGAACTCTGGGCTTGTGAGGACCGCGCTGGTTTCTGTACAAATGCGGAGGTAGCGCAGCTTCGGAGTCGCTGGATGCGTGTGCCTTCAGTGAGAGCGGGTGAGCAGGTGCGGGGCGGTCAGTGAACGGGCGACGCACCGCGAGAGTGACAGACAACGGTGAGTTTGCAAAGCCATACAGATATGGAATGAGGCAGTGAGAGGGGGCGAGCATATGCGCATAGAGTCGCCGGCCGAGCACGACATGCGGAGTCGCGTCCCAGTGCGACGTCGAACACAGCGTCGTCCAGTCGACCGGCCGACAGCCTGCCTGCGGCGGGCCTTCAAGATGCGACGCGATGCTACTCGCGCTCTCAATCCTCCCCCTGCCTTTCTTCACCGTCAACCAGCACCACCAGCACCCTCTATCAATGTCCTCGTCCAAATCCCCGTCCACCGCACCCTCACGGACACCCAATCCCGCAATGTTCGCGAACGAGACGCAGCCATCCATCGCGCGGCACTGCTCCGCGGCGGTACGTGCGCTGAACGGCGGGGTGGGTGGTGGAGTGAGCGGACTGCGACGGCGAGTGCATTGTTGTTGTCCAAGTCGGTGATAGCATGGCAGGTACTTCCAGCGCTGGAAAGTTGCGGACGGAAGTCAGCTGCGAGGGTTGACGCAGAGGAGAGGCTGAAGGCGGACGTCCGGACGCAAGGGGAGGGTCACTGAACAGTGACAGCGACGCAGCAACCGCGAGAGTGAGTGCACGTGATGCCTCGTGCCCGAGGCGCTTAGCACTTTCCGGGTTCTCGCGAGTTGCAACCTCCACGTCGACGCGACGGCGACACAACTTCAACACCGTGCGGTAGCAAAGCCCACACAAAATGCGACGGGGGAGCGAGGGCAACACGGAGTCGGGGAAACCGGGCCAGGGCAGGATCAGTACAGGTGAGTGCGATGCCTGCCCTTTTCAAACTTGCGCACGCGTGCACCTGCTCGCCCGCCCGTCTTGCTCGTCTGCCCACCCTCGCCTCTTGCTGGCCCACATGTTGACCTACTTACTTACTCGCGTGCTCATCCACCCACTCTCGTGCACCCTCTCCCTAGCTCGCTGCTCGACCACCATTCTTACTGGTTCGCTCTCGCCCGTTCTTGCTTGCTTACCCTTAACCTCTTGTTAGCTCACGCGTCTGCCGCTTGCTCACCCACTCGCTTGCGTGCTCTCGTCCGTCGAGAGTCAACATGTCACTCGCTCGCCCATCACTCCCGCGCTCCTCCGTCTTCCGCTCAATCGCCTCCCCTAAACCCATTCTTCACGCCCTCCTTTGCCTGCTCCATCACGCCCTTCACGCCCTTCACTCTTCTGCCCATCGCCGTTGCCTCCCTCTTCCATTCCCCATCATCAAACCGCCCCGCGACTCACTCGCTCAGCATCCCCTTCGGCCCGCGCTTCTTGCCCCCCAGCGCCTGCACCTCCGCGCCCATCGCGAACTGCGCCTCCCCCTCCCGCCTCACCACGCCCGACCCCGTCGCACACCAGCTGCCCGACACGCCCGTACCCTCGACGTCCTTCCGCAGGTGCCCGAGCTCGTTCCAGAACCCCGCGACGAGCGCCTGAGCCCTGCATCCTCAAACACGTCCGCACGCTTCCCGACATCCCACGGGAGTGCGTTTGCTACTGCTCGAGCACCTCCCGCAGCACTGGCCTGCTCATCTTCCCACCGTCTCGCCCGCTCGCCTTCCCGTCTTCCCGCTCACTCGCCCTACCTCTCATCTCGCTCACTGGTCCACCCACGTGCTCGCTTGTCTGTCCACTCGCTCGGAGTGGCCATTTCTGTGTTTGCAACCTATTGTCTTGCTAACTTGTCAATGGGACTATCACTGATCGTGAACACTCCTAGGTTGGTGCGAGCAGGAAGGCGAAGGTGCTCGCGCGGTTCATGACGCCTTCGGAGTACGACGCGAGTCAATACTGACTGATGCTCATGCTCACGAACGTGCCGCTCGAGACGTGGCACATGGACGCCACAGACGAGGAGACACTGTGGGCACAAGAGGCTAGAGAAGGATAATCATAACACAGAAGTAGAGGATGCTTGCGAGTCGCGAGGACACTGCTTAGACTACCTTAGCCTAAGGCTGCCGAAGCAACGCAGTTTCCCTGATGAATATTAGAGGCCCCCAGTGCGGCGACGGCGCGACACTACTGTCACATTAAATACGAATCTACTAACTGGACTGTCCGTGTCGAACTCAGGCTGCCTGAACTGCCCGATTTGCTGATCTGAGTCAGGTGGCTCCGACTACATATCAGGCAACTGTAAGTAGTCGTACCAGGTCGTACCAGCCTAGGTCGTACCTACCCTCTTCTGCCTCCTTTGCTTGAGTCAAACCTCCAGCGACCACTCCAATGTCTAGTCCTGCACTCGCTCACACGATGTTGGCAATTCCTTGTGCTGGACTTGTTCTTGCATTGAACGAGTCAGTTCTCGACGAAGAGGTCGAAGTAGATCAACTGGGTGAATCGCTGGCGACCTCTCCAAGTGAATTCATGGATTCCGACGATATAGCCGATGAACAGCCCACGCATAATGAAGGATCATCTCTGGAGTTGAACGATGGTGTCGTTCTTGAAAGCTTGATGGACAAGGTTGCTGCTGGAGTAACTGAGGGGACACAGAAAGAATACGACAGGTGAGTTGGTATGTGTATGCATACCTGATGCTCATGTTGTCCACGCTATGATATCTTCCTAGACTTTTGCAAAAGTTCAAGGACTGGGTCAAAACCAACTTTGAAACATACCACAAAGACCTCTGGGCGCAAACACTGCCTTCAACAATCCCACAGCTCATTTGCATGTGGATTATAGATCTGTATGTCCTCTCATGCTCCATTGCACAGACATCATGATAACTTACATATGTCTGTCAGTTGTGATGAGACCAACCTCAAGGGGGAGACTAAGGCCCCGGGTGACGTTCGGTCAAGCTATTCTTACGCAATGAAGATGCGTGCAGCAGTGACCCATGCCTACTCACGTATTCCAACCCGGGGTACAACTCCCTGGCATCAGGGTGAGGACGGTACATGGAAGGGAAACCCATCCATGTCTGTGCTTGTTTCACGATACATGATCTCGCTGCGTCGGCGAAAGGTGAGTCCAATCAGATTTCTTAATTCATGCATCTGAGATGGGGTATAAGACTCGGGCTGGACATCAGACCCAAAGCTCTCGTGCTATCACATCTGGGGATCTCGAGGCCATGTACAAATTCAACCATCTTCCGCACAATTGGGAGATTAAGCCCTTGGCTCCAAAATCCCGCACTGACACCCAATCACTTGATGAATGGGCTGGTGGGCGCCTCCGACGGGCACTCCATTGCATGTATCTGCTGTCTTTCTGGTGCCTCTTACGGAGCGATGAAGTTCTACGCATTCAAGTACACGATATCGAACTAAAAGAAGATGGGAAAGCATTTGATTTGACAATCCGATGGCGTAAGAATATGCAGTTTGGAGGTAGACAACTTCAGTACACTTTTCAAGGTTCCTAGCTAACTGTTGAGATTTGCAGGAATCAAGCCCTTCCGGCTATGGCGCCAAATGCCTGAGGATTGCTACCTTTGCCCAGTACGCGCTCTTGCCGAGTGGCTCAGTGTTAGCAACATCTCAGAGGGCTATCTTTTCCGACCCTTTCATAACGGTGATCAGGTCATTGCAGTCGACAAGCCAATGGTCAGTCAGTCAAATGTTCTCAGTTCTGTAATCTGACGAGTTGACATCATGCTGCTAACTTAGACATATAAGGCTTTTGACGAGTACTTCAACAATTCCCTCGTTGACATAGGTGTTTCTCCTCGCCCCTATGGGACACACTCCTTCCGACGGGGAGGAGTTCAGTTCTTAGCCAGTGAGCGCAGATGGAGATTGCTCACCATATGCACATGGGGAGGCTGGCAAAAGGACTTCAATTCCAACACTATAGTGCGGTACCTCATGTCTTGGAACGACGATCCTATAGATACACGAGAGCAACTGACGAATCCCAATCGTGCAATGACTGTACGCTGCCCTCGATGTAACCGTAATTGCCATTGTGCTTGAGCACCATACTGTCATATATTTTCATGTCGCATTTGCCACCAGTTCGCTTTCCTAATGTCCGACTCCAAGACACATTGATGGGTCTTTCTGCTGCCACACAAGAACACCGAGTGAGTGGGAAACAAAATATATTTCGTGTCGCTGCCACTTTCTCGCACAGCCCTCGCCAGTCGGGGAGAGGTTCATGGGTTTCGCATCGGTGTGTAGTGAGCCAAGTGGGTGACTTATGAGACACAGCCGACGCTGACGTGGACTCCGGAACTCGGCTGCCGGGTGAAAGCAAAGCAACAGTGTAAGTTGTGTCACTGAATGCTTGACCCGACCGTCAAGGCGCGTCGGCTAAAGCGCATCGCGATGCAACACATCGGCCTCACATGTCTCGCAGACCCCGGACAAACGGGTTGATCCACACCATGAGTCTTCAGAAGTGTATCATGCCCGGCACACACCCGCTCTCGAGCACCTCCCGGCCTCCAATCTGTAGATTCTTCATCGGGATCTCGTCCGGTTGCCCCTCTTGAACAGAGCGTAGACAAAGAAGGGAGGGCGATGTGGAGCGATCGCTAATAGTACCTACCCATCGTTACTCACTCCATTCCGAACGAGCTCCCTCATTCGCACCCGAAGGCATTCTGGGCGATCCTTTGCGACCAGCCGGTTAGATGTCCTCTGTACAGCGTTCAACGCACGCCGGAATAGTTTATTCGGGGTGCTTGTGGACATACTGTACTCGGACTCTTTGGGGTCGCCACGCAGCCTTCCACACAACTTGCAAGTCGCCGGTGCGGAAGAAACCATGCGTCGTCGCGTGGCCAAGGCGTGCGGACGGCCGCAAGGCACTGGGAAGGGATTCTACTAGAGCGCATGAGCGATGGCGTGGGTGAGGACGTAGAGCACGAGGGTTGCGATGCGGGCGAGCAGATGCAGCGTGCGGGAAAGCAGACACATAGGACGAGGGCGGACGCGTAGCGCGCCGGTGTGAAGGGCGCGCGGGAATACGCACGAGAGTCATCTCGTACTCCTTCGTGGCCAACGGCGGCGAGAGAGATGGCTGACGAGCGAGATGTGCGCAAGAGATAGTAGGGGCGCATCGAGCAAGATCGTGAGTGAAGGAGAAAGGAGACAGTCAGCGAGGGCGAAGCGGGTGGACAAGCACCGGGTAAGCAGGTGACCGGCGTGTGTGTTGGCGTACAGCGATGGAGTGTGGGCGGCGAAAGGGAGCATGGACTCGGGAGGGAATCTGCAGAGCCAATGTCCGTGAGGACATTCTCGCTCAAGGTTGAATTCCTATACACTTACGGTGTGGGGTGTGTGTGTGGAATCGAGGACCGACTGTTTCTGAACGAGAACCGCCCAGATCAGGCGAACGAAAGGTGGTGGAGGGACGGACCACCTGCCCTGAACAGGCTAGGGACGTATTTCGCGCCGAGCCTCCATCCTACTCGAGGTTGCGCAAGGCCAAGAGCCCGTCATGGTGCAGCGGGGCTATAGCAGCCAGGTCCGGCGTAAAATCCGGTAATAACAACGATCGCAGGGCACAGAGTGAGCCCGCGAAGCTTGGAGCACGCGCATAGGACGCACCAGAGGTCCATCCCGTCGAAGCAGATGTTCTTTATGCGGAGAAACTTGAGGAGGTGGAAGTAGGTGAGGAGTATCTCCTGCGCATCCTTGTCCGTCTCGAACATACCCCGCCAAAGTTGATCCTCAGGCTCTCAATCTCGTGCAGCCGGGATCGCGGGGAGCATCGCGCGCGAGGTTCAGCGACATGTGGAGGATCGCATCGAGAGCACCACGTGCGAGTCCATCACCCGTTTTGTGAAGCTTGCGAAGCGGCAGTTCTCGGAATAGCTGGGTGAGTGGGCGGTGCGGACATTGTTGGGGACGGAGTGCCGAACGACGGGGAAAGAAAGCGGGCGAGCGGTGGCCGTTCCAGAGGCAAGCAAGGACGGACTCCCAGACGTCGAGGGGAAAGCTGTGAGTGAGACGACATGGTGTATGTCCACAGGGATCAACGTGGCTTTGGACTGCAGAAGCGTCAGGGTACGCTGCGGTTCCGTGTCACTGTAGTGCTCACCATGCACCAGCGTCCGCGCAGGCTGCCATGCGTGGCTCGGGCCACGACGCGTCTGAGATGTTATCAGGAACGGGTAGTGGTCCTCTTCGCGCGAGGACCGCCGAACGAGAGGGTAAGCGAGCAGGTGTAGGCAGGCGATGAGCAAGGCGAGCAGGTGTAGGCAGTTGAGGAGCGGTGACCGCACGCGGTAAAGCCGGTGGTAGTCGTCTCGCAGTTTCTGCTTCTTGGCAGGCGGCACATCCGTGTAACAGCGGCCGACGGGATCGTCGCGCGCAAGACGGCGTTGGCGACCACGACATTCACCCCTTCGTAACGGGAGTGGCAGCAAACCAGGGACACGTGCCCCGTTACTCTGAACGCACGTCCCGTACACGTCTCCTCCGCTCCTCCTTGCTTCCCTCACGATCAATCCTTTGCGACGGCCGCCCTTCACCTTCTCTCCTTACCATCATGGCTTCGACACAATCTCTAAACCCGCCGCCAGGCAGCAGCAATGAGAAGGCACCAGAGTTCACACCATCGTCCTCAGAAGCACCGCAGGACGCTGTGGACGTTACTCCGGACCGGCCTGCTGAAGAGACATGGGAGGACATCCCCGAGGAGATCATATCTTTGAGCATCCGTACACGAGTTCGGCTCACCGACAATGACTTGAAGGTCCGTCCACACAGATTTCGCGTGTAGAGCCCGACGCCCAGGGAACCTGCAGGTGATGCCCTCGGAGACGTTACGTCTGCAACAAGAGCAGAATGCCACGAAGGAGAAGATTCGGGACAATGGGGAGAAGATCACGCAGGACAAGGTCTTGCCTTACCTTGTGGCGAATATAGTCGAGGTACGCCCGCTCAGTCACCTTAGTAAGGCTACCAGCTAACAGAAGCAGATTCTGGACGTGAATTCTGAAACTGAGGACGGCAGCGCGAACCGAGACCTTGACTCTATGCGCAAGGGGAGATTCGCCGTCATCAAGCCCTCGACACAACAAACCGTCTTCTTCCCGCTCACCGACCTCGTCCCGCCCGAGAATCTCAGACCCGGCGATCCCGTTGGCACCAATAAGGATTCGTATCTGGTGCCTGACACGCTCCCGGCAGCTCGCGGGTGAAGGGCGATAGAGGTGGATGGGCGGCCGGCGGGACCTACGCTGACATCGAGGGCTGGAGAAGCAGATCGAGGGGCTAATTGAGGCGATTGTCCTGCTCGTGGAGCGAGCGGACGGGCTCAAGGCGCCTGGCATCAAGCCTCCGAAGGGTTCTCTCATGTATGGTCCTCCCGGTGCGTCAGTCCCGACGATGTCTGGTCGCGGTCTGCTCAGCTTTGTATGGTAGGCAGGGTCGATAAGTGCCGTTTGGGTCTGGTTACGTCTTCGATCATATCATGGTCCTCGACACCTTCTAACCTACGCGTCTGCAGGACATCGTCTGGTTCGTCCCTCTCGACCGGATTGAGTTCGTCATGAAGGCCACCATTTTCAAGAGTTTTTGCAACCGCCACAACGCCGCAATGGCGCAGGCTTCCATCTCCCCGCCCACTCGGGTGCCCCCATGGCCCGCACCCAGTCCCGCGCGGCCTCCGTCACGAGTCCCTTTACTACAACCGTGTGTCGTTCATCGCGTCGTTCGCAGGGCCGGCTTCGGCACAAACGTCTCGATGAAGCCGGAGGTGCTTCCCACCTCCCATGTGGCACACGAGGAAGAGTCGTTTGGCAACCGTCTCGTCTGAGAATCGTCCGACGCGCAGGTACGTCGTTAACCGGAACCCTGATAGACTTCCGCAATAACTCCGCACAGATCTTCGTGTTCGGATTCCGCAAATCGTCCTCGCCGCGATGACGCACCGGAAGCTGTATGGCATCGACTCTGCGGACGGCGCGGTGAACGGTGGGCGATGGAGATGCGCCGCAGGTCGTGTTGGTCACTCAGAGGAAGGCGGGCAGCGTGTCTCGGAGCTGATGGCTGGAGCTGGCGCTGACCTATGGGACGATTGAAGTGTCTTGTGGGCATGACCCTCTTCCATGTGGACGCGCTGGCGGGCGAACATGCAAGAGGCGTGCTGGTATCTGCTGATGGATTCGACATCATTGCCTGGCCCGTCATTGAAGTGTACTTGCTCCGCAGCGGCTCCCAAGAACCCGTCGTCATGCTAGATGAGTTCGTGCAGGTCAATAGCCAGTTTCGCAACCTATGGTACCTATCATACTGAGCACAGAGCCAGGCGCACGTCTATCTTCGAAACGGAAGAAATCAAGGAAGCCTCTGTCAACTCGTCCCATCCATCTTCTCCCTTCGTAACGGTGCTTCCGGCCAGCGTCGATTCTCCGGACACAGAACCTCGTCCGAGGTCGACTCCACCGACAAGCATATAACCAACATCACCTGGACGTTTGGCTTCGCTCCCGGCGAAGACAACCTCTCCATAGGCACATTGCATCCCTCGGCAAGGTTCCAGGTAACCGTGCGACATTGTCGTCACGCGAATTGCACCGTCATATGCGTTCGTCGTGCTGAGTGAGAGCTTCAACAAGGTTCAGCTTGTCTTCGTCTTGGCTGGCGTGATGGACCTACTAGTATTGAATGCCCCCGAAGGATTGGCTGCACGTCCTGCTGGCACCCGGCTCCGTCTCGTCGGTCACGGTCACGTAGTCCTCGCCGGTATGATCGCTCTCCAAGTCCTTGAGGACGTGGTCGCGATCGCCCAAGGACCCACCGTGATTCAAGGTCACCCTATCGTGACGACTACGATCGCGGTCGCCCACGAAGCCGCCGTGATTCGAGATCACCTTACCGCGACGACGATCCTTACTGCCGCGCTGGGAGTCGCTCACCCGCCCGCCGTTATGGGAGAACGAGGACTGATCCGAGTAGAGGAGATGACTCCTATCACGGAAGGCCTTCTCGCCGATATGCCTCACGTTCACCCTCGCCTGTAATTCTCGGCGTCAGATCCACACATCGTCCGCAGGCACGGTCGCGTTCGCCCACTCTTGTCAGTGAACCTTCCCATGTCCGGGTACCATCGTCACGGCGTACCCGTTCTCCGGCATACGAGCCTGAGGGTCCATACCGTCGTCCTGGACCCTCTTGTCATGACAGATGGACGAGTCGGTCGTCTGAGGAACGTCCTCAAAGGATGTGTATGGGCAGTGAACGCTCAAGATGCTCCCCATCTCCAACTGTTGTTCTTCATCGCCCACCGCGCTCCGATCGTCCTGCAAGTGATTATGATCGCCAACGTGAGCGCAGGCGATTGCCCTCCCCCATACCCGAGGAAGGAACACCATCACCACGTCAGGAGCCTGTCATCCTTAGAACTCGTAGCCAACGTGAACCACCACCACGCCTCGGTCAAGAGGTCCTACGTACATCGAGATGGAAAACCTGGAGACTACCCACCAGTGAGTCCGGCCCCGCAGGTTGTCCGCATATCGACTGCTGACAGATCAGCGAGAGCTCCTTCCGATGCGAACAAGGCGCACCACGACCTCGTACCACAGAAGGTGGGGCAGACGCGGACTGCGCACGCAATGGTGAATACAATGCCGCTTTCGTGCAGATCCCGAGGGATGCGCGCGCCTGCCTGGGTTCGTGAGTTATGAAGGTAAGTCGTGAGTTACTCGTCTACCACGCTCTCCGGTGGGCCGCTGGACGTGTCGTCAAGCACGTGTGACTGCGCTGCCCCTCCGACAACGGGATATATCGCTGCCTTCTCACCATATCATTTCCAGGTCGTGTGCGCGTCACGGATCGTGTGCTGTGACGGATCGTGCTGTACTGCACAACCGTCTCGGGATGGATTGGGAAGTTGCATGTCCGTCCTACGTCTTCTTGTATGTTGTATAGACATTCGACAGCGGGATGGAGGATGCATTATGAGCTATAACGCTCAGAAGCATGCGTTGCTGCAGTGTTTACATACCAAACATATGATATGGGGACCTGTCTGCATAGTACTCGGCTCCGTAGGACACATGCGACGCACCATTTAAGGTTCTTTCAGGTGAAGTATGGCATGTCTCAGCAGATATATAATGTTCGATCGTTCGAAGTTAACCGCGCCCACTCATACTCAGTTTTGGCTTTGTGTAGCGCATTTCATCAGGTTCTGTTGCTATCGAGGGGACATGGCTCCTGGTGTAAACGGAGTATCAGAAGTCAGCAATGTCGTTGTGAGGCTCCCGAAATATGGTGTCGTAGATGCCACTGGTCAGGTTGCTACAGAGGAGATAAACCTGTAGGTTCCTTTGATACGGCTTGATGCTATGTTGACGACATCTTGGGAACAGGTCTGCCTTGACTGCACTCCAGTTAAAGGATATCATGACTCGATGCGGTGTCAAGGCATCCGGCATAAGGCGAAAATGTGAATATATCAAGGCACTTGTCAGCTTCAGCCAAGACGAAAAGCTCTGGACGTGTGTTCTCTTCCCTGACCTGTATCGCCATAATCTCAAACTACACAGCGAACCCCAAGTGGCGCGCCGATCCCACAAAGGGCCGCGAATGCAGGTACAAGACCCTCCCCGATCGGTGGAATCTTCACTTTCCGATTCAACAGCGCAGCAACCTCCTCGTTCACGAAAACACTTGAAAAAATCTGTTCTTCGTTGGGAGAAGAAAAAGCAGCCGGAAGGCCACGAGTCAAACGGCCATCATGTGCCCTCCACGGACGATAGATCGCTCGCACAACGACAAGGTCTTCTTGAGTGGGTAGGTGCTTGAAAACCCATCTAGCGATCACTGGTTGACGAAGCATTCTCTCCATAGGCAGGAGCACAAGTACTACTTCATGACCACCATGTCGATCAGAATAAACAAACAACTCCTGCTACTAGTCGCCCCTCTGGGAGGGATGATGACGCTGAAACTGCCTGTAGCGGTTCGTCTAGGGTGGGTATTACCGAGTATACGAATATACAAGTGCTAGTACGTGAAAGCTTACCGGTAAACAGCCTGAGAAAGATTCTGGAAGCGGCCTGTTCAGAGCTGAATTGATGGGATTCCTTACTGCGATGAGGACTAAGCCTGACACGTCCCCGGTAAGTGACCAGTCGCATGGCTGTCGGTCGGTGATACTTATTGATGGACAGGAGGGAAGGGATCAACTGATCACGGAGTTAATGGGCTTCTTGGGTTCTGCAAACACATCGGGCGTTCAGGCCCCAAGAATCCAACCTTACTCAATCAATGGCGAAGGCGAAGGCGAAGGCGGACATGGTACTACTTCAAATCCGCCAACCAGAACGGAAGTCATACCGGCAACGGCAGGCTCCCGAAGTCTGGCGAAGACATGCAACATAGTGCTTCCCTCGGGTCCCTTTCATTTTGCCCGATCTGAAGTGCCAGAACCTCCGGCTATATTCTTTGCAGGCAACGTAGATGAGCTGGTCGCAATGTGGACAGGCGAGAAACCGAGTCCCCTTGTCATTCGTGGGACCCCCATACCGATTGGACTCTGGAGGGAATGTTTTACATACAATCACACCAGAGCATGGGACAGTATCAAAAGTCGATGGTGCCAATGGCGGGTGAGCTGGTGCGGTTGCTCAAACAGTCCGAGCGCTCATGCCATATCTTTGTAGACTATTGTCACCGAGTACCTCCGACTAGGAGCCACAGCTTTTTGGGAAGCCTATACTCAACCTGAGACCCGAAAGCGCATGACAGCAACAGCCATACACAAGATGCTCCAGGCGTCCCGTGCAGCCGCCGATGCAAATCTCGCACAACAAGCTCGGCAAGAGTATCCGCACACATTCAATGTGTTGTTTTCGTACAAAACTGATGGAAAGAAACAAGTCCTTGCCAAGGAATCGTACATCGCCACACGATACCAACAGTTACAGCAAGATCCCCAAAAGGCCCAGGAAGCTGCACAAAATGAGGCCCTCGCAGCGCAATCTGCCACCGTGACCTAGGCGGCCACGCTTAGTTTCGTTCCATGTGCTGCGCCAGATCATCTAGTGAGTAATTTCCGACCAGGATTTGATGGCTAACTGATAAATTCATACACTCCGCTACGTCTAGGCCGTGCAATGCCACTACATTTATTGTACTTGCTACAGACTATATGTTTCAGAGACTGTATGTTTCAGAGACGATTCCTCTCTACTCCGATTGTACATCAGCTTACTCTGTTATGTATATCATAACACACGAGTCTTCTCTTCGATCTTATCTTCTACACGTCCATGTCGCTGTGATATGTGAAATATCCATCAGGGCGAGTAATAAAGACAACGAGGAGACTGACCCGCCTCCACACCCACATGTAAAATTCCGATCGCCAAACGTGAAGCACAGTTACTGGCGACTACAAGACCTTCCAGTGATCGCATCGGGCAGCGCTCTCGAAATTATACGCGTCGCTCTTCGACGCATCAGTCGAAATGGCATCCGTGTCGGGTTCCTGGATCGACGGGAAGATGCCGTCGAAGCCGGAGTAGCAGAAGTGCGAGTGCGTCTGCAGGCTGTCGGTCACGCAAATGGTGGACAGCTTGATCGACAGCAGCACACACTGAGCGTACGCGTCCCAGCCTTGCGGGAACGGGAGGCCCTCGTGGAGCCTGGGCCCCGTCAGCCTACACGGCCTTCTCGAGGTCGATGGCTCGTCGCGGAGGACGAGGGCGAGCTGCATGAACTGATGCTCACGGGAGATATCCACATGAGGGAAGGGCCAGTGCAGGATGGTGTCGAGACCCGTAAGCATCAAGCATCCTTCGTCGGGTTCGGGCGCGGTAGCTGCTCCGCTTCATGGTGGCGAGACCAGGGCGGCTGACGTCCGAGACGATGGTGGGTGTACAGACGTAGCGGGAGCTTTTACGACTGGACCCAGCCGTTTCACGTGGAGACGAAGCCCTGGAAGCGTCCTGATGAGTATCGACTTTCGAGCCTTCCTGCGCGTTTGGCTTACCCTCGCCCTCGCCTCATCCATCTCACCGTCGTCCGTTCCCCACCTAGCACATGTCCAACGAACTCCAGAGCATGGTTAGCGCGAGCTCTCCGATGCCACCGCATCGCTGATATATGATCGTACTGATACGAACCATTGTGCACGACATCCATGATCCAGCATTCGTCTGAATCGTACTACTTAACGGTGGGTAAAGGTGGCCAGTTGTCGGGTAGACGCCCGGACACTACCCCGCGCCACTGTTAGCCGAAACCGTTACTTAGCCGAAGTTGCAGCCGGCAAACGAACTTAAACCTGAAGCTAACAACGAGATTCGCTATCCTTAAATTGAAACAGGTTATGTCTAGCCAGGGCCTTCATACATAATTACCAACGTCCTCCGACCCTTCCTCTGGTGGAATTCATATGCGGCGCACTTTTTGTGCGGGGCCCTCGGTTCGGAACAGGCCGCCTCGCGCGGTTTTTCGTGCTCCGTGGGTTCGGCCAGGCGACTAGACGTGCTCCGAACCTACGTAGCACTGTACAGTAGTGGTGACATAGCGGATAACCTCAAGTGGACTGCCCGTGACTTTGTGAGGCTCCGAGTCTATGCGACGTGCGTTCACCTCCTGACTAGATCTAACTATCCCACGTCGCTGCTACATCACCATTCTCACCTGTCGCTCGTCATTCATCTGGCTCGTTCTATGCTAGGATGCAGCCCTGCAACTCACCCACAGCGGAACAAGGAGTGCGAAGTTGAAGCCGGGTAAGGAGAGGAAGGCTGACGGCGAGCAGGAGACGGATGCATCGATAGGCCGCGTCTCCGGCGCGGGAGTACGAAATCCTGTCCACGCGCAGGTCAGATAGCATGCCTGAGCAGCAGGCTGCGAAACCGAAGGTCGTTAAGTACGGCCAGGCTCTACGCGTAAATGGCGCTCCGGCAGCCTGCTGACAGGCTGAAGCGACTGAAAAACCACGCCGATTCTGTTGTCGTTCTAGACAATGGTGCCCTCGCGCTGATATCAGCAGAGAGGCTACACGTCCAGACACCGATATTCGACCAAGCAAATCAACTGGTAAGAGCTGCATAATGGGACTCCGGCGTCTGCGATAACTACGCGTAACAGATGTCCACTGTTATGGCTGCCAGCACCCAAACACTTCGATACCCCGGATACATGAATAATGACCTCGTCAGCATCATCGCCTCTCTCATTCCGACACCACGGTGCCACTTCCTCATGACTTCATACACCCCGTTCACGAGCGACCAGATCGACAAGGTAGGCTATTCAACCTGACCGACTCCGTCCCCTGGCCAATATCTAGCCGCAGGCAAAACCCATCCAGCGGACGACCGTTCTCGACGTGATGCGCCGCCTTCTCCATCCCAAGAACCGCATGGTCTCGACAACGCCAGGCAAGACCGCCTGTTACATCTCCATCCTTAACATCATCCAGGGTAACGTTGATCCCCCTGACGTACGTGCTCTCGGACCCACACGGGTGTGGTGTATTCACTGAGATCACAGGTCCACCAATCGCTACTCCGTATCCGCGAGCGCCAACTGGCCAACTTCATCCCTTGGGGCCCGGCCTCCATCCAGGTGGCTCTCACGCGCAAGTCACCGTACATAAGCACGGCACACCGTGTAAGCGGGCTCATGCTTGCGAACCACACGAGCATCGTTTCCGTGCGTACCTTGCGTGTCGTCCACTGCACCGTAACTTTTACGTGTCGTCGCCGCGCTGCAGCTCTTCAGGCGCATGATCGATCAGTTCGACCGTTTGCGCAAGAGGAACGCGTTTGTAGAACAGTACAAGAAGGAGAAGATATTCGAAAACGGATTGGAAGAGTTCGACGATGCCAAGTACGCAATCGTCTTGCTTTCGAAGCTCACGCGAGTTAAACGGGCGTTATAGGGTTACTGCGGAAGAGCTTCTGGAGGAGTACAAGGCTTGCGAAAGTCCTGACTACATCACATACGTGAGTGTCTGACTGTTTGGTCATTGTGAAATGCTGATGCCAGAAATAGGGTTCCCCGGTTGCCGAGCAACCAGAGTAACGGTCTCGTGCTCCATGAGTCTAATGCATCTCCCCTTCGCGTGACGGTGACTAGCGGTCCCTTGCCTTGCGGCCTGGGCACTACACAGGGTCTTGATACTGTTTTGACGGTTGACGCGCAGGAATATTTGTTTGTCTTGACCAAAACTCTGCTTGCTCGGGCGTCGTCCACGACTTGGGCGGCATGTGTGTCTACGTGAACACTGGTCAATGACGGCGCCCCGCACTACACCGAATGTACGTACTGGGTGACGGAAGAAGGTACGCCAGTGGGAAGGGAGGACGTCCCATGTATGAAATTCGGGTGGTGAGCAGAAAGTCTTGCGTGAAGTTGGCGCTGGCGCTGGCGTTGACAGGGACCATCCGTGTCGAGCAACGAAGTATCCCCGCAATCCTTATCTGTCATGCGACCGATACATTGCGGCGTGGTGGCAGGCGAACAGCGAGCGGTGGTAAGAGAAGGAAGGGAGCATCGAAACGGGCAGAAAGTACGAACCTCAGACCTTGCTCAGACCCTACAGCTATGTGGCGCGTAGCGCCGTAGCGCATAGCGTCCGGAAATTTCCGCGACGATTCGTAGCGCTAAGCAATTCCGCCCATAGCAGGAAGTAAGTATGAACCTCAGACCCCACAGCTATGCGGCGCGTAGCGCTGTAGCGCATAGTGTGCACAAATTTCCGCCATGATTCTCCCATAGCGCTACGCGTTTCCGCCCGTAGCGTATATAGCGATCCCATTTGGTTTGTAGCACATAGCCAGCGATTATTGACGCGTTGCCAGTGGCGGAGTAGAGTGTATGCTTTGGTTGGTCGTGGTGTAAGTCGTGACTAACAATCGTCTTAGTACAGTGCAGTCGATACTCGTACTGCTCTGACGAACGGGGGAGCCTCATCATAGAATCCAGTCGGCGAACAGCCAAATTAGAGTTCCAGTACTCATTCCGGATACGTGGGTCACACGGACATCACTCCCTGAGTCCCTCTCTCGTCTCTGCCAGGTCTCGCAGCCACTGTAGAACTCGTGACGACATCGGCGAACGCCCTCTTTCCTCGCCAAAGGACGGCCGCAGCCTGGTCTCCTACCCCGTCGCCACTCATGGCTGCGGCCAGTGCTGCTTATGGACCGACAACTCTTCTGCGGACCACAGTACATGACCTTTTGAGTCCGGGGCCGATAGCCTTCTCTCAGTCAACCACCATATAGGCTCCGCCCGCATGCACTCGTAGGCGTGCATGCCATGCGCGTGAGATATACTCGGAGGCTGGTTTCTCCTCGACTGAGATGAGAGCATAGAAGACTTCGAGTATGAAGCTTAAGACTCGGGTATAGCCACTATTCCATGCTGGCGCGGCGAGGTGAGGGGTGATAGTCAGCGAGCCCATCGCAGACCTGAACTGGCACCTCAATCGAACTTCTATTGATCATTTTTTGCTCTTCTATCGGCTGCTGTAGCATTTCGATAGGTGCGATTGATGTATCCACTACCGTTCGCTTCGATTCGTCTGTTCGACACTCTTCGCTTCGACGCTCCCCACTTCGACAGGGTGTCTTCCCCAGTTTGCCAAATGCGTCGGCAGACCGAATAATCCGAATAGAGGAATCTAGAAGCGCCTAGATGCACGCTCGAAGCAACATGACATATAATTATACACTGGAAGTCACCCGTACTTTCCCCCGCGGAACCGTGCTCAGGCTGTCAGTTTCAGCTAGTAGACCTCGCAGTGTCTGGGACGAAGGAGTGGAGTTGTAGAATCAGTATGCAGGTATGTGCCACTTCTAATTGCTTGTTCTGGATCAATTTGAGCGGTTCGTAATGATCCGAGCAGAGTACACTAGCAGGTCAGCACGAGCTTCACGAAAAAGGTGTTCAAACCGACCCGCTCGATACCGAACCTCTCACGTCTGAGGTGTGTAATGACACTCATTGTCTCCGTACTAAACTGACCGGGACATGCACAGATCTTCGACGTGGTGGTTGTAGACCTACGGAAGACTGACACGTTCACGACGCTCGTGAGCCTGAACCTCACTGTTAAGAGGGACGAAGTGTATCCGTGCTTCTTGTTGGGGGTACAAAGTCTTCTTAACGCCCTACAATCTTCTGGCTCTGCTATTGCCGGTTTGTCGAAGTCGCTTGTTGGCTCAATACGAAGTGTCTTATACAGCTCCTCAGGGCCTGCGCGTCTCGCTTTGGACCGGCGTCGAGATCCTGAGTGGTCATACCCCATCTACGAGATATTCGCTCAGTTTGGTCCGGACGGGGAATCGGCCATGTTTCTAGCGGCCGTTGTTCTCGAGAACAAGCAGCCCCTCATTTATGTCTTAGAGGTGAGTAAGTCAGCCAGACGTCTCCCTGAAGTGCTGTTTAGCTTCATCTTACCCAAGCCCGCGTCCCTGGAATGGTCATCGGGTAGCCAGTCGAAGTCTCCTACGGACCAAAGCAGGTCGAGAGCGACACACCCACCAATCATTGTGGAGAGCCAGCCTGTCACTGATGTCAAGGCTCATATTGAAAACGAGCGTTCGGCCTCGCCCGTCTCCTACAGGGACTCCCCTCCTCCCTTCGTCTCGCCGGATCCTGCACCTGCTGAGCCTGAGGACATTGCTCCGCAATCAGACCTGTGGCGAGCTCCGTTCCTGTCAGATGCTGCGGCTGCCCAGTCTGAGGTCGCGCGTGAGGAGCCCGCACCCACGCTGACCGTCGGCCTCCCGGAGGCTGCCCAGTCTGAGGCTATGCGCGAGGAGCCCACGCTGATCGCCAGCCTCCCGGAGGCTGCCCAGAGTTCTCAACCAGAGATCACGAGGTCACCTCTTCTGGCAGAGGACGTCCCCCGCTTGGACAAGCATACACCGGAGCAGCATTCGGCTGCAATTACCACTAAAATCATTGAGCTCACTACTAGTGCTCAACCTCAGTTGAGAATGCAGTGGAGTGCTTTTCAGAGGAACTACAGGCGGCCATTGACTTTCCAAGGCCATCTCGAAAGCTACCAGTTCGCCGATAACTTCATCAGGTACTGGGCGGGAAAGAAGGTCACATACACGGTATGTATAATCGTTCGTCATAACGCGATTGTCTTAAGTCGTTGCAGATCCAAGGTGATGACATGTCACACGAGGACGACGTCCGAAGTACGCATGCTCAGAAGGCGCTGCGCCGCGCAGATAGCTGGTTCGTCACAATGCGCAAGGTCTTGATATTGTACGAGCAGGTGAAGGACGTACCCGGGGTCTTGGAGCGTATACAAAAAGGAGATAAGGGCTCGGGCGAGCTGCTGCAGTACCTTGAAGCTACCGCGGCGCAGCTCCCCGCCCCGGCGGGCGGGTTGCTAGCGCCGCCGTCGGCGCCTAATCAAGGGTGATAGCTGGATTCAGTCTTGTTCATTCGGTACAGTCGTTCTTCACCGGCGCCCATGTAACAAATGTATGGTAATCGGGACGGCGAGTCCCTAACGCCCCCCCTCTCGACTAGCTGTACCTGGCAGAAATTATGGACACAATGAACGGCCAGCCGCAACATGAAGCGGCAGTATTGGCCATGACACGCACGACATGATTGTGACTAGTGAGCACGTAGCAACAGCTCGACTCGCCAACTCATCCGTCCATCCACAGCCCGACCCGTATTACGGACACGAAGAGACCGTGAAGCCCTGTGCGAGGTTTGTGACCCATCCGTTTGCATGTCCGGACCTCCCTCCGTTATTATGTAATCGCCAGCCCGCCAACACCGTCGCCGCCTCTCGCGTTGTTTGTTTTAATTTATCGCCTAAGCCCTCCATAGAACGCGAACTCACACATCGCCGACGTTGACTGCCCTCTGAATCCTCCAACGTCTAAACGCGCGGTTTCCTGCCGCCCGCTGCTCGTCGAGCCACCGTCTATTCAGTTCCGCTTTCATTTTCGCATCCAAGGTCATCTGCGACGACACGTACTCGGACAAGTCTTGAAGCATCGTAGACCAGGGCATGTTCGCCCCCCGCGAGATCAACCAGATGGTGCGAGAGACGTGTTCTTATCTCGAGTGGCAGCTCACTGGCATCGAACCGCCGGCGCTGAAGGAGTTTGAGGCGAAGGTGTGGAGGAACTTCAAGGGCCACGGGCCCTACTCCACGTACGTGCTCCCCTCGCCTGCGCCGACACCGGTACATTGATGCCATACGGCGCCAACCACCCAGAGCTTCGCACCGAAGCGCAACCCCATGCCTTTCATCGCAGCCCGCACGGCGTACCCGAGTCCACCCACGAGCCCGAGACACCCGAGCAATCGTACTCCCCGTATCGTACGCATTGCCGTCGACACCACCAGGTTTTGTCAATGCGAAGATCCACATCGCCTCGCACAATACCCATGGGATGCCCCACGCCATCGAGCAACCGTCGCCGCCGTCGTGCCGCCGCCGATGCAGAAGCAAATTAGCTGGTTGCTGTCTGAGTCCAACACCTTCGACTCTTTTCTCGCCAAGGTCTCGCCTTCGATAGTCGACGCCATCTCGACCGATCGCGCCTCGACGACGAAGAAGGCGAAGGGACAGGACTGGTACGCCCACGCGACGCCGTGCGTGTGGCAGAGCCGTCGCGCGACATGCTCATCTCTGTCTTTCATGCTTGCTTTGCTCCAACTGGTCGCCACGTCTTTGCTCGCGCGGCGCCCGTCGTCGCGCGTTATCTCGGACACCGTGCTCTCGCATAGGACCTATTGCATCTGGTTCGTAGCCCCTTTTTTCTCTTTGTCGCTCTCGCGTTGCCCCGCTCATCCTCATGTCTTCTGTTGTATAGGCGAGTATAGATTTGGTTGCTGCGGCTGCGAAAGCAAGTGAGCAAGACCCTCTCGTGGTCGAATACGCTCACGTCGATCCCCGCGAAGGAGTCCCCTTCATTATCGACAACCACTTCGACCGACCGCTGTCCGGTGACGAATAAGGCGAAAGGCCAGGACTCCCCGAAATCAACGTACGTCGACATTCATGACGCTTCCGTCGACTTACTCACATGCTCGTGGTCTACCAGTACGACTACCCCAAGGGCAAACGCAACATTGTCACCATGTTCGCCGCGTATCGGTGCATCTAAGACATTGACTGTGCCCGTCTCTACTCTCTACTCTCTCTACGTCCTCCCGAGTCGACAGGCCCGCGAGGCTCCACTTTAACAGCGAGTACAATGCTCTTCTCGGTATGTATTTGACCCGCTCTTTACAGATAAAACAGATTGGTCGTGGAAGCAGTCTTTCAGCTACAACGAGCTCCGGGCGACGCGTCGTGGCTGCGAGGCAGTCTCCGGTAAGCAGCACAGACTGTATTGACAGTACCGTCAACTAAAGTCGCCTCGCGGCCGTTATGACAGCGCTGGCTCACCCATCGTTTGGCGTGGTCCCAAGGTCGCGCCAAAGACGAGACGGACAGATGTCGAGGCCTGTCGTAGTTCACTGAACGGTGAGCAGTCGTTGCGGTAAGTTCTCGTTGACAGCGCGGATCGTCTCGCAGCAGGGTGCCTTGTTGCCTAGTTGCGGGAAGGTTGATCATCTATACCAGCTCGGAATGAAAAAGATCTGGATGTTTGAAAGAATCTCGCATCCCGGCCAACCAAAGGGCGAGAGTCGACCGCTACGAGTGCGGAAACACGACGTCAGTGTCGGAGAGGTGCTTTTGACTCGTGAGGTGTTCCTTCCATGACGCCTGTGAATCGTGTGGTTAGCTCTCACACAGGAACCCGGTGAGTAACTTATGACGTTCGTCTTCATGTACCGAGTAGTTTCTTGATAGGTCGGACTGCGGCCGTCTTACACCAGCATACCCCAGTCCAAGCCCTGCGACACACCCCGATCGCCACCGTGACGGTTCATCTAGGCCAGTGGCTCGTCACCAAAGACATGGCTGCAAGCGTCCTCGACGAGATCGGTCACTCAGCCCGAGGCGAAGCGGCCTCGGTTTCGCGATGTCCCACTACCCACAGGGTCGCCTAAGGCCTAAGACTATGAGCCGCACATCGCGAAGCTCTCGGGCCTGTCGCAAGCACGAAGGCCGCGTATGTGCTGAAAAAAAAACGCATTCCCGACTGATACGGAACGAGTTTTGGGGACGCACGAGGCCCGGGAAGCAGTCTGTGAGTCGGCGGGCAAGACCTACGAGCTCACCGATCGCATCGAAGGCATTGTAAGGTTTTAAACAGCCCTTGATATTCCATCACTGACCGATACTGTGCCATAGGCACCGCCAACAGATAAGGATAGGGATTCCCGTATCCGTGGCCATGTCAAGGAGGCCGTACTGCGGCTGATCGAACCTACGTATGGATTCAAAAGCGACACAAACAATCGTCCGGCTGTTGTAAGTGCGAGTTATGAAATACATGCACCTTCTAGGCGATCAAGACAGTCCCAGCTTCCACTGGAGGGTACGTCACGGTCATTTCTTATATCTACCATTTGACTGAGAGCTGCAATGCGCCTACACACAGGACGTAGAGAGCCAGGAAGACTTTGCAGAGCACGAGATAATCTTCAACGCTGTCCAAGTGTCGTTCTTCCGGGAGAAAGGCGGCCATGGGGTTTCCTATCTTCAACACTTCCGACCAATCACCTTGCAGACTTATGCTCTTATCTTTACACTTGTGAGTCCAATCCCTTGTTCATCTCCGTTGGCATCTTTGGAGAAGAGCTCGTGCTTAGATATAATACTAGATTGACGTCGGGATCTCCCAATACTCAACTATGATAGCAAATACGTGAAGGCGGGGCACTTTACCGAAACTGCGAACCGCATGAAGTATCGGTGCTAGCTGCGGCAGCTAGAGGATTGGTCCGACGTTGCGCCGCGAATTGTCGAGAACATACGGCAAGACCTGCATGACCTAGCGCGGTGCGTCTGTTGATGTCACGTGTCTACACACCTGTCTTGCTGATTTACGACTACAGCGAAGCATCTGGTGCTCCACCCATTGAACAAGCACTCGCTGGCTTGTCGCGTAGCATGCATGACAAACTCAGTGCATAATTGGTGGTGCGCGCTGGTAGATTGGAGGCGAACAGAGCAGATAGCTCGGATGTGTAAGCCTCGGCTGTGACTATATACGACAGCGATTGCCGAACCTTAGTATTGCAAGAGTTAACATATTCGTGTACCATATGCATTTTGTCACTGTAAACCGACGTTTTGCGGTATCGAAGTCGTTTGATCACGGGCTGTCAACAGATGCGACACTACCGTATTCTACCATGCTCTACTAAGTGCGATCGCATTGCTACCAGGCGCTACTGAGTGCGCGCACATTGCTACCAGCCTCTATTTACACCGGGGCCTTCCTACCACACTACCACTGCTACTTATACTACCAAGCACGAAGTAGCTAGGTACTTTTGCTGATGAGTGACTCGCTTGTCAAAATGACAAATGCTGGCCAAAGGCGGATCGAAGAGCTAAGTATCGGAGCGAAGGACAAAAACAAAGACCGATGGAATTGGAATCGAAGGGCAGGGCTGCCCGCAGCTGTTTGATGTTGTCAACGAGACACGTATAGCTGGCCGTTGAGCAGTGCATTTAGTATGGAACCCCGAGTCGGGACAGCAACGATGTAGCACTCACATCCCAGGCTTACGATGGACCGAACATTTTACCGCTCCTGGTCGTCCCGCGCGGCAGAGCAGAAACCACGTCGAGTTGGCTCATAGTTGAGGAATAAGGAGGGGAACCCTCTACCAAGGTCCATCCCTTCCATCCTTTCTGTGCAGCTTGGCGCCGCTTCCTCTTGATAGGGATCCTTGCTGTTTGACCTGTAGCAGGCAATTGACGTGGTGGGCTCGTCAATGCTGGCTGCTCTCCCTCACTAGAGGAGGTGAGGGGTGAATCGGAGGGGTCGATTCCTGCTACCTCAGGTGGTTGGGGTTCAGGCGTGTTTGACGAGAACACGTTGATTGTCGAAGACGTCGCTTGGTGACTTTCGTTCGGAATGGTTTCCGACATCACCGGACGCCAAAATAACGGGACAGCAGTGCGCTGCGATACTGCTCTGGAGAGATGCAGCGAGCCCTTAGGTAGGGTGTCTTCAAGACCTGCCGGGATCCTGGAAGAGCGGCTGGCCATTTGGGCATTCCGGCGTTGCCAAAAGATCTGGAATGAACTTGAACTATGGCCCCATGCTTGTAGCCCATTTTGTAAAGCGGACGAACCTCGACGGATTTACCCCGAATTGTCATGTCCTCTTCCGATGGCATCGCGGGGAAGTGTAAGTCTGGAGTATGGTACTAGTATAGTCTGGTGACCAGTGTCGAGCTTGAGCGTGCTGACGGTGACCAGCGATGCGCTGTGGCTGAGGCGCGTCGTGCAAAACGCCCGGCCTCGGACTATCGGGCAACCGTACGGCCCCGGAGTGTCCACGTTCGCACAGAGCAAGCGACCTGTAAGTAGTTATGCTTTTCGAGCGAAATATCCTTTGTTTTTCGCCAGTGAATGTTCATCCCGCGCCGTCTGCAGGTCGTGCACGACCGTTCCGCGATGCCCGTTCCCCTGAAGGCCATACACGTCACCACCCCGTGTTCCTACAGTCTGAAGTCTGAAGATCCGGCCAGCATGACAAGGCCGACTCGGCGCGGCTCGAGAAAAAGTTCCAAGGTCAATCCTTCCCCAGGTCTGAATAGTGTGCAGACTCTTACCGCTTTGAGTCGTTGTCGGGACCGGATCTTCCTCGTCCTCCTCGTCCTCGTCCTCCGTTGCGGTGCTCGCTGCTGTTCCAATTCGATTTGCGTGTGCTCGACTCCCGCCTCTCCTCTAGCCTCTCTACCTTCAGGCAGCCCACACGGCTTGCGATTCCGTATCTTCGCCTGGATATACTCGCCAAATGCATCTGGAGGGAGGGCAACCAGGGTCGTTCCGGTGGGTTTCGTTCGTTCTGTTGTGTCTTCTTCCGAGCTTGATGAGATACAGGCATGATTCTTACTGCGAGCAAGCCTGTCATGTATCCCAAGGCTGCAATTGCATCCACCGCCGCAGCTTCAGAAGGCGCGAGGTCGTGCGTCATCGATCATCCCTGGCCACTGGAGGCGTGATCCTGATGGTCATGGCTGTTCAGTGAATTGTACGCACGCACGTTCTTGTCCAGTCGACCCCACACTCAAAGGCTCCCTGTAGGCCATCCATTGTGCACGCAGCGTCGCTGCGTATTTTAGGGCTAGCTACGCACGGAAGGTTTGCTGTGTACCTCGGATGAGTGCTCGATTCTTGCCCACCACTCCCCTCAGATATCACACTGGTGCTGGCATACCGTCATGCCACCGCTTCCCTGCAACTTCGCGGTCTCTTCGAGCCCTGCATCGGGGCGGCGTTCTCTAGGATAACGTCGGTGCCGTCTTCGAGAACGGCGTGATCCAGGCTACGGACCACCACAACGACCGCTGCCGCCACTTGATTGTCTACCCCCAGGTTGCCATCATCCCGGAGGCACGTACATATGCCTGCATCCATTCCTCTCCCTTCCTCTCCACGGAGCACCCGTCGGTCGCACTGTCCGTCGTGTTGTGCAACGTGCAGCTCATTTCGTCGGTCATCGACGTGTAGGTTTTGCGCTCCCCATCATGCCAGACATAGCTGTGGAGCCGATCGTTCCCCGTCTGTAAATTAACGACGGCTGCGCGTGAGGTAAACCTACACTACTGTCTGTGTCATGGATGTTGGCCCGTAGCCCCTGCCCGGATACGATGGCCGAGGAAATGTGGCTAAAGCAGGGGCCCGTCAACATCGCCGCAGCGAATCCCTACTTCCCTCTCATCCTGCAGTGGACGGGCGGCCATGCGAGATATCGCCATGCGTGCGAGGACTTCCATCAGCCAATTCTGTTGACATACCATTCGATACGCCAGCACGACAGCAGCCCCCGTCGCTGGCTCTGGCTTCCGTGGTGCGGACGATGTCTAGCTATATATTGTACTGGTGGCCGGCCTGTCGAGAAGCCCGGGATGCTGCCCATGACGTTTGACGGTTTCCTCTTCCCGTCTCCCGCGTTATGGTCGCCGAGGAGGCGCACACGGGCTCTTCGGCCAAAACATCCCATCGTCGCCGTGGGGATGCCCAGCGGGGAGGCACCTACTCAGCGGGGACCTGCGGCATCCCCCTAGTCAGCTCTAAACTCTGTGAGGCCACCCACATGGTCGCCACGCGCGCTGCAAAATGTGGGAAGAGGTCGGTGGCACTGTTTTCTGTATGCCACTGGAGAAGCGTGTGGCGTAGTTGGCCGGGCTCGGGCGGCGCGCTGAGATCATCGCGAGGCTGTGAAAGGGCTACGCAAAAGTGGAAGAAGGCCAGGACGGCGGTGTTGTCGAGTACATCACCGACATGTCCTACGGGGGAGCTGTCCTCTGCATTGTCCGGCTTATGTGCGTCGAACACGAGGGGCGTTGGGCCGACCTGTCCTTCAGGAACCTGACGGCAGCATCGCTGTTCGCATTGAAGGTCCACGAAGGCACTGCTGCCGTGGCTACACAGCCGAAGACCGTCTACTTCGTCACCGGCCAGGGTTACGGGCACGGGCATGGATATCTGCAGCAGCTCGCCCGCAGCGTTCAGCTGCCCCGCGGGCTTTCTCTGCGCTACACAGTTCGCCCAGATACCGCCCGTCGTCACCGCGCGCGCAGCATTCGAGGACATGCGCCCCAAGGACTTGGTCCAGAACGGCGGTGCCTTCGCTGGGCACTCTTCGGCAAGTACTCTGCTGTTCTGGCCATCCGGTCTATCGCCGGCACCGTCCCCTATCGTGGCATCGTAGCCCAGCGTGCTGTTGCAGCTGCAGTCGCCAGCGTCGAGGATGTGCCTTTCAAGGCTATCGAGGTATCGGGCGCCATCGTTGCCCGGAAACTCAAGAAGCGGGCTGACGAGGTGCCACTCTCGAAGTCCATCCCAAGGACTTGTCTGGTGGAAGGACCCCTCTGCAAAATGAGATTCTCGGCGTGCTTCAGCTCCCCCTGGAGGAGCTTGGCCCGGCGCTAAGTGCTGGTTTTGCCGCTGTTCTCGAGATTGGCCGCGAGATTGACGGTCTCGACGGGAGGCCCGAGCTCGCCCACCGCGTTATGCTGGTCAGTTGGTTGCGGCTGCTTGGAACTGTGAAGGTCAGAATCCAGATCCGCGCCCAACCCGGGGCGCTGTGCGTCAGCGTGAGTTTGCTCAGCCGCGGGTCCTCCGAGAGCTGGGGGAAATAAATTTCCCCGCTGGTCTCGTAATCGGGACGCCTAGATACACCGGGCTTCGTTCCTGGCTGTTCCGCAGGCAGCCTCGTGCCATCAGTCTCGTGGACAGTCCGGGCGTTGTTGCGCAAGAGCTCTGAGGCCATGGTGGTCTGTACGTTCTCTGCGAAGTCCTCTGCCGGCGTTCACCGTCCTTGGTCTAATGTGTCTGCTTCTATTCAGCATTGCTGAGGTTCAGCCGGTTTGGGCGGAACCCCATGGCAGCATAGACCGGTTTATGGGCCTTCCTGAAATCACCATGTGGATCAGGTTAGGCCACAACAGAGTAACCTACGCCGTGCGATCACTCGCGGCAACGCCGCGGATTGCCAGAGTGATTACTGTAACGGAGTCGGGGTGGAACGTGTCCTGCAGACGGTCAGCGTGACGCCACATGTGGATTTTCAATCTCCCTCGCATTGGGTCACTCCCGGTCCTTTCCTGGCGTGCCGCAGCTGCGCGGCATGTTAGACCCCGATGGCAGACAGCCGCTGTGGCTTGCTTCGCCTGGCTTGGCGTGTGGGGTGGTTCTCGTACGCGTTGGGACATGGAGGCCCGCGGAGAATTCACCACGGCAGGCTGCGTCGAAATGGCCTGGATGATGGGCTACATCAAGTAGCTGCCTTTCAACGGCCTCCTCTACGTCTGGTTGGTTTGTCCCTGATTTTCGCGACGCCAGACCAGCGCTAATTTGCTTCCGGCGCCTGAGCAGCTCCGTGGCTACGATTTCACGAAGCCGTCTTTCAATCAGGAGATTCAGCTGTCCCATGATCGTGAGCCCTTGAGGCCAGACAAGTTGGGGCGGGGTATGCCAAGTACGGGTACGGCAGCAAATGCGACATCTGGGAGACCGAGGGCGGACGGTGGTATGGCACGCTCAAGCGCGGATGCTTCGGTGTTACGACGGCTATTATCGTCGGCGCGTGGTGGGTGGTAGCGCACGCTTGGGCTGATACGGTACTAATGAATGTCTAGTGCAATTGCGCTGCAATCCGTTGAGATCGCATGCGATACGCTGCTGTCCAGCAAGACCAAAGTTATGCTCGCGAGATGTTGCGATGGCTTCAGCGAGGAGGACCTGTACGAGGCACTATGGGCCGTGAACCGACCGAGATGCCGAGGCCGGCTATAACAGCGCGCGCAGGAGTTAGCTGCCGTCTAGTATCGGCGGTTCCAATGTCTAACGCGATGCTTCACAGATGATGGAGGTACACGGGTTCAAAGTGCATGCCCTCATGAGTGCGATGACAGCGCTGGAGCTCGGCTGCCGCAACCGCGGGATTGTCGCCTTCATGTCCAGCTCGATGTAAGCTGTTTGATCTTCGGGACCCTCGCATAGACTGGCCCGCAATGTAGTGACAAGGCCGGGCGATCTGTTCCTGCACCGGATCGCGCTACGCTAGCCATCGGTCGTGGGATCCAACCCAAACATCCCGCGCCGATTCTCGACATTGCGTACCGCTCTCGCCAGCTCACTTTCCGCCGCAGGTAAATATCGCATTAGCTCAGTTGCTGCAGGACGAGGTCGAGTTCCACAGCCGTCAACTTGAGCGGAGCGTCTGTAGAACTGTGCTGTCGACGTACTTGGCAAAAGGCACGTCTTGTGCATGCGCACGGAAGGTGCAGGGCTGCTCGAACAAGGGCCACACTTAGGTTCGAGACAATTCCGCAACTTTGGTTGCTACTTCTGTGATAGTAAGCGCGTGCGTGCTCACGCGAACCGACAGTCTTGCCGTTTGACATTCTCGCAGCAGGGACAGTGCGCATTCCCGCAACTTCTCCCTAGTCTCCCGCAGCGGGAAGGACCATAGCCACATCCGGACGCCCTCGGCTTTTGCTGAAAAAGGCTACTCGCACGGGAAACGGCTGTCGCCACTGTGACTGTCGACGAGACCGCGACGATGACGGTAACCGCTACCGAAGTCGCCGGAGCAGTCAGTACGTTCTCAAGCTGTTCTGCAGCACGCAATCCACTGATGTATTCTCCGTATTCTGGGCTACCGCGGCTTCGAGTGCAACAGCAGCTACCCCCGCTTCTTCCATGCTTGCCTCGTCACAGGTCGGTGACTTTAGTTCTTGCACCGTCCCGCAAATCGTGTACGGCGTCGGTTTCGACAACCGCAGGGAGATGAGTATGAGCCCGCCGAGCTACGCTCACGGTGAGATCTGCCAGGTCCTAGGAAGTACGGAACCCCTTATTATATATCGCATGATGGCTTCTTTCGCCTCAGAACATCGGCAATAACACCCAGCTCATGTGTGACAATCACGTCAACGTCTGTGGTGCCAACGATCTTGCCAGGCAGACTGCCAAGGTGGCTGCCGATACTGTCACGCCGTGAGCAGGCCGACGCGTGCAGCGCCGTGTGCGGTATTGAAGACGGGCTTTACGCGTGTATGCCCGGACGTCGTCAATGATCGAGGTGTGACCCAGCCCTTCGCCGCGTCTACTGCTGCGTCCACTGCGCCTGCGACGACGAACGTGGCGATCGCGGCGGGCAGTTCGGAAGATAGCTAATGTGCAGGAGTGCAGGACTGTCGTGGTTACGGTCTCGGTGGACATGGCCGGGATGGCTAAAGTAAATATCTTCATGCTACACAAATCCCTACGTATCATTGCCCTCTCCAGCCCCAGCAAATGAAGCGATAGACTGCCCACGTGCATCCAATTCCTGTTTCATGTTGGCTATACGCCGTGAGAATGCAAATGTAAATGCATGGTTTATAGCACCATGTGGAGGGGTTGTGCCATGAAGAAAATCAGGTTTGAAAATCAGCAGTGTTCCTTTGGCCTGCTTGACCACCACTTTCAAACTGGCATCAACAAAATTAGCACCACCACCTGGTAGATCTGGCTCTTGCTGGCTTGTGGTGCGTGATACACAGAGGGAGAATGCCCACTTAGCATATGCAGGGTCAATATGAGACCAACTGTAGTAGCTGCTCAGTAAAATATACCTATGGCATAGTCAACAAAGACTCACGCTGCATATCCACAGGACATATACACCTCAGGTGGAGAGCGTTCAATGTTGGGAAACTTGTATTCAACACTGTCAGCCTTGATTGTGAATCCTGCACCTGGAAGTGCTGTCAGTCAGCAATACATTAAGTGAAAGAGCTGATTTAAGACATACCCTCTGAAATATTCTGTGTTGCCATGTGTGGCATTCCTTCATTGAGAAGGCATTGTTCAACATGCTTCACAACTTCATAGGGTGCTGCTGACTTGATGAGCCTCCAAGCTATACCAGCTGCACCAATAACATCCGCATCATGGTCTTCCCTCTCTGTCTTGCCGAGGTCTTTGGTGTAACTCTTGGCCCATCCAAGGACACGGGCATGGCGTGGACCACCATTCAAGCCAGCCTGCACCATTTTCCCTGGATGGGAAGGCTGTATATCAATGAGGCAATTTGTTAGATGTGAACTCAATACTTGTGTAATGATGTAGACATACACGGACATCTCGCCTTTCACTGCAGGCTAATTCTGCTATCTCCAGCAGCCAGTCATACAAACCATCAGAGATTGGAGCATCCATGGCTAAATCACGGATGACTACTAATTCAATCTCAGGTGGTCTGCCATCTAGTAAAGAGGTCATTAACATGCTAAGACCCTACTAAAGAAGACTCACATGCATTGTCTGAGACAAAGACTACAGATTCATTGGGCTGTACAGTATGATAGCCAGTTGACTCATGCACCAGTGCATATTTACCCATGTTTCCACTTTGAGTTTCCACCATCCATGTATAGCGATGAATTGGTGTGGGGGTGCGGTTGAGAACTTTGACTGAGATGGGATGGTTGAGATAAGCATTTCCTGCCTTCAACTCATCAATGGAGGGCCCATAATCAGAATTGATTCTGAGAGCATTGACCTGACACATATGATCATGATATGTGCATGAAAACATTCGAGATAACCACCTCTTACCAGAGCCCGTTTCCCCCAGTGTGATGCAAGCCCCTGGGACTTATACTCCTGGCGCATGGACTGCAAGTGCTTGAACATGCTGTACTGGATCTCAGAACAAGTTTCTCTAGCTAGTAAATTGATAGCATGGCGGATGAAATGGTCCAAGATCTATTGAGCAAATCAGTAACTTGAAGAGCAGTTATGTATGGGATGAATTGACCTCAGCCTGATCTCCCTTACTGTTCAATGACGGACATATTGCAATGGCTCCATCAGTCAGTCCCTGTAGGACAGGCGAACGATGGTCTGCATCTATGAGTTTGATCGACTTGACCCGTTGTGCAACATCCGCCGAAAGGAGGTATTCTAGCATGATTGCTGGCAAGCCCAACGAGCCAGGATTCCAGATCGAAGTCAGCACACTGAGACCCAGAGATTCAACAATCTCACCTCTGTCTTTCTGTGCATCTGCAGTCTTCCTAGAACGCGGCATTGTGAAAATATGTGCAGATAGAACTAGCTAGAGTACGGATGCGCTGGTTGGCACAACACGAACATCGCTCGTTTTCAAGGTTCGACGCTGACGCGGCGTGTGCACGTGATATCGTGCGCGCTGCGACCGACGTCCGAGTCACGATGCAGCTAATTCACCTCTTTGTCTAACGATTTCGAGTATCACGACTGACCCAGTCTGGCCATGCAGCAGCTGCTGAACGCTGAGCACTGGGCTGCCAGCAGTGTATATTATATGGATACCATACACTACCGAAAACTACAAACGGAGCAGTACGTTGGCAATGTGAAAACAGTGTTACATGGCTACATCCGGGATCCGGGATCCCTACAACTCTCTGCTTTAGACATAACTTCTGCGATTCACACGGCACCAGGGTCCGCACAAGCAATAAAGGATATACAGAGGATGATTGCAAGTTAGAGGTGGACGTGAAGATGAGAGGGTGGGGGTGGCCCGGGTATAGGGGCACTGGCAGACGAGTGGGCGGGAACGCTTCCTGGAGTGCCTGCAAATGCACAGCCAGCTCGTCCCATTTCGCAACTTGCGCGAGGATGCGCGCGAGGTACGCGCCCTCCTGCGAGGCTCGGCGCATACGTCGTCGCGGTGCAGCCACTAGTCGCAAAGATCAGCATGTCCGGCATACCGACCATGCGGAGATTGTCGTCAAAGGTGATCCAGCGGCAGTTCGTCTGCGCCTGAGGAAGTTTCGCCATGAAGTCCTGCGTCACCTTGTGCAGCTTGTTGCCCGCAGCCCGACGAGCCCAGACGGCACGTCAACCATGCTCTTATCCGGCATAGTAAGTGAGAACTTGAACACGGCCGTGAGCCAGAGTATAGAAGTGCGGGAGGCCTGTGATCGAGACGGGCAGCCGAGCGGACAAGGAAATGAGCAGTAATGGGACACACGAGTTGGCGCACACTGCGCAATTGTAAGAGTGCACGAATGAGCGAGCGAGTGGATACGGGTGTGGGCTCGCATGCCCACAATGGTTTGAATGAAAGAACAAGGCGAGTGGGCGGAGAAGTAGACGGATAACAAAGGACTTACTGTTCGTCGAGATGCTCCGCGCAGGTACTGGCGAAGGTAGTGAACGGCTAGTTGGCAGCCATAGCGTACGGAAGAGGCACTTCTGTTCTCGCTCTTGGTGCACAGTTCTTGCTCTAGCTCCTTTGCGTGTCCCTCATCATCTCCTCGTCCTGCGCCTGTCATGTCCTCGTCCTGCGTCTGCCGTGTCCTAGGCAGTCCTGTTGTTCGGGGTCGAACCATTGGCAGCGCGCTCGTCGTGCAAGTCACGCGCCGTATCCGTGTTTTCGGCTCGCAGAAAACTAACTCGAAATGCCGCCCTCGCGGTGGGCGTGTGCTGTCGCCTGTTCACTTGCCCGTCTGCTCGCTCTCCTACCCGTCCGCTTGCACAATCGTCCGCTTGCCCAGCCGTCAGCTTGCCCAATCGCCCGTTCGTCTGTACGTCTTCCTGCTCACCCATCTTCCTGCCCGCCCGTCTTCCTGCCCGCCCGTCTGCCCACCCGTCTTCCTCGCCAGTCCGCCTGCCCGTCCGCTTGTCCGTTCGCCCGCTCGCCCGCTCTCCCTCGCGCCCGTGTCCGTGGTCCATCCGTCGGCTGCGTTTTCACGCGGGGCAGTAGCCCTGCGCGATGGCGGTCGACGAGTGTGCTGTGCTGCACGTCGCCGCGTCCTGTGGCCACGGTCAGCTCGCTCGCTCGCTTGTGTGTGCCTGCGCTCACCTCGATGCCAGCGTCAGCTACTCGCTGTCGTCGTGCCCGCTGTCCTCTAACGACGTCGGTGACCGACGCGGGATGGTGCTACTTAGTAGTGGAGGTCGTAAACGGCGGGCGGAACCGCTCGACGCTCGCTCGTTGCGAGCTCCCGTGTTTGGCCGAAACTGACGCCACGCAGCTGATCCCAGATGCGCTGACCCCTGTTGCAGTTGCTTCCGCCATGGCTGTAGGCTGTTGTCGCCGCGAAGATCTATTCATGATCACATATGTAGTATGAGCACACGAGCATACAACGAACATGCACATGTACGTACCATGGTCAACTCCGGATTTATTGACGCCATCCTCTACAGGCGAGTTGATTGTCTGCCAGTGCGCCGCTTGATCGCTGTCGTCCAGACTATTTTCCGCCGCCGGTGCGAGACTAACCGCGAACGAGAGGAGTGCCACGACGGAGTTGAAAATGTTTGCCAGAAAAGGATGGGTACGAGCCTAGACTAACCGTATGCAGCGCGAGGTTCTCTGTAGGACCCCTATTTATTGGTGGGGAGGCCTAATCCGGCAACCCGAGATTTTGGCCTTTTTGTCCGGACGTACTTAGGCCTTCAATTTTGTCCGGGTTAAATCAGGCCTTAGAGGGCCTTAGGTAGTCTCCCCAGGCAGACGTAGACAATTCCTTTAACCTTCGTGCCTCAGGATATCCTTGTCTGACGCTCCACATCGCCCTCCCTTCTTTGTCTACGCTCTGTTCAAGAGGGGCAACCCGGACGGGATCCTGATGAAGAATCTACGGCTCGATGGGGTGCACGATGGCATGGCCGGGATCCCCGGTTAGAATGCCAAGGTAGATGCAGTCAAATGGAGTCGTGTCGATAACCAGTGCCCAGCTTGTGTCTAAGTCATAATTCAAGTTACTGTCGACGAGGAGGGCGAGGACAAGGACGGGGAGGGGTCTGACTTAGAGTCAAAGTCGTCGGCCCGATTTGGTTGGCGACGAGATCGAGATCTTCACGAGATATCCCGGACGGACCACCGATAAGATAAAATTACTCATTCCCAAATCCAACCCAAATCCCGAAAGAACCGGAAGACTACATGATCATCCTCAGACAGTGCTGTAACTACGTATTCAAGTTGATCTCCTCATCCGCCATCGAGTCAAACGGAGATTGGAGGCCGGGAGGTGCTCGAGAGCGGGTGTGTGCCGGGCATGAACAGCTTTTTAAGACTCATGGTGTGGATCAGCCCGTTTGTCCGGGGTCTGCGAGACATGTGAGGCCGACGTGTTGCATCGCGATGCGCTTTGGCCGACGCGCTTTGGATGACGGCCGGGTCAAGCATTCAATATTCAGTGACGCGGCTTACACTGTTGCTTTGCTTTCACCCGGCAGCCGAGTTCCGGAGTCCACATCGGCGTCGGTTGTGTCTCATAAGTACTAGTCACCCAGTCTCTTGGCCAATTGGCTCACTACGCACCCATGAACCTCCCCCCGACTGGCCAGGGCTGTGCGAGAGAGTGGCGGTGACACGAAATATGATTTGTTGCTCACTCACTCAGCATGTCCGTGTTCACCTGTTCCCTCTTGATTTCGTTCCTCGGACGCGAGGTGAGCCTATGGCGATGCGCTAGCGATGTAAATATCCGCGATGCTCGAGCATATATGGGGCGAAATTCGTCGTATCATTCGCTATCGTTTGCGTGCAGTAGGTGCTGACCGTCGTGAGGAATGGAGTAGACCACATCGTCCCGCGAGAACAGTACGGTGAAGCACGGCGCACGCTGAGCGCCCTTTCTGATTGTTAAGAACCCCGGCTTAGAGCCCTACAAGCATACACGCCCTTACGATGTAAGCACTACGCGAACGCTTCGCACAACGTTGTTGGTCATCCGTGAACACTGGTCCCTCCGTATGTGTTTCTCGTGCACTTGCCGCTTACTGAGCGTGAGTATCGCGAGTACCGCCTTCATGCTGGACTATCCTAGCATGCATCGACCGCGAGAAGCAACTCCGGCTTCATCGAGACGTTTGTGCCGAAGCCGGCCCTGCGAACGACGCGATGAACGACACACGGTTGTAGTAAAGGGACTCGTGACGGAGGCCGCGCGGGACTGGGTGCGGGCCATGGGGGCACCCGAGTGGGCGGGGAGATGGAAGCCTGCGCCATTGCGGCGTTGTGGCGGTTGCAAAAACTCTTGAAAATGGTGGCCTTCATGACGAACTCAATCCGGTCGAGAGGGACGAACCAGACGATGTCCTGCAGACGCGTAGGTTAGAAGGTGTCGAGGACCATATGATCGAAGACGTAACCAGACCCAAACGGCACTTACCGACCCAGCCTACCATGCATGTGTGCCCCAGACATCCGACTGCCATGGAATGGGGTTTCGCCGAGACCGAATGCGTTCAGTTTTGTTTCAGCACTGCATGTACTAAGGGGACACATACATTTCTTGGTAGTCAACCTACAAGACCATGGTCGTGGCGAGCAGTCGAACACATGGCTTAAGAGTCATAAAGGGCAGTTATTGGCGACGCTCAGTGTACCATGCAACCGCGGCGACATCAGAGGCTGTCCGAAGGGAGTGGTATGATCGTGTATCTACAGATTACAGGGAGACCACACGCAGCGCGAGGTACAGTCGAAGCTGTCCCGGCGCGCGCAGCTCCGCACGGTCGGAGCTCCCGCCGCCGTTTGATGACGACGGGCGTGTTGATCTGGAAGTCGGGGCCAGTGGGGGTGGTGAGGAAAGTCATCGGCGAGGGCCCAGGAGCGGAGGAGAGTGCAGTTGAGGCGGCGGTCTGCTGCTTCTCAACGAGCGCGCAGTATGCCATCTGGCGAGAAGTCGCCAAAGGCTTCAACCCGTCCGCTTCGGAAGTCGGACAGGATGTGCTCCTCGAGAAGTAGACGGTATAGGCATAGCATATGAAGTGCTGTCACGCGAAAGAAGATTAGCCATTGTGCCTAATCGGGTTCACTATGTCATTCACCTGTGGATATTCCAGAGCAGCCGGGGAGTTGTTTGGTGGCGGGACGGCCTGCCGAAAGGACTTGAGGAGGCGATGGAAAGTGTGTGCCCATAGCCGTGCGATGAGATTGCAATTGGTCGATGTTGCGCAATGACCGCCTCTGTGCAGCCGGTTGGATGTCCTCTGTACAGTGTTTCAACGCGCGCCGGAATAGTTTATTCGGGGTGCTTGTGGACATACTGTACTCGGACTCTTTGGGGTCGCCACGCAGCCTTCCACACAACTTGCAAGTCGCCGGTGCGGAAGAAACCATGCGTCGTCGCGTGGCCAAGGCGTGCGGACGGCCGCAAGGCACTGGGAAGGGATTCTACTAGAGCGCATGAGCGATGGCGTGGGTGAGGACGTAGAGCACGAGGGTTGCGATGCGGGCGAGCAGATGCAGCGTGCGGGAAAGCAGACACATAGGACGAGGGCGGACGCGTAGCGCGCCGGTGTGAAGGGCGCGCGGGAATACGCACGAGAGTCATCTCGTACTCCTTCGTGGCCAACGGCGGCGAGAGAGATGGCTGACGAGCGAGATGTGCGCAAGAGATAGTAGGGGCGCATCGAGCAAGATCGTGAGTGAAGGAGAAAGGAGACAGTCAGCGAGGGCGAAGCGGGTGGACAAGCACCGGGTAAGCAGGTGACCGGCGTGTGTGTTGGCGTACAGCGATGGAGTGTGGGCGGCGAAAGGGAGCATGGACTCGGGAGGGAATCTGCAGAGCCAATGTCCGTGAGGACATTCTCGCTCAAGGTTGAATTCCTATACACTTACGGTGTGGGGTGTGTGTGTGGAATCGAGGACCGACTGTTTCTGAACGAGAACCGCCCAGATCAGGCGAACGAAAGGTGGTGGAGGGACGGACCACCTGCCCTGAACAGGCTAGGGACGTATTTCGCGCCGAGCCTCCATCCTACTCGAGGTTGCGCAAGGCCAAGAGCCCGTCATGGTGCAGCGGGGCTATAGCAGCCAGGTCCGGCGTAAAATCCGGTAATAACAACGATCGCAGGGCACAGAGTGAGCCCGCGAAGCTTGGAGCACGCGCATAGGACGCACCAGAGGTCCATCCCGTCGAAGCAGATGTTCTTTATGCGGAGAAACTTGAGGAGGTGGAAGTAGGTGAGGAGTATCTCCTGCGCATCCTTGTCCGTCTCGAACATACCCCGCCAAAGTTGATCCTCAGGCTCTCAATCTCGTGCAGCCGGGATCGCGGGGAGCATCGCGCGCGAGGTTCAGCGACATGTGGAGGATCGCATCGAGAGCGCCACGTGCGAGTCCATCACCCGTTTTGTGAAGCTTGCGAAGCGGCAGTTCTCGGAATAGCTGGGTGAGTGGGCGGTGCGGACATTGTTGGGGACGGAGTGCCGAACGACGGGGAAAGAAAGCGGGCGAGCGGTGGCCGTTCCAGAGGCAAGCAAGGACGGACTCCCAGACGTCGAGGGGAAAGCTGTGAGTGAGACGACATGGTGTATGTCCACAGGGATCAACGTGGCTTTGGACTGCAGAAGCGTCAGGGTACGCTGCGGTTCCGTGTCACTGTAGTGCTCACCATGCACCAGCGTCCGCGCAGGCTGCCATGCGTGGCTCGGGCCACGACGCGTCTGAGATGTTATCAGGAACGGGTAGTGGTCCTCTTCGCGCGAGGACCGCCGAACGAGAGGGTAAGCGAGCAGGTGTAGGCAGGCGATGAGCAAGGCGAGCAGGTGTAGGCAGTTGAGGAGCGGTGACCGCACGCGGTAAAGCCGGTGGTAGTCGTCTCGCAGTTTCTGCTTCTTGGCAGGCGGCACATCCGTGTAACAGCGGCCGACGGGATCGTCGCGCGCAAGACGGCGTTGGCGACCACGACATTCACCCCTTCGTAACGGGAGTGGCAGCAAACCAGGGACACGTGCCCCGTTACTCTGAACGCACGTCCCGTACACGTCTCCTCCGCTCCTCCTTGCTTCCCTCACGATCAATCCTTTGCGACGGCCGCCCTTCACCTTCTCTCCTTACCATCATGGCTTCGACACAATCTCTAAACCCGCCGCCAGGCAGCAGCAATGAGAAGGCACCAGAGTTCACACCATCGTCCTCAGAAGCACCGCAGGACGCTGTGGACGTTACTCCGGACCGGCCTGCTGAAGAGACATGGGAGGACATCCCCGAGGAGATCATATCTTTGAGCATCCGTACACGAGTTCGGCTCACCGACAATGACTTGAAGGTCCGTCCACACAGATTTCGCGTGTAGAGCCCGACGCCCAGGGAACCTGCAGGTGATGCCCTCGGAGACGTTACGTCTGCAACAAGAGCAGAATGCCACGAAGGAGAAGATTCGGGACAATGGGGAGAAGATCACGCAGGACAAGGTCTTGCCTTACCTTGTGGCGAATATAGTCGAGGTACGCCCGCTCAGTCACCTTAGTAAGGCTACCAGCTAACAGAAGCAGATTCTGGACGTGAATTCTGAAACTGAGGACGGCAGCGCGAACCGAGACCTTGACTCTATGCGCAAGGGGAGATTCGCCGTCATCAAGCCCTCGACACAACAAACCGTCTTCTTCCCGCTCACCGACCTCGTCCCGCCCGAGAATCTCAGACCCGGCGATCCCGTTGGCACCAATAAGGATTCGTATCTGGTGCCTGACACGCTCCCGGCAGCTCGCGGGTGAAGGGCGATAGAGGTGGATGGGCGGCCGGCGGGACCTACGCTGACATCGAGGGCTGGAGAAGCAGATCGAGGGGCTAATTGAGGCGATTGTCCTGCTCGTGGAGCGAGCGGACGGGCTCAAGGCGCCTGGCATCAAGCCTCCGAAGGGTTCTCTCATGTATGGTCCTCCCGGTGCGTCAGTCCCGACGATGTCTGGTCGCGGTCTGCTCAGGTTTGTATGGTAGGCAGGGTCGATAAGTGCCGTTTGGGTCTGGTTACGTCTTCGATCATATCATGGTCCTCGACACCTTCTAACCTACGCGTCTGCAGGACATCGTCTGGTTCGTCCCTCTCGACCGGATTGAGTTCGTCATGAAGGCCACCATTTTCAAGAGTTTTTGCAACCGCCACAACGCCGCAATGGCGCAGGCTTCCATCTCCCCGCCCACTCGGGTGCCCCCATGGCCCGCACCCAGTCCCGCGCGGCCTCCGTCACGAGTCCCTTTACTACAACCGTGTGTCGTTCATCGCGTCGTTCGCAGGGCCGGCTTCGGCACAAACGTCTCGATGAAGCCGGAGGTGCTTCCCACCTCCCATGTGGCACACGAGGAAGAGTCGTTTGGCAACCGTCTCGTCTGAGAATCGTCCGACGCGCAGGTACGTCGTTAACCGGAACCCTGATAGACTTCCGCAATAACTCCGCACAGATCTTCGTGTTCGGATTCCGCAAATCGTCCTCGCCGCGATGACGCACCGGAAGCTGTATGGCATCGACTCTGCGGACGGCGCGGTGAACGGTGGGCGATGGAGATGCGCCGCAGGTCGTGTTGGTCACTCAGAGGAAGGCGGGCAGCGTGTCTCGGAGCTGATGGCTGGAGCTGGCGCTGACCTATGGGACGATTGAAGTGTCTTGTGGGCATGACCCTCTTCCATGTGGACGCGCTGGCGGGCGAACATGCAAGAGGCGTGCTGGTATCTGCTGATGGATTCGACATCATTGCCTGGCCCGTCATTGAAGTGTACTTGCTCCGCAGCGGCTCCCAAGAACCCGTCGTCATGCTAGATGAGTTCGTGCAGTTTCGCAACCTATGGTACCTATCATACTGAGCACAGAGCCAGGCGCACGTCTATCTTCGAAACGGAAGAAATCAAGGAAGCCTCTGTCAACTCGTCCCATCCATCTTCTCCCTTCGTAACGGTGCTTCCGGCCAGCGTCGATTCTCCGGACACAGAACCTCGTCCGAGGTCGACTCCACCGACAAGCATATAACCAACATCACCTGGACGTTTGGCTTCGCTCCCGGCGAAGACAACCTCTCCATAGGCACATTGCATCCCTCGGCAAGGTTCCAGGTAACCGTGCGACATTGTCGTCACGCGAATTGCACCGTCATATGCGTTCGTCGTGCTGAGTGAGAGCTTCAACAAGGTTCAGCTTGTCTTGACTGTGGCCGGGCTAGCACTCGCCATCGTCATCACGAAATTCATGGTGAGGAAGGAGCGACTGCGTGAGCGGTGGTATGACTAGACTGCGTGCGTTGAATTGTATTATTATTGTAATCACCTGGCGTCCGAAAACATTCGGTTTCCCTGTCGATGCTGCACCAGTGTAGCTGTCTCGATGGTACATGACAGCCATGTCTTGACCATTGCCGCGATTACTCAGTCTTTCCGCGTCGTCGCCCTATGGTTGACGGGACCATGTACTCCTGTCCCCATCCGCTGCTCCTACGGGCATGCTCCTTGGCTCGGCCTAAACACATGTATTACGTCGTGTTCTACATTAAGTGCCTACTACGGTCAGGCAAGGAGATTCTGAGGCACGAATGTTGAAGGGATTGTCTACGTCTGCTTAGGGAGATTACTAGTACTACATGCCCGCAGGCACCTTGCTTGTGGCCAGTCCCAGTCCTTACATTATTCGAAATAGCTTAGGCCTGCCTAAGATAGTGCGTCTCGAGTGCCATCCGACTGTTGGGATCCAACAGGCTCCTAACAGTCGGTCGTGGATATGTGATCATAGTAGGCTCGTCGACCTGCGCAGGGAGCAACAATGTCTCAGGCGGACAACGTTCACGACGAACATCTGGCTAAATCATTATATCTTACCATGTCTGACCGGCTAACAGTGCGTCGGACGAATGGCGCTACCGCTGTCATGGAGCCTTGGGTAGCATATTTTCAGGCCCCAACTTGGTCAAGGAGTCCGAGATAATGACCGACAATCTGTGCATCACACAGACAAAAATGATAAGGAAGTCAAGCATTATGATTCAAGCTCGTTAACGGTCGCTAGGATGCACTTTCGGCGATGGATGCATATGTGTAGCAAGAAGTTAGTTTATTCGGATTATACTATCGTAACTCGACAGACTACTGGTTACACGAGTGTAGAGCTGGCCGTGTATCACGTAAGATCGATGATTTCGTTAGGATCCGCTACTACTCGTTCTCGTACCAAGGGTCTCCCAGTGGGTCTCGTTCTAGATCTCGCCGACGTACCAGTGTGGCCTACTGACGCTTTCGGCGCTGTCACTTCTGTATGTCTCACCAGCAGGGGTGAGGCTGTCTTGGGCTTTCGAGCGTTCTCCGGCTCCGAGTCACTTGATATAGATATCGTCGACACATCAGAGAAGTGTTTGCGCCGCGACGGCGATGAGGATGGCGCTTTCGTGGCAGGAGGCTGGCGCACTGGCGACGGCCCGAGGGGAAAGGACACAACTGCAAACTGATCACCTTCACTGGACGATGAGACGGATATGAGGGACCTCGGCCGTGATGTGCCCTGTTTACGTGGCGATGTATGCTTCTGAGATTTGCGGGGGGATTTCTGGAGTGGCCCGTCGTCGTTAGCTGGGTCATTGTGCGTGCCGGCCGGAGACTGGCCGCGGGTCCACGATCGCTTTGCATGCAGACGACGAATGTTCCGATTCGCACTATCGGCTGCGAATAATACCGCAGACGCCTGTCTGTCGTCGTCGATGTCACTGTCGGGGGTGCTGATGGTGGTTGACTTCGCCTTGTTTGGTTTACTGCTCATACGCACGGGCTGTTCAACGACTCCGGAGAACACCTTGATGCTGCCGGTTTGTTCAGGGACTGGAGCCATGATAGCTGGTTTTCCCTTGGCGGCGCAGGCGTTTGGCGTCGGTCTGGTTGGAGTCGGAGACCCGTCTGAACTCTCTTCTTCGTACTCCAAGCCTAACACCGCGACATCCTTCCCTGCCTTTGCCTTTGACCCGAAGGCGTTGCTCCGTTTGACCTTGGAACCACGTGCGGTGCTACGAGCGTTCACTGCCACCTTTTCGGTCGTACGCATCTCCTGGATTCTTTCGAATCCCTCCACAAGGTCCGGCCGCGCGATGCGTATCATGCACGCGGGCATCCAGATCCTGAGGTGATCCTTAGGATTGGGTGGCGGTTTCGGTAAACGCTTCTTTCCTTGAACAACGCCGTCCGATTCGTCTCCTTCTAGCACGTTTGAGCCGCTGTCCAACCCCGTTGCCAATGCAGTACGGAGACCCCTCAGCCCGGATTCAGATAGTCGAACGAGATGTACAGGGGCAACCTCGATACGATACTCGAGAACATTATCTGTGGATGTATGTTGCCGAGACGAGTGGATCTTGACGATGAGCTTGTCTTCGTCGCCTTCATCCTCGGTGTCGCAGTCGGTACGTCCGGCGCGTTTAGGCGAGCTCAGGTGGAGCGAGGAGAAATGCTTCGTGATAATCGACGACGGCGTCCCAGGCACATGGCGCTCCCTATTCTTGTCTTTCCTCGTAGGGGTGGCAGGATGGAGCAACACTGAGCGGGCTGCCTGAGACATAGTGCGCATGTCCTCCGACAACGCGACGCGTCTGAGTATCCGCAGCACTACAGCAGGCCAAAGGATTGTGCGAAAACGCTTCATGATGGTCTCCTTGACGCCCCATTCGAAGTACATTTCGCACAAGCCAGCAATCTTTCCTAGGTCAGGCTCTTTCTCCCAGTCAAGCATCGTGATCTTCGGCACGCGGCCTTTGGAAGCTGCCTCCGACTCGGACGTGACAGGGTTTGTGTACGATAATAGGACATCGATGTCGGGAAAGTCCTCAGGGATCTTCTTCGCCAGCGCAGTGTACTCTTGCTGAGGATTCCACGCGCATTTGTGTGGAGCTCAATGCGCACTTCCTCGACCCATACGCGTAGGAAGGCACGGAGCTCCGAGCGCGGTAGTGTGCGCGCTGCGTTGTAAAGGCTATCGCCGAAACCGCAACGTGCGAGCCCGTGCGCAATCGTGGAACCACACCCGATGAGACCGGCGGGATGGTAGTCGCCCCCACAGAGGATGCCCATGAGGATTAGTCCGCCATGTGTGAGCTCAATTGAGGGGTGCGTAAGTATTGCGTGCGAGGTGTACGTCGCAACGTGATTGCCGTCTTCGACGCCCGCACTATTTTTGAGGGCATGCGCGCGGTTACCATACAGTGTCGTGCTTGGACTACCAAACAGAAATCATCAGTATCAAGGTCTAGGGATGCTATAAGAGATGGGCGATACGAAAGTGGGTAGGTTCGACACAAACACGTGAGTATTTGCGGCGAGACTATGAAAGTGGGAAGAATGTAACGGGACATTGCGAATTTGCATGCGCAAATTATGGCGATGGTTCCCTGAGGGCATCCAACTGCAAGTACTCAGCTCATAACAGAGATAGAGTAGACAGTTTCCAGACTTGCTACCTAGACCGATATGCACGTAAATTAGTGGGAGAACCACTCACTTCCGGACAATCATCTTCGCTCCAAAAAGGAATGCATCCACATCGTCGGTGTACACAGCGTCAATGACACCGATGTGATTCAAATAAGCGAGCTCTGCCTCCGCTTCTCCAGGTGCCTATCAGCCAAAGCGCGTTGATATATGCAGTGAGTTGAAACGTAGTAGGGATGCTACCCACCATGCACCACTCAAAACCAAATGCGTTGATGATCTCTTGCATGCCTTGTATCATCCAATGGTTTTTCCCACTGATCCTGTTGCCGCGCTTGGTTCGGGCCTCTTTGGTCCGTCGAATACAAAGAGCGGTAGAAATGGGGCACTCATGAGCCTGGTGCATCTGAAGAACAGTGTTCGAAGTTCGGGGTTCTCCCCTGCCCGCCCGCCATGCGCTGCATGATAGAACCAGATGCTTGCGTCAATGCCGACACGGAAACCGCGCACTCCGTCTGGGTTGGCCTCGAAGCCGTCGACGACAGCTAGATGGGTAAGAGAACGCGTGTCTCCCGCCGGACGGAGAATCTACCCGATTGTCAACATTCCCACCATCTAGAGGTTGCAAGAAGAAGCACGTACATCCCACAGACCAGCAACACCCATCGAGTTGAGTAGGTCTGATACGGGCGGGTTTCAGTGGAACCCGGACAAGGCGCTTATAGGTCCGATCCTGGGCGGCCATAACCCGCCCAAATAGGGTGCCTATGTCCGATCCTGGTGCGGCCGAGCTCCGATCCATATGTGGCCGTACAGGCTGTCGTGTCCGCATGTCCTATCGGCATGCGGACATAGGCAACCTTGTGGTCGCTGTCAATTTTCGGTGGGGAAAGCATCCTAGGTGAAGTTCACGCCGTACTACTAGTAAATGCAGCTAACTTCGGTACACCGATTCCTCTATAGATGACACGGAGCTCGGCGAATCCGTCAATATCAAAGAAGAAGATTCAGTGTAGACGAAGACCTACCATACAGGGCCAAGCAGCTGCGGAGAAAGGCAAGTCATACTTCGGGTTTCAAGTGGTTTATTCCATGACTGATGATGGTGTCGGTGAATCCTGGTGAGTAGCGATGACCATGCGGGCGGGATTGATGCACGACGAAGGGCGGGGGCGAACTAAAGACGAAGTTGCCAGAGGACGAAGTGCACGTACGTCCGTCTGCTATCCTGCAACATTGTCTTGAGATTCTTGCATGATGCAAAGCGACGCGAACGACGAGGATATTACCATGAGGCTACCGTCTATTGTTGACTGTCGGTCTCCATTCATACGAAAACCAAGCGAATGCTCTTGCCACGGTATGCTGCCGATATTCGTACCACCCACCATAACTTGATACGAATGTCTTACCAGTGCCCAATGAGGACGGCGGGTCAGATATCTTGTCGTGCACGCCTACCCATGGGGATCGCGCCAGCGGCCAGGAAACGGCTGCCTCTTCTTCAGCTATCAACAGCCTCGCGTCGTTTCACGCGGAAGAATGGCTCGGTATCGGCAAAACACGGAGCAACGGGATTCCGGTTCACGTTCGCCACGCCAGGGATCATGCGCGTACGATCCCGCAGAGCCTGCGATCCACATTCATTCCGAAAACATCCCTCACCGTCGATGCACTTCTTTGCTTTCAACCTCCGCTGCGGCCACCTACCACTTCCGCCTCGGTCGGGGTGCGTTTCAGCCAAGACTTACCCTCTGTCTTGGTCCAAGACAATGACTTTATGCTCGATGAGGAGGCCCTACAGCATATCATGAGTGCTGTCGAGCAGGTCAGCAGCCTACGCCAGATCTCAACGATGCCTGGCTTAGTGGGGCTCGTTCAACATACCTCCCTTCCGACGTTCTGGGTGATACCCACTTTGGGTCGAAGCCCTCCTGGCGAACTCGAGACGTCAGAGCGGAAACACAAGAAGTGGCTCCGAGCGTCTGCATGGCTCAACCGTGTAGCCGACGGCAATCGAAGCTGCGTGATGCTCGCTGACTGGAAAGCGCAGGGAGACATGGACGAGTGTGGCTTGGGATTCGACTGTCCCCGGCTTTAGTAGCCCAGTGCTATTGACCACCGAAGACCTGGCATCCCTCCTTTCCGATCAGTGGGTCAACGGTGACATGGTTAATGCTGGGCTGGATTCTCATCTCCCGACGACTCTCAGAGAACAGCCGTACTCGCGTCGTGCTCTGCCTATTCAAGTTGAAGAACTCGTGTTCACCCTGTTCGTACACAACTCCCGCTGGACGGTTCTTGTCATATCACTCCCTACGTATACCTATACGTACTGCGACTCTAAGAATGCTGCCGCCAAACCGCCGAACAAAACGATCAAACTTCTTGAGTGGTGGCTGGTCATCTGTGCTCTGACCTTGTCGCAAAATCACTCATCGTGTCGCCTTCGCCCTCTTGGTATGCCCCGAGACAGGCAGACTGCGACTCATGTGGGATCGTTTGTTATAGTCTTATCGCCGCAAAGCTTCTTCATTAAGAACCATGGACACAATCGACATCAGCCCAGCATCGAATGGAGTGGTATCTTCGGCTTTCCGAAGCGCTGCAAAATGCTAGCGAGGTATGTGCATGATCCTGTTCTGAGTCTCCTTGTATCTCACCGATGCTTGGTCATCTTCAGGATCCGTCAGAAATGCTGCGACGGACACAGACGGTGACGTCTGTGACTCGGACCCTGCTATCATACCTTCATCAGTCGACTCTACCACCTTCCCTTCCACGTCGTCTGGGACCCGACTCGGCAAGCGCAAACACGAGAAGACGTCATCGACCTCTACACTAAAGCCTCCATGTACACCCACTACTGCGACGAAGGCTAGGGCTTCTGCTGCACTCGCTCAAGCTGTCGCTGACTCGTCAGAGGGTGATTAGGACTCCCAGGATGCTCGATCCAAAGCCGATCAGCGGGGCCAGAAAACAGGAGCAGGGTGAGACGTACCACAGGAGGCGCATCATCTCAGCGGATACCGTCTACGGAGAGCGCGTCAGACTCTGCCGACTCTTCCCTTCAGGCTTCGCGTCAAGGCAGGGCAGAGTCGAAGCGTGGCACGAAAACATCATCATCGTGGTCGAAGCAGAAAGCCTGCGCAATCGTGTTCACGATGGGACTTTCAAAATCAATTACAGCAAGCTACAGTCGTTTCGAGACAGGGTCCGTGTGGACGAACCCATGCCGAGTTCAAGGCGAACGACATTCTAGCAGTACGGTGCTCGGCATGTGCGGAGTGGTTGACTATGCGTGTACCTTACGAAATCAAGAATGGGAAGACTCATCGTGCTACGAAAAAGTGTCTACGCAATGCTGCGTCTGGGCGATCAAACATCTCACTACAGAAGACGTTCGCTAGCAATGCACGTCCCGCGAAACCCAAGCCTATCCACACCAGGCAGCGTCTTGCCCTATAATCATAGAGTAACCGACGTGCCGAAACCACCAATGGTATAGGGCCAGCCGACGGCGGCCGACGCTTTGTACACAACCCACATCCGTTGATTGGCCGACCGTCGGCTACAAAAGAAACCGAGCGGCTGTACGCAGCTTGTACTAGGGCGCGTCTACGTGCGCGGCGCCAGGCCCTTGCAAGAGGCGGGCATTTCATGCGCGGATTGCGTGGCGGATTGGCCATGATGAAGACATCTACCCGGGTCGGCCGGGCTTTCTTTCGCAGCGAGCGCATTGCCTAAGTGACAAGTCGACTGGGAGAAAGCGAGCTGAGTGTCGCAAACACTGAATAATGTAGTGGTGTAGCCAGAACGTGTGTAGTAGTACTACGGGATAGTAATGTGGGCGGCGCCCACCTCAAACAACATCCGCCCGTCTTCCTCGAACAGATCCTCCACGTACCGCTCTAAGTCCATCGCCTGCTGCTCCGTCGACCCCAAACTGCCATGTACCATACTAAAGGAGCGCCCTGCGGCGCGCTCGACACCTTCGACGCCCGTCACTAACAGGCCGGTGCGATTCACGTACGCCTCGTAGTGCACCCTGAAAGATTCAGTAATGGAACCTAGAATGAAAAAAAAAAGGCAACGTACCACGGGTGAGGCTTCATGTCCTCGACGATCCACCGTATGCTAGCCAATGCGTCGTGAGGCGCGAGCGAGCGGGGCATGGCAGGCGCATCCTCGCTGGGCCGGACGTAGAAAGGCGGCGCAAGTGGATCCAACGGGAGAGCCGCCGTCTCGTATGCAGGCGGCGGCGGGCATTGCGGGGGTGCGCGCCGCGCGGACCGACGGATTGCGGGGTTTCGGCGGAGCTCAGAGCCCGCAGCCGGTGCGACTCCACGCGCGGAGTGAGCGACGTCAGTGGCGGGAGTCCCTGGGGTGTCGGCGTGGCCGGCCGCAGGAGCTATCGAAGTGGCGGCGGCCAGAGCAAGCGGGCGGAAAGCGGGGCGGTATCGTGCGAGACGGGGTGGAGCGATGGACGGATACGAGCGCCGCGTGGGGCAAGACGAGGGGAGGCGGGGGCTGAGCTCGAGGAGTCGGTCACGGGCGAGATGTTGCGTTGGGGACGTGGGAGAAGCGGCGGTCGCCCTGCAAGTTTAAGTGGTAGAATGAGGAGGCGCGCAGCCCCAGGGTACTCACGATTACGTGTTTCCCGATCGACAGGTATGATGGATCCACGGGAAAATCAAGGGTTTCAAATTGCGCGCGGTTGCGGCGCATTGCACTGCGCGGCCGCGCGGTGCTCGCGGGGAGTCGAACCCGCCATTCTTTGCGCGGGATCGCGCAAACTGGAATGCCATTGGTGCGGCAAACATCGGCCCACAGGCAGTAAAACACCGGCGGGGCGGCGGATCGCTCGCGGGATGGCTGGGGCGCCAAATGGGCGCTCCCTCGCTGCGCTGTGGATCGCCCCGCCGCCCGCCGTCACCGCCTGCGGCAACGCGGGCCCTGTCTCGGTTACGTCCCCATCGCAATCGGTCACACGCTCTGTTCGCAGCACGACGAAGCCCGTTCAAAACGGGCAGTGAGAAAGCGCCGGCCACCAACGTGACATTGGCTGCGCCATTTCGCACTGGCGCAGCCAATGTCGGCTAGCGAATGACATCGCAACTAGCCGACGCCCGCTCCCCGAGGACCATTGGCATAGCCGACGTTGGGCGGTCGATCAACACTGCGGCTGCGCTCGGCCGTGTTCGGTGGCCTGCGAGGCATGCTCTCTTATGAGTTTTGAGCGTGCCCACTTGGGCTGCTAATTCTAATCGAGCCTGCCCATCTCGGATGCACCCGTGGTCACCTCAGCACAAGAGGTTGATCGGCCAATGCCGGATTGCCGATGGTACTCGGTTTATCCGACCTTCAATGCTCAATAATGATTCTGTGTACGAACGTCGTTTGCGCACGGGTAGATCTGAGAAGGGGGGACGCCGCGGCACGCCATAAATATACAGCCCTCAAACACCCGATGCGCATGGGTTCAGCCGGGGAGGATCGCCAATGCTCATAGTAAGGGATAGAGGCGCCATATGTACACATTAGTACCGTCAACGCTTAATAGGCCATCGGCCGATCCAATGACTATCGTACCAGCCGACCGCCGGCTGTCCCAGCACCAAGCCCAGACGACGCCCATCGGCCGACGTCGGTGTGCCAATGAGCCCGCGGCTTGTGCATCGTCGGTTAGCCAGGTCTCATTGGCATATCCGCTGAGTGGGCTCGCCTATCCGAAAGCTCCCGTGTCCAGGCCTGACGCACAAGTCCAACAAGAAGGTAGCATGCGATCTTCATCGAACGAGCACACCTGGGGGCAGCGCACCTTCCCGCATGAACATCGCACAGGAACTCTTCAGACTCAAAAAGAAGAAAGCATGCTGGGCCTTGCTATCGGACAGGCGACGGCAGATGGTGCCCCGCCATGAACAAACACTCTATCACTGGGTGAACCGGAGGGATGTCGGGGCGGTCTTTGCTACCAATTGCCACATTTTTGTGACCGTCTTAGGGGATGACGAGGAACCACCTCCCTGCCTCGCGTGTTTAGGACTGTACAGTGTCCATGCATACCAAGTTCGGCTGAATCGACCTATGCCGGACGAAGAAAAAATGAAGTTTGTCCCGATGATCATTTATCGCTGCCAAGACCTAGGGGAGCTGTACCTCAAATATAAGGGCCTTCGTCAACTAGTCGAGACGGTGAGTTGCTGTGTTCAGCGTTCAAAGGAGCCTTATTGATGCAAAGTTCATAGGATGATGGTCGCTCGCCATCGCTCAGATTCAGTCAGGGTGTCGTAGCCGGGCACTATCGTGACTATGACGTACTCCTTGGATGTGTAGAGGCCATAGTCACGAAAGTGACCCGTATACAGAGGCAAATCACTACATGGCATGGTATATCCACGCATCTTCATGGACGTTGTCAACCATCTCGCAACGATCTCTCCACGGGGGTACAAGGTGTTTCAACACCACTTCGGAGGACCTGCATTCCGGAGCATATGAATCCAATACTACTAGTACTCCGTCCTGTGCAGCTCTCATTCGCTTCGATAGTCGGTGGAGAGTGAAACTCTTGGTTTCTTCCTGGATTCGCGGCAAGTGACATAGACACTGCCGCATCTGTGCTTCAACAGCTGGATTATGATGGCCCAGTTGCCCTTGCCTGGGACGATACATCATTGGAGGCGGCACTCTCGATCTGGCAAGAATCAAAGGATAGCACCTGTGTCATTCTGGGTGCTGCCAGCGGTATCATCGAGGTCTCCGAGTCCGACGACCTAGACGAGGTCTTTAAGCGAAGCTAGACAGAGCAGATAAGGTATGTCCGAGTCTCACAGATGTCCTTGGTGTGATCATACTGACACATTTGTCCATCGCCGTGTGATTGCTAGCTTCTATGTCTTGACAATCCCTTTGCACAAGGTCACGGTACCTCCTATCATCATTGCTGCGATCGCCCGTGGCTCTCGGGATGATGCCGAATCACTCACCAAGATGCACCTCGAAGTTGTTCAGCTCCTCAACAATGCGACGATCTACCCGTTCTTTCCGAATCCTTTCGCGTCCAACGGGTCTGACATTGAGCGGTCACTACAGCAGAACATTACTACTATACCCCCGGGAGGGCGTCGTCGTTGTCGACGATGCCCTGCGCAGACCTCCTCGTGGTCCCGCTGTTACGCGAAGCTGGGCGAGTGGAACACTACAAGCCGCAAGCTTGACAAGGCTACTAACTTCGAAGGAGAGTTCTGTTCTTAGACCTAGGAAGGACTCGAGTCCCTTCGTCCTAGTCGAGTTCCAAAGCAGTAGCGGTATGAGAAAGCTAGCGTCGATTGCTAACCAGGTCGAACTGAAGAGTCCGACCTCTACTGTACAGGTATATATACAAGGGGAGGAGTCTGAGTCAAGATGTACAGTAAGCATGAGTCAGGATGCGTAATCACTGACGAAGGGATTGATGAACATGATGAAGAAACGAGTCAGCAAGAGTCAGCTATCACATGATAGTCCGGGTGCAGTACAGTACATAACCGGTGCTCATGCACGTGAGGTGGTTAGAGATAACAAGTAAGAGAAATGAAATGTACGTAACATGGCGACTTGTAACACCCACAAGGGATGAAACAAACATGCGCTGTAAGGCCCACACCGTTCGGCTGTTGAGCAGAGCAGCCGGGAAACTGCTCCCAACGACATCCGCTTCGACACATGCCAATCCACCCTCAAGTGGTACTTGAGAGACACCGTCTCCTCAAGCTCTGCCAAGCTCCACCACCATCCCCGTCCGGGACAGAGACCCTATTCTCTTACTATACCGCCTAGGACGCCCCCGGCACAGGCCTCTCCCCTCCTCCCCTACAAACCTCAGATCAGCAAATCCATGTGTTTGTCTAATGTCATCTAAAATGCCCTATACAGACAGTTAGGCGGCTTAGATGATTCAGGCACGATTAGTTGAGTTAGTAGATTCATGTCTAACACAAGACACATTTAGACACTGTTAGACCCAACAGAGCATTCACCAATTAGGACCCTCAGACACGAACAGACACATTAGTGTATCAAAAGGAAATATATTCGAATGCCAGATAGTACAGATTCTGATATACATCGTACGCATACATCACAGTTACTGAGCCACTGACATAAGATGACAAATGCGAGGGTGGACATGCAGTGCGGTGTGTCACTGACGCACCCAGAAATCCACCGCCAGTTGGTGGTGGACGGCAGGTTGAAGTACCTCGCTGGTACCTGTGCGGCTTTCGGCTTGTTGCCTGCACCCGCCATCCTCCCGTCCTCTCTGCTCGCTCATGTTCGCACATCCCCGCTCCTCACACACGATCTACAGCGTGCGGCGTCCATTCGTTAGTCACGCTCACATGCTGTCCTGCGGTGCGTTGTCTGCAAGTCTGCCTATCTGCCCACTCGCCCGCTTGTCAGCGAATCTTGGGGGTGTGTGTTGTAAGTGGTGACGTGCACTGTCCCAGCCTATTCGGTTGGTTCGCGCGTGTGCTGTCACTCACCTGCCTGCCTGCTCGTCTACCTGCCCGCCTGCACTCTCTGTTGCCCGTCCTCTCACCCACCTATGCTTCCGCTTGCCCGCCTACTCACGTGCCCATGTTTCCGTCTGTGTATGCGTTCGCCGGCCGTGTCTGCGTGCTGGGCATAGCCCAGCACACTTCCGGTCGGCGTGTGTGTTGTCGCCAGCCCGCTGCTCTCCCGCCGCTCGTCCACTTGTCCGCCGCTCGTCCACTGTCCGTCCGTCGGCCGTGCCTGCACGCAGAGCATTGGCTCTGGGTGCTCGCGGTCGCTGTGCGCGTCGTGCTGCACAGCGCCGCTGCGTCCTGTCTTTGCCGTTAGGGAGCTCGCTCGCGTATATGTGCACTCACCCTTATGGGCAATCACCCTCACCCGTTGTGCGCGTTATGTGCTACAGCACCGTGCCCTGTGCCCACCGATTTGCCCACCCTCCTACACGCTCATTTGGCTACCTCCTGTGTATGCGCTGCCCGGTCGAGCTGCTTCTCAGCGAAGATGAGGTGTTACTGGTCGGGCGGGATGCTGCAAACGTGCCGTCAGTCCTGATACACTGATACACTTCGCACACCGAAGTTCCGAGCATAACTCGCAAGGGCGAGCATGGCAGGTGATTTATCAACACACCACTGCGCTAGGCATGCAGAATAACTGGGGTACAGCTGGGTGATGTGGTGAAGAGGTAGGATGCACAACAGTATGGTGGGTATTAGGATAGAAACACTGTCGCACTGTTGACGTGGCGGTGGGAACTTTAGGGCAGGCTTCTGTGGGACTTATCGCTCCCTACGGCTTGCCAGTGCCAGCTGCCAGCTTATGCCTGACGCTGCCCAGCGGTCACGACAGCGAAGTCAAGTACTCATGTAAAACATGGCCCCAACACGCCGCCTGAGGACGCGCCCAACAGCAAGTTCAAACAGCATCGGGCGTCACAAGTTCGCATCGAGAGTGTACGCCTGGTGCCGCGCTGCTTTCCACGGGATGCCACCACTTCGAATGCGACACCAGCAGCCACATTGACCTCTCCCAATCGCACTACGAGACACACCTGTCATCCAATGACATGCAAGATCGATTTTGGGACTATTTGCTTGACTTTGCGTGGGTGACAAGCAACCTGGACTGGTCTCCGAGTCGTGCAACCCGCGTGCAACAGCCTCGGGACATGGAGGAGCATCAGCAAATTGGGCAAGTCCTGACAATCTGCCCATCTGAGATGCACCACTCAGAGCATCAGGGCATTTCAGGTGTCAGACTCTGTCAGACAGGTTCAGACAGGTTCAGACAGGTTCAGGAATCAGACAGGTTCAGATGGGTTCAGACAGATCCAAATCAATGCAAATAACAGTGACGAAGACTAAAATATAGTTTCGTGTGAATGGTAGTCACTGTACTTATTTACATAGAATGATTCAAATGCATCTAGGCTATACAAGAAATGAAAGTCGACTGGTATCGAAGCATCTCCATACAGTGGCATCAGGTGAACAGCACGAAATAGACTATCTAAATGTACAATAGACAATACCTGCTGTTCATCATCATCGAGCTCGGGCTGAACAACGTACATGCCAATCACATCGCTTGGATCCTCTAAGACGTCGAACCAATCAATCAGTGCGCACGGATAGCGTATACCACTGTATGTGACCGCCATCAGCCCCATGACCCGACTGACAGCCATCCCATTCATGCCGGGCTCATCCGCGTCAACACCAATGAGGACTGTATCGTAACGCGGGTTGCCGCGCCAAGAAGGGTTGCACCGAATGAGCTCCCGGTGCATGCCACGATCACCAGAGAGTTCGCTTGGCGCGAAGAACGTAGCATTCACTGACCGTTACACGGCGATCTTCCCGAGGAATTGCGGACATTCTGATAGGTCCACCATGCTTGAGTCAATTTCATCTGTGGCATACAGTTGGTCGAAGAGAAAGCGGCGGAGCAAAACGAGAAGGTCTGGCTGTTTGTACTCGGCAGCAAGCTCCTCAACACGGCGCATATAGACTAGACTCGTATGAGTATAATACACAGCTGCACTAAGTGAGTGAATTCAACTTACCTTGTCGCATTGGAAGCTCGACGACACCCTCCACAGCACCATTTACGTCCATCGCTTATTCCTCCGGCTCATCGATGTTGTCAAGAGCGAACTGATCTTCGGTTACAAAAGCCACGTTCATCGCGTCCGTGAGGACGTCGCCGTCAAGCATGTGCCGGTTGGCAAAGACTGACCGCGCGGCACTGAGCTTGTCGAGGCGTTGGTTGGTGCAAAGCATTTCGAGCAGAGCGTTATTCCTACTCGATCGTCGCCATGGCTGCTTGACCACACGGATGTGTTTAGATTCGGTGATCGACGAGCATATACCATTGGGCGAACCAAAAAGTCGAATGCCAGTAATGTAGTGGACGAGGGCATGTTGTCGTGGCAGCGAGAAACCCTCAGGGTGTACGCCAACAGTCTCGAATATGACACGATATCGGTGGAAGCGATCTAAGGCTTCTTGCATCGCCGCGAGAGAACCTTCATCATGAGCGGACCGTCGAGCCAGATAACAGAAGTCTAGGTATGCCGCAAAGCAGCGAACCATATTGTCCGGCACATGACCTTGTATGGCGGGAAGGTAGACCTTCCGTGACACAAGGACATTAGATTGTATTCTCGGAACGACGTCGGAATAGGGCATCAATTTACTCACCTTCATTAAGGCCTTCGAGTCGTTTCCAGTCCACTGCTTGAAGTTATGTCCTTCGGGAAAGTGGCGAAGTCCTGGGAATTGAGGCGCAGCGGCAATCCTTCGGATAAGTGATAGTATCAGCAATTTGATAGGTAGATGACATTAGGAAGCTCTCACCTGCGGTCTATATCATCCATTCTTCGACGAGCTTTGACTTTGGGATGCACGAGGTAAAGATACTGCTCCACCCAGTCGACGAGGTGGTCTTTGAAGGTCCCCTTGATGAGTTGGTGGAGGAGATCAGGGGTGAGGAGTTCGTAGATGTCGGCACGGGGGAAGTACGTCGTGAACAGCTTAAAACGGCAGATGTTAACATAATCATTGTAACATTGGATCATCTTGACATACTATGATGTTCGCGTCGATTCCCCATGCAATCCAGACTTCGTCAGCATCGAATGTATTGATGACCTCTTCGGTGTGATCACGACAGCGTGGGTCTCCTCCACCTTTGTATAGATCTTCGGGAGGAAGGAGACACCTACCAGTTCATCAGGAAAAACCTAGATAGCTTAAGTGGTCTTTACAAG